TCCAATCAGAGACGATGAAATGGAAGCGATTTGTATATGCATGTACATTAATGTGTTTCGAGTTTGAAACAAATTGATTGGCAATTTTTTCGCATCCAGGCCACATCATTGTACTTTAATTTAGTTGAGTTTGAGAAGATCGGTAAATCGTCTGAATGAATTTGAATCGATAACTTGATGCTCACTATTAACCAATGATGTTGATAATATCCAATTATGGAGTTATTAATACGATGATGATAATAGTTTCATTTCTCGAAACTAATATATAAGTTTTGCAGTAATTTCGATTCTTTCAATGTTATTTAACATCTTAAGACATTAGTTGAAATGTTGCTCTTGTTTAAGCTTCTTGACCCATTTCTTTTTTTTCTATTTGTTCATTCTCTTGTTCAGAACCTAAGATGATAATGATGATGATCATGATCATGGTGAAAGGAACAGAAAAGATTCAGCAAAGAGGATGAAAATTGTTTCAGGATAAAATGTTAACAGAATCATGAAAATATCAGCGTCATCTTATTGATTTTTTTTTCTCTCATACTATTAAGCTTAAACTCCACTTTCCTTTTAAACTTTTCAAGTTTACAGGGTTGACCAGATAAGAATACATGATTCGAGTAGTAATCTTTGAGTGATGAAGATTTTTTATCAAGTTTCATATTCAATTCAGAAGGAGATTTAGATACTTAAAGGAGGGAGAATAGAGAAAAAAATTACTTTCAGAAACTTCCACTTAGTTATCATGATTGGAAAATGAATTATCTGAAATTAGATGATTTCGATTCAATTAACTATTCTTTTAATAAGATTTTCTCATGCTCATCAGATTCTATCAACATCCAGGTTAACAATTGATAGTAAATTATGGTAAAATTATAGTGAATTTAATTGAAGTAAATTATTTTCTAAATGTTGAAACAATCAACTTGAAGGGCAAGAGAAAGTCATTTGTATTAATATCATGCAAACAATTGATTAAAGTTGATTACAGTTGATACATCTGAGTATTCATTAGCTAAATGACAAGAACTGTTAATCTTATGAATGTTATTTGATTGTTCAGTTAGTGTTAAAATGCTTAAATAAATCGGATTAAAAGATTAATTTTGATTGCTCTTGTCCAACATGAGTTAACATTCAGCTAATCATTCAATAATTGCTCAGAATCACACTAATTACTTTCTTTTTTCATTCATTCTCTCAGAACTTTTCAAATATTCATTCACTCTCCTTTACTATTTAGATGTATATAACTTGTCTCATGAAATCTTTAGGAACTTCAATTATTTACTATTAACTTTCAATTCTCATGATCAAACTTTCTCTCTCTCTCTCTCTCTCTCTCTCGGACTTACAAAGTAATTAAATGAATGAAATATGTAAATTTGAGCTCTAAGTTTTAATCAATAGAAACTAATTAATTCGAGTAATAAATCCTCTCTAATTAAGTCGAATGAGAAGCAAATATTATTCTCTATTTTTGTTTACTAATTTTTCTCCTCCAATCGAACAATATTATTCAGTCCAATCTGAGTTGTTCAGTGTTTCGATTGTGTGTAATACTTGGTAAACTGAATCATGAGTAATTTTCATCACCAATTCTGTTTAGTTTCGACTGAATAAATCAGAGAAGTTGATCAATTGTATCTCACCAATTTGACCTCTTTTTTTTGCTTCCATGAGATTCGTATTGGTATTCTGTATATTCTGTTAGCATGATGATGATAATGATTCTCATTTATAATCTTGTACAAGGAAAAAGATTTGTTTGTGGTTCATGTCACCATAATTCGGGAAACCTCAGAGAGCCCACAGAGGAATGGCAATGGTTTGGCTTAAGGGTCACAGTTCCTAATCAAAGAGTGTAAACTTGGTTGGATTGTTGATCATCTTCATTTTCATCTTGATTCTAAATCATCAAAGATAATATTTTATTCTCTCAATGAAATAACCATGAAATTCTTGGCTCGATTCTCTAGAGAAACTCATAGAATTTATCTTTACATCTAAATTCTTATTCTCAATCTTATACCTTTTACTTTTACTTTTACTTTTCATTTTCTTATTTTCTACTTATTCTTCAATTCGTTAACCTCAACCTTTTCCATGGTATTATGGAACTTTTTTTACTCTATTTCCTTTATATTATATTTGCTTGCTTTTCGAGGTAAATCTTGAACAAAATAATGGCCAAATTTGAGGTTCCCAAACAGCAAAAAAAAACAACTTCAAGGTCCAAGAGATTACAACTAATTCGTTAATCCCTTTCCAGTTTAACTTTTATTAATATTATACACCAAGACTATTATACTCTGTTCATGTTAATCACATTGTATCTCAACACAAATTTGAAGTTCAATGAAAAATATTGATCGTGATGATCATTGATTTTCCGATCAATTCAAAATTGATAGACTTGTATGTTTGGAAAAACTTTCAATTCCAGATAACTGAACATGTTCTTGTAAAAACTAAAGCATTTATTGTTATCCAAAACGATATAATTGAATAGCTCGAGTTATTCATAATCGTTATGATCAAATAAAAGTTCAATTAATTAGCACTACGATTGTGGAGTAAATTGAAAGTTCGTGGGATGAACAGTTGAACTTTTCGTTTTATTCGTCGCCAGTGATTAATTTAAATTGTTTATGAGGCGAAAAGTTTATTCTGATAACTCATCTCAACAAGATTCTCAATTCCCTGTCCAGTGATTCTGACCATTGGTTCAATGAGAGTCCGAGTTTCATGTTTGTTTTTTCATTCTCATCTAAATGATGATCAAACTACTAAAACGATAAACGATCGTTGAATCGAATAGTGTTTTTTTCATCTTCTCATCTTATTATAAGAAGATAAAATTTATCTTTCAATAATAATAACAGTAAATTTTATTCTTTCGAAACTGGAATATAATTAAAGTCTCTTTTTTTATCTGTTTCTATTTTATTATCACGATCATGGAATCAGTTACACTATGAGACAAAAATTGAATATCATGAATTTTTTATTACAGATCAATGAATATTCATTAGGTATCACAGCTCGAGAACGATAATAGATCGTAATTACTGATTAACTTGTGAAAATTTAAACCTTTGATTAGTTGAAAGTGTGAAAACGTAATAGAATCATAATAATCAGTTTCTCATTCAAATTTAAAATGAAAAAGTAAAAATCAATCTACTCGAATGTTGATAAACATTGAGAAGAAAAAAAGTTCTAACTGTGCATCCAAAGATCGTAACTATTACAACGAAAACTTAATCACTGTTGACTTAATGGATTAGCTTAACTACTGTAGCTATTTACCTTTAACCATTTAGAACCATTGATCAGTTGAGATTATAAAAGATTCAGTTTGTTACTGAATTTCAGTCAAGATAATAAATTTACCTGAATGTTAAGCTACATTATTTTTGTTTTCTTCTTCTTCATGGAAAATGATTCAGCCTGAAATGATTGATAAGATTATTATCATTATTGAGAGTTAAATGTTGAAATTGGTTGAAGGTTTCCAATAGAATATGTTGATTGTGATGAAAATACGATGAGTAAACATGATCAGCTCTCTCTCTCTCCATGATCATGTTGATTGTGATGATTCAGATGATCGATAATAATAATAACAATCAAACAATAATGTGCTTATACTTACAATGTTTTCATTAACCGAATATAATAAAGTTATTCTCATGAAAGAAGTCAGAACTTTTTTAGTTGATTCTCTCTCTCTCTTTCACTTATTCTTACTTTTATCATGAGATATTTTCAACTCAGGGATTATCATCAATGGATAAGAGACAAATTATGCAAAGAAATAACAAAGAGATGATCATCTTTACGTTTAATCAATTAGACTGGACTCATGAACTCGATCAAGAGACAAGTCAAGAACAGCAAGAACTTTTTTTTACTCTTCGAAAATCAATTAGTCATGATGATAAATCATCATGGATCATTAACCATCTTAAATGATATATACTTTTCATGAATTTGTTTGAGTAGCAAATTTCAAGTTTACCTTTGATGTTACTTATTGATTCAAGAATCAATTTTAACCTCAATCTTTTATCAGCTCTTGTAATTAAAAACGATTATCATGATAATTGATTAGGTTATTTCAATACTGTGATGATAATTTTTGCCTCTAATACTTATAATATAAAACTAGTTACAAATGTAGAACACAAATTGAACTCGTTTGACGTTATCATGTCGATAGCCTGAGGGCAATTTTTTTTTCTTCTTCTTCTTAATTTCATGTTCAATCTCTTGCAATATTTACAAATGAATCTACAAACTATTTGCCAATGAATAGCTCTCAGCAATATTCACCATATCTCCGAGTATTCCAAGAACCTGTACTAACACTATAAGAATGCAAATGAGTTTGACACTTTCTATTATCTCTCTCTCTCTCTCTCTCTCTCTCTCTCTCTCTCTCTCTCTTTCTTTCTTTCTCTCGACAGTTTCTGTCTCCTCTATTCATCTTAATAGTTTCTCAAAGTTCCATTTGATATAATAAATGCCAATAACTTTCCATTGCCTTCAGATAATATTGTTTGAATTCTTGAAAGACTAAGAAAAAAAATTCTATTTCTTCAATCCCATGAAAAGACAAAAAGGAGATGATCATGTTCATGATGATAGTTCACCACCTAAATGATATTCAATTGTTGAAATGAATATTTTTATACTTATATAAGTTAAATTGTTAAACTGACTATTCATTGGGTTAATTACTATTAATATTTTCATATTTGATTATCATGATCGTCTTTCCTAATTGATTAGTTTGAAAAGGTTTACATTTCCATGATATCAGTAGATTAATGAGTAAATATTGAATTAAGAGTAAAATAATAATAATAATTGTAGTTTCATCTCATGTTACACTATTGTAATTATCAGAATCGAGATTCAAATTATCATTTATTAATCCAATTAACTTTTATCTCTCTCTTTTTTTTTATATTTTTCTTCACTATAAATAGAAATCAAAACAACGATAGAAACTCAAGTAAACGAATTGAAAAGTACCATCGAAGGAAAATGTGTAATCCAATAAATTGTACAATTAATTTAATTGTGTTCATTAGAAAAGGATGTCACGTATATAATTATAGCCTCGAAGCAACATCAACAACTGTAAATGAACCCGGATACGGAAACACCAGACAAAACCTAAATCCATTTCGATACCTAAACCAATAGCCTATTAATTATCACACCAAAAGTAAAACGTTCAACTGTATAAAGAAAACAAAACAAATCAATCGATTGAATTGGTAAGCGCAATTAGCAAACTCTATCTCAAATCGACGGCGACGGCGACGACGATAACGACGATAACGACGATAACGATAACGATAACGACGAAGTATAATCCTAACCCTTAAAAGCAACAACAACAATTAACGATTTCCATTGATGATTGGAAATTATCTGAACTTTTTTTGTTCAGAAAAATCAGAAATCGTACATGAAAACTAAACACACATCGAGTCTCAAGCGAATCAGATGATATGATAAAATGATTGCCATCGGTTTTTTCTTTCAATGCTTATTCTTTGCTCATGTTTTTCAGCATTATTATATCTCCATTTCCAAGTTATTGAGCTTTTAAATCTGTAAATATGATGATTATATTGATTGATGCTGATTATTATCATCCAATTGAAAGAGTTATATATAAACAACATCAGAATCTCATAGACTTCCCAACCTGATTATTCTGATTGAGTGATTAATTAAGTATATAAAACAAGAAATATATAAATATTATATAATATAAATATGCTTTATAAATATTATAAATAGTGAGCTTGTCTGATTCTGGTTCTATTAATTTACTCGAGACGGTAAATGAGCGACAAATTGTAGCATTTTCAGTTTCTTTAGATGGAATGAGAACTGAAAAAATGGAGATTGGAAAATATCGATAACTGAACTGAATTTGAATAGAATAATAATATTGAGAGAAAAACAAAAGAACTTGAACTTTACATGAAGAAGAAAAAGAAAATTGGAAATCTTTTGAGAATTTAGTTCTTAGAACTGATAATCAATGGGTCGAGAATGGAAAATGTTTGTGAACGAAACTCAATATATTCCAATTGTCGTTCATTTACTTGTCTCGATAATAATCTTCTTCCTTTTACTTTCGATTTGTTTCTTTTTTTTTATCTCGAACATGATAATTTCTATTTATTTTACTATTATCGTTCTTTAGTTTCCATGCTCAACACTAAAAAAGAATTTAAATATAAGAGAACATTCTTATTGTAATTTCCATTGGAAAAAAAAATCGTATTTCGAGTGACCTTTTCTTTTACTTCCTTCTTCTTATTCTCAATATGATTCCCTATCTTTTATTATGATAGAAAAACGATTTTCAAGATAATCTTTTCCATGATTATTATTAATACCTTTTCCTTTCAATTAGATTACTTCATTGAGTTTTTATGCATTGACAACAACAACAAAAAAACATCGACGATTGATTTTGTTTCCAATAACGAAAATGTTAAAGAGAAGAAAAAGAAAAGAAAGAGAAAAAGAAAGAGACAGTTCCAACGAAACATCAATTCACCTTTTCTATAGCAAATAACAAAAGTTCTGATTCCACATTCAGATAATCCAATACCTCTGGTCTCTACTAATCCCTTTCCAGGCATTTTGTCCTCATCATTGATCACCAAATATTAGCAACTTAGTGATTATGCTAATCCTGTTTCTCATTTTCCAATCAGCTGATTTTTGTTTTCATCTTTATCCTTATATATATATAAATAAGAATATCGGATGTTCAGATGAACCATTATAATATATAAATAAACGAGTCCATTAGGTGCAATCTCAGAGATGCTCAATTAGATTATGAGAGATTTACAAAAGTAACTTTGAAATCATCGAAAACCAAATAGCAGAATCGATAATCAGTTCGCAATGCAAATATGAACTACGATTAATTTTCAATCCAATTGTAATCATTTTCTTTCAAATCCAAAAAAAAATCAATCCATTATAATCACTTAGGGCTATCATTTAATTCACTATAAAAAAAAATCATGTATATTAACTATCAGCTGATGATGATGATGAGAATTAAATTATTCATCAACTGTAATATTAAACCTACTATCATCCCCTTCCGTTCACTCACACACTCACATTTGGCCTGGTCGATATTCACTCAGTCCAGTCCTCAACAGGTAGCTCAAACAACGAATTGTGTCAACATTTTAATTTAATCATTGCAATTTAATTATCTCTTTTCATTTTAACGGTAGTTTCCATTAACCATTAGTCGATCCAACAAACAAATCAACTAATCAACCAAACTTTAAACGATCAATAGTTTCAATAGTTTATTTGGATTAACATCTAAGTTGAGAAAAACTTTTTTGTTTTCGTAACTTTTGAGTTTCCATTTGATTATTGATTAAACTAGTGAACAGAATTTATTGTTTCTTTCTAATTACAATTTGCACTTAATCCTTAATTCCCACAAGTAGCAAAATATCAGGAATCAAGTAAATGAAAACAATGATAATCCTAATCCTTTGACTTGTTCGCTTCATCATTTAGTAAATTAATCTAATATCTAATCAACGAAAATTGTAATTTTAATTGTAACAACTACAATCAACTGGGTATGTTATCGTTGCCTTTTTTTAAGAACCTTTTAATCAGTTGGTACCCAAGTTCGTAGTTAATTCCGATTATCATTATTATCTCATTTTTTTTTGTTCTATTTTAATTCTACTTTGTCTTTCGTTTCTTTTTTATTTTCTATTAATTATGCTCATTAATCATTCTAATTATAACATTATATTAATCGTTATTATCCTTGAAAACAACTATTATTATTATTATTATTATTATTACATTGAAAAACCATCATCATTGTTACTGTAACATATGAATGCTGCCAGAGACTCTTGAAGATAGTTTAATGATCAAGACTAGACGATAATATCCATTGAATATTAGTCTAGGTTAATTATAATTGTGCCTCTAATTAAGTATTTAAAAAAAAAGTTAACGTTTGATTGAATATTATACAAGTTTCGTAACACTTATAATCGAAATGCTAACGATAAGTCACATGATCGTTGATGAGAACGATATTATTATCATTGTTATTATTAATATATCACTTTAACGTTCTCGGTGAGATAATAATCATTGAATTCTCAATTCTGTTGGAACGATTATATTAGCAGGGTGACTCATTTTCTATCCTCGTTATCATCATTATGATGGAAGAGAAACAAAAATTAATTGAATTTCGTAAGGTCGATTATTATTATTGAGAGAAAATTTCGATTAATTGTTTTTCGTTCTGATTGATATTAACACTCACCCATAGGTAAATGATAAGATTATTAATCGAAACGATGAAGATAAAATGTCTAATGATGATAAAATTAATAACTTTCTCTCCTAATTAACTAACTCATTTGTTAACTATCTGTATAATTATAACGGTTAATCTGATCTCGAGTTCTTTTTCCTATCGACTTTGCTCTCTCTCTCTCTCTCTCTCTCTAATCTCAGAATCAGATTAAATTAACTGTCTCTTTCTTTTACTTTCATTTTTCTTCCTTTCTTTCAACTCTCTCTCTCTCTCTTCCTCTTTCCCCCTTTTCCTCATCATTTCCGTTTCCTAAGATTATTGATCAACTTGAGCAATTAAAAGCTTATTGAAAAACTAAATAAATATCTATTGAATTGATAATAATAATACAATAAATAATAATCAACAACAAGATTTGATTGAGAATCCTAATGCTAACAATTAACTTAAATGTTTGCAAATATGTGTAAACCAATATAATATATCAACTTGAAATGATTAATTGATTATATATTATATATACATAATTAAGATGACTACAATTTTGGGATGATTAATGATAATAATTTATTTTCCAACTTAATTGGACATTAGATTGATCATAATTAACTTGTTAAATAATTGAAATGATTTAATTATTACTTATTATTATTGAAGCAAACAAAAAAAAATGAAATTAAAATGAATTAAATTGTAAAATCTGATGAAATTGTTTAATTGGCCAAACAAACCAAACCAAAACAATAATAATATTATTAATTCATTATGATTAATTAACTAACCATTTAAACATTATGATTAGATTCATTAATCAACTTGATCATCTGGTTTAATTTTATTTTCTTTACTTAAACAATTTAACCAAATTTTCATGTGTAAACAAAAACAATACATGAGGAAACAAAACAAAACAATTATGTTACAATTAATTTTCACCTAACCAAACAAAAAGACAGCATTGTAATCATAGGATTGATTTAATAAATTTTCAAATGATTTCAAACAATTAAATTGAAAACTAAATTTTTCTTGAATCGAGTTCATTTGATTTAGTTGCATTGGGTGGTAAGAGATGGCGCTGATGATCAATTCTTTGAGAGAAAATTTTTGTCTACCATATGTTACGCGCGCTTTTTGGTGAACGATTTTGTCGATTTGGATAGGAATCGATTATGACAAGTGTGTTTTCGATTTTGGTGGTTTGTCGAAAGAGAAGAAGAAAGAGAACCAATTGATCGATTTTTGATGATCGAATGAAAAATTGGCGATTCTGGTTTTTTAAAGATTTTTTCATAATTAACCAAAAATTTTGTTCTCAATTAACATTTTGGTTAATTCTGTTTCATTTGGTGTTTTAATTTTCTTTTTTTTATTCCTTTTTGTGTTTTGTGTTTTGTTTTTCTTTTTATCTGGTTTTGGTGAGAAAGGGAGAGTTTTAATGATGAATAAAGATTCCAGGATTATCCAGGAGATCACTGCCATTGTTGATTCAATGGGATTTTGGGATGACCAAGAAAAGGTTTATAAGATAAATTCTGATACTTGTGAGTGTTTAAAGGAGATTCTTCGTCTTCTTCGTAAAGATGGTTCCAGTTTTCCGGTTTTACGACATCTTGGGAAGATAAATATTGTCGAGAAAGATCTTATTCCAATAATTAAAGGTTATTGTTTAACGGATGAAGCGCTTGCCGGTTATACGGTTCGTCTTTTGGTTGTGTTGACTTATCCCGCTCTTGTTTTCTTTAAAGAAAAAGTTCCAAATGATGTTGATCAGAAGAGAACATTTTTCCAATTGAATAGTTTTCTTCGAACATATAAAACTGTATTCTCACAGCATAAAGATGTCTGGGAGATTCTCTGTAAAAAGGCAGCCATCATCATTAAGAAAGATCCACTTGACCAATCGGAAGAGGAAAAAATTTTATTGGAAAGGATATTCATCTTGATTCGTAATATTTTACATGTTCCCAAAGATACTTTTATCGATGTTGCTGATGAAGATGAAATGATCACCGAGGATTTGATTGTTTCACTGAAAACATCAGGAACTCTTGATTTTATCCTTCAGTTTACATCAGACACAGTTTCACATCAATTTTGTTTCCATCTTTTGGAAATTATTTATTCACTATTGAGAGGACAGTGTCCAGAGTTTCTTGCCTTTGACGAGTCTCAAGGTCAACATGCGACTAAAAAATGTAAATCAAGTGCCAATTCCGTTGAAAGTAAAGAGCTAGAGGAACTCAAGGATAGAGAGAAAAGATTCTCAAATTTTGCCAAAAGTTCTCGTTTCAATCGTTTCAAGGATTCAACTTATACAGTTAAAAATGTCAAATCGATCGGGGAAAATGATCTAATCTACCACAAAACCACCGATGATCCTCACAAGATTAGTTTGGATAAAGAAAAAACATCAACTAGAAGGCCAAAGAATAAAGCTCTCATGGCCGATAATTTTACTACCTGGTCCAGTGCGTCGGGAATCGCTTTTCGTCGTCCATCCATGAAAGTCCAAGTAATTCTGAAAGAATTTTGTGAAAATTTTATCAAAGAAAGTTACAACCCGCTAATGGCCTATGTGAAAAGTGCCCTGGAAAACAAAAACGCCCAAGAAAATGATGAGACTTATTATTTTTTCGCTGCTTATTTTTTCATGGAATTTAACAGAATAGCTGAAAGAGATCCAAGTTCTATCGAGGAAACTTTCAACTTTGAATATTTTCATTATCTACACAGCAGAATTGTCACTTGCACGGAAAATATTGCAAACGCACGTGCAGATCGAGAAGTGATCCAAGCCTATTCGAGAAGATGCCACACGTCTTTAAAGGCTTACAAAGAGCTTTTTTACACGATCGCATCGATGAAAAATGTTCAAGATGAGAATATGCTCTCCATTTCGAAAGAAATTCTCGATAAAGCTTTTCTCGAGCTTGATTATCGGGAACTTCTTCTCACTTTATTGAGTAATTATGACGAGCAAAAGATGAGTCCTCAATTTCTTAAAGATTTAATCGAAACTAATCATGTATTTTTAAAGATGTTTGAACATTTCACCAATTCCAATTTAGATCATTTAGAATTTTTGTTCGATATAGTAACTCAAAGGTGATTAGATCTTACCTTTTAGCTTTACATCGATTTGAATTCAATACAGAAAAATTGAATCATGCGATAATTAGGATGTTCCATAGGATCGCATGTGAATGTAAATCTCAGTATTGTTTTTCCAACTTTCCATTTTCAGAGTATTCCAAAGATGCTTTGAATTTAGTAAAGTTGATAAAGGTAACAAGTTGGTCGAGATCGTAAACTTTGCTCGATACATTATTCGAGAGTTCGTGAAACTTGCCAAGGAAAATGATAAGCTTCTGGTTGAAACGTTGTTCTGGAAATCTAAAAGTGATATGTGTTCAATTGAAAGTAATTATGCTGAACCTGAGCCGAAAAAGACAAGGAAACGACGAAAGAAAAAGAATGGAACCATTTCCGATTCTGACAAGTCCGATCAATCTGAAGATGAAAGAGAAAAAGAAATTGGAATCGATGATCAGCTTGGTGATCTTTCAAATGATTCTGGTGAAGGATTTATACCTGTTCTTTCGAGTACACAAAATGTTCAACCAGATCGATCCGATATTCCCGAAAGACCGGAAATTCCCGAAATGTCAAGTATAAATGCTCAAAGTGAAGGAAACAGTCAAACATTTGGCATCAATGGATCAGAATTACCATGTGAATCAGAACTTCTTTCCGTATTTGGTGCTGGTAACGATGATGATGATGATGATCTTTTGGATCTTGATGAAGTTTTAGATCATGTTGCCGATGATCAAGACGAAATGCCCACGTTGAGCCAAGATGATAATCAGCTGAACGAAGTTCCAATGTTGAGCCAAGATGACAACCAGATAGATGAAATTCCCATGTTGAGTCAGAATGATGATCAGCTGAATGAAACGCTAATCGAAAACCCAGTCAACAATATCTCTGATGTTCTTAATGATGATGACTCAATGGAAGGTGAAGTCACTATTGTAAAAAGAAAAAAGAAAGTCATTTTTGAAGAGAGTGACGAAGACGAATGAGACATTTGAACCTTTTGAACATTTAGCTCATTCCTCGTCATCAATTGAACCATTTTCATGTAAACAAAATTTTAATCCAATAACAATAAACATCCATCAACAACTTTTATTAATTTGTGGCTTAAAATTGAATAGTAAAAGGATAAAAATTTTAGCTCGGATTAGTCCATTGGATTGATGATGAATCGCTTGCCTCGAATCGGTTCAATATAAATTACTTTCGACAAAAAAAAAATCGCGATCATTTGGACAGTTAACCGATAGAAAAATAAATTTGGTTCATTTGATTAACTTCTCAGAGCTTCAAGTCTTTTCTGCATCTCGGTGATCTCTTCTTCATCTTCCTCTTCATCTTCGACGACTTTACTTGTACTTTCTCTAGCACCAGGTACAGTTTTCGAGACTTCGGCTGCTTTGCCCATTGCACCTTCGAGAGAAAAAAAAGCGAAAAAGTTAAAAAGTAATTAGATTAATTGTAATTGGCAAGTTTTCATTCGAACGAGAGAAAATGAAAAGTATTCTACCTGCGGTTACTTCGAATAGAACTTTTTCTACTTCGGCTTGAACGGCCTCTTCCATGTCATCTTCGTCGATTCCAGTGGCCTCATCGATTGTTTCTTCCATCATTTCTTCAATGATTCCAGCTCTCATCATTTCTCTCGATAAGTCTTGCATTGTCGCCGATATTTCCCCGACCTTCACCAAACTCTGCATACATTTCATTAAGTCGGTTGACCGTTGAATCGCTCCAGCAATTCTTATATTAGCTAATTGTTGTTCCATATTTAACATAACTGAATTAATCTGAGCTTTAGAAACATTAATCCGATTGATTGCCTTCCTTGATCGGACCAATTCCTTAGCCAAAACCACACACGAATCTCGATCACCTTTTTTGGCCGCATCTTTAAGAGACAATTTTACTTTAGCTTCTTCCCTCTGGATATTTCGTATCTGCCGATCTAAGGCCATAGTCTCCTTCCTTAATTTTGATCGCCATTCCCTAACCTTAACAATTGAAACAAAGAAAAACAAAACAAAACAATAAAAACACTTTCATCGCACCAACAACGTTACCATCAAACTCTTACCTGATCTTTGGGTGTTTTCTGAGGCTCTTTTCCAAACAGGCCCATACTTATCGTGGAATCGGTAAATTTGAACAAAAACAAACACGAAAATCAAACACAAAACCAACAAATGATCAACAGAAATAACTGATTGTTTCTGATTAATAACAATTTAGGAAAATGACATTAGGGCGGAGTCTTTATTGTAAACAAAATTAAATTGAAATCTAAAACCGGGAACTATGAATGAATCAGATTCGCAATTGATTTCTAATTGTGATTTATTTGAAAAGATGAATGAATATGATTAGAGAAAAGAAGGAAGAAAATTAAATTACACATTTTAGAATCTTAGAATAAACTAAATCTCGAAAAAAAAATGAAGAACATCTTAAACCTCGTTGAGAAAACTAACTGGACGAATTTTCATCTGAACTTCTTTCAACGATTCGTTTTCCTTAAAGGTCATCCATCTTATTCCAGTATCGACCTCTTTACGAACATCAACCTCTTTGTACAATCCATTCAAATAGACTAACGGACATCGCGATTGATTAGCCCACCAACCGCCGGTCAACAGGTTCGAGCAAAGAAATTTAGATGAATCTTTTATCATGTCGTTGGTGATAAATTCTGTGTTATTGAAGGATAAAAATATTTCACCAGTTTCTTTATTTTCACCGAAAGGTTCATCGATTATTAATCTGTAGCGATTGGATTCATCGGCGATGGCAAACCTTTTAAATTGTAACGAAATACATTCATCTGCAAACGATTTCAAATCAATTTGAAGTATTTGCGGTTCTTTGGCTGTTAAATGATGAATAATTTGATTTCCAATCCAAAATTCATCACTAATATCACCGAATCCTCTCTTGTATGTTTCCCAGTTTGTCCTGAAATCGACGTGGTGCTTTTTCTCTGAGAATTTACCTCTTCTCATGATTACCGTCCAACCACCTCGATTATCACTCATATCACAATAGACCCTTTGAACTCGTAAAGGTGAACCGGTTCGAACAGCGTAAACTTTTGATTGACAAGAAGAATTTGATTGAATAATTTCAGAACAATCTTTGGGAAAACTTGGCCTAGAATGTGAGCAATCGTGTTTAGAAGATGATCTTGGATCTATTATTGGACAATCAGCGGTTCGATAGGTCATTTTATCTTCACGTGGTGAATCAGCTTGATTCTGTTGTGAGTTGATCGCAACTGGAATCAAAGTTGTTCCTGAGTTTGGCTGATTCTTGATTCCCTTTTGACCTGGTGTTATTTTCATTGAATCAATAAGAAGAGTCATATTATCACGAATCTCTTGAATTGCGAATGAAAATTGATTCCGTAATCGAGAAAAATCCGAGCACATTTCTTCAGTTGTTTGTTGATTGTTCTGCAAATGGTTTCCCGTCGAAACATCGTCACCAAACTTTGGCTTATTTTCGAATGAATTTTCTTGAATATTAGTAATCATCGAGAAAACTTCACCCAATCGTCCATTCAATCCGGTGATGTTCATATCAGTAACCAATTCGTGTTTCAATATATTCACTTCCTCTCGAACTATTTTTCTCATATTATCTTGTAGACTTTCATTATATCCACCAGATTTGGCTCTGTCTTTCGAATGATTTTCCTTGACCAGTCCATATAAATCGGTTAGAACATTCATCATTTTAACGAAGCCCTTTTCGGCCGTTTCAAGCCGATGAGAATGAACATTGATAATCGACTCTGTACCACCGCTCGAACCGTTAACCAAATGCTGTAAATTGGTTTTAACAGTCTCTTCAATTGAGATCAATTTAGTTTCGAGGGAAGAAAATTTCTCCTCGATCATTCGAGTTCTAACTTTGGTCAATTCAACAGTATTCAGTATAACGGTCACTTTATCTTGGAATAGATTGAAATTTGTCTCAGTTGATTGTAATTGCGCTGACAATTTAGCGAAAGCAGTTTCCAATTCTTTCATACTATGTCCCATTTCCTCGATCATTTTCTTACGACTTGCTGATTGTCCTTCGATCAAGTAAATCGATTCCAAGATGATTATGGTAAACACAAAGAACAATTTAAATAGTAACTCCATCTTATCAACTATTAGATTAATATATTTACTTAGATTCTTTTCACAATCAATGATAATTTAACACAATTTTCTCAAGAAATATTAACTGAACAGAAAGTTTCTTTCAAATGAATTGGATTTGAAGTTTATTCCTGAATTTGTGTTCGAGTCAATCTTACTCTTTTGCGACATAGAGATCAAATTGTTTATTATAATTAAGATGAAGATGATGTTGACTTGTCTTCATGTCACTTTTAATAATCCAAATTTAGCTGAATTGTTCCTAGAATTAAGAGTTTATTTTACTGGCTAATTGCCATTGACAATGAGATCCAAAGGAAGAGAAAAATGAACGAAGTTGAGTGAAGAGATGACAAAACGTCATATTATTATTAACTATTTTTCGTCTAATTAACTGATATAATCATTATCATCAATCCAACAAACTAGAAAAAAAAGTTATCCTCATTGAGAGAAATTGAGAAAAATATTAGAAAACAAAAAAAAATACTTCCGAGTTCATTTTCTTTCAACAATTAGTAGATTGACCCAGGTAATGTTAGTCTATTCCAAGGAAATGTTTATCTTTCATCAGAATGAATCTCATGTTAATCATCATGAAAGATGAATAAAGATAAACTCAGTTGACAGTTTGATTATTTGTTTAATCTTCAACAGTCTAATTGATATTGGCATTGCAACTATTTTTCAATTAGTTGCAATTGTTGACTGAACTTTATCTCTTTCTCTCTCACTCACTCACTTACTCTCTTGTGAGTCATGTGAGTTTGATAATAATATGATTACCAGGACATTGACTATTGGAACTAAATTTAGTTGGAATAATTTTTTTTAGAGAAAAAAGTGATTCAAATTTGGCGCTTTTCGATTTGAACCAATGGCAATTGGAGAGATTCAATTGAAGATTTTGTTTGTTAAGTGTTGTTGTTATCAAATCAAATTCTTGTTGTATATACACACTCACATACTATTTCTGTGAACAAGTGTTAATTTAATTAATTATTCTGTCCTGGTATGATCTTTGATTACTGTTTACTCTTCTTCTGATTAACTCCAATTAGTACCAGATACTTGTATAAACAATGGAAGTTACCAAATACTTTGAGTTGAATATGATAATCGCCTCTTTGTTTGGTGTCATTTGGATAATCAGTGGTCTCATTTTGAATATTTTCCAATTTTTAATTTACATTACCATTCGTCCTTTCAGTCCTTATGTTTATCGTAAAATAAACTACTATCTAATCTATTCCAGTTGGTCTCAAGTGGTCGCTCTAGCCGAGTATTGGGCTGATTGTACACTAACAGTCACTTTCGCTGACGAGGAATCAGCTAAATCTCTCGGCTCTGAACATAGTATTGTTCTGATGAACCATAAATATGAAGTTGATTGGCTTTTCTCTTGGATACTTTCCGATGCATTCGGCATTCTAGGGGTAAAGTAAAAACATTCCAAATATTCATGATAATGAGATTCCAATAGAAAACAAGAGAGGAGAAAAGTCAATTTGGTAATGAAATCGCCCTTGAAAAGGTTCCATTAAGAAGGAAACTCTTGGAGAAAAATATTTACAATGGAAATTTCAACATCTCTATTACTAATCTCTTATCATGACTTAAGTTAAACACTTCTAGTTTCCGTCATAATCACACAATTTTTATCTTTTTTTTCCTCCTCATCTCTATCTCCTAGAGCGCTAAAGGATTTGCCAAAAAAGATATTAAATATCTTCCAGTAATCGGATGGAGTTGGTTTTTCTCTGAGATGATATTTGTCGAGAGAAAATGGGACAAAGATTCCAAACTACTTGGACCAAGTTTACAGCGTCTTATGGAATACGATGATGTGATAACTCTACTCATATTCGCCGAGGGTACTCGTTATACCAAAGAAAAGTATGAGAACAGTGTTAAATATTGTAAAGAAAAAGGTTTAGATATACTAGAACATCATCTATACCCAAGATCCCGTGGGTTTGTCTATACGATTCAAAAATTGAAAGATTCTCGTAAGTAACCAAATGATCAATGAACAATTTACCTTCTCAAACAATAATCTTAATAATCGATTATACCTTTATCTCTTACTTTATATTAGTTCCAGCCATTTATAATATTCAAGTTGCTTTCCGTAAAGAAGATCCTCCCGCTACGTTGACAAATATTTTAAAGAGACAATCACTACGTGGTTACATGTATATACAAAGAGTGCCTATGAAAGATATACCAAAGGAAGACGATCAACAGATAAGCAATTTTTTGCTGGATATTTATAAGCAAAAGGTTTGTCAGCGATTATCTTACCCTCTTTTACCTTGATCGAATTTAAATTGATCTTTTTCTTGTTTCATTCGTCCAGGACGATTTGACCAATTACTTCAATGAACACGGTAAATTTCCTGGCAATTCCGTTGTACTGAAACGAAGGATCTGGCCGTTAATTCAAGTGTTATTCTGGAGCTTCTCTGTTATCGTTATGCTTATTTACTTCATGTGTTACTTGATCGCCTCTAAAAGTTACATTCTTCTGACGATAACTTGTCTTATCCTTAGTCTTGGTTAGTATAATAATCATGTAATTAACTTGTAAATTGTAAACATTTCTAACTCTAATTCTAATTTTCCATTTTCCTTTAGGCTTTATTTCATTTCTATTACTGATAAGATCAACCAAAGCGCATAAAGGTTCATCCTATGGGAAAACAAATCAAGCACCAAATAAAAAAGTCCATTAAAAAAAGTGAAACGCTTTAAATGGACTTGCGAATGGAGTAAATATCGAGAAATATAAATTTAAATTTGTCCAATATTATGTATTCATATCATAACATAACAACAAAAATATAATTTTTCTTTCGTAAATTTTTCTATTAATAATTTTACACCTTCTAATTGTGATAACTAATAATTTGATCACAATTTTCTTTCAATTTTCACTACCAAACAATTAATGCTGTTTAAGAGAAGGAACTAAAAATTAAATTTCTTCCAAATTGTCTCTTCGAGTTGACCAACAATGTTCACTTGGATCTCTATAAGAAAAACTAAAGAAAAAGTTAACTTGGATTCTAAATTATCTCACAATTTATTGGCTTTAATGATTTATGGTCAGTTCGATTAATCATTTTCTCCCTCGTTATGAAATTCTAATATTATTATTATATTACCAATGTTAATAAGAGTTCGACGTCCAAAATCTATCATATTAGATATCGAGGGAACCACGACCTCAGTAAGATTTGTATCCGATGTTCTATTTCCTTATATTCGAACTCATTTGAGAAAATATTTAAACGAGTGTTGGGGTCAACCAGAATTAGCGATGACCGTTGATCGATTACGTGATCAAACTCGTACTGATCAGGAAAACGGAGCCAAAATCCCGAGAATATTAGATAACGATGAAGCGGACGAAGATCAAGTTCGAAGGTCAATTATCGCCAACATTTTGTGGCAAATGGACGAGAAAAAAAACAATGCCGCACTTAAGCAATTACAAATTCTCGTTTGGGTTTATGGTTATGAGAAGCAACATATTAAAGGCCAGTAAGTGATCTTATTAATTTACCTTGATAATTGTTACGATTAATTGTTCACAATTAATATAATAATAGTGTTTTCGATGATGTTCCACCGGCTTTACACCAATGGAAACGGGAATTGAACATTAAACTTTATCTCTATTCAACTGGAATGATTGTTGTTCAGCAATTATTATTTTCTTGTTCGACACATGGTAACCTTTTACCTGTAAGGTTAATTAAAGGTTCATCAGATTTATTTAAATCCATTTCTAATGGTTGATTTGTTTTTCTTTCTTTCTTGTTGATTAGCTGCTTGATGATTATTTTGATGTTCTACTTGGTTCTAAACGTGATTACAGGAGCTTCAAGAAGATCGCTGCTTTGTTAGATGATCCTGAATCTCAGATACTCTTTTTGACAGACAATTCTAAAGGTAACAATCTTATTGAATTTTCATATTCTCTATTTATTCTGTCAACTAATTTGAACAACAATTAAAACCAACAGAGGCTCGAGCGGCAATTCAAGCGGGTTGTAAGGCTTTGCTGGTCAAAAGACCTGGAAACAAACCGTTGACCGAAACAGAAGTAAATGAATTCAGAGTAATCTCATCATTCAGTGATATTATAATCGACTAATAAAAGGAATTTACCATTTGAAGAGAAACTTTTTTCTCTTATTAAAAATTCAATTTGAATAAATCATTTCAAGTTTTTGTTTTCGTAAAGTTTGATAACCAAATTTGATTGGTTGTTCTCGAAGCGCCAAATACAATTTTTTGTTCGAAGAAAAAAAAATATCGATGTATCGATTTTTCGTAAACAATCGATTAGATTTTTGTTTATTTTTCTTCAGTTGGAATTTTTTTTTGTCTCCTCGTGTGAGTTTTTCTATTGTTTTTTCATTAGTTTTTTTTGGTTATTCTTTTCTTTTTATTATGGAATCGTGTGTAGAAAAGGAGCAAGCTAAACTTCCCCAGGAAATTTCTTTAATCTCTTTAATTCAATCGCGATATTCTGAGATAAAACAAATTATCAATGAGTTTAAAACGACTTCTCCAAAATTGGCTTCTCAAAAGCTTCCCATCCATATGAGAAGACGAGCTGCAAGTCATAATGTTAAACGTTTACCATCAAAGACTCGGTTAATTGTGGAAAGGAAGAGTAAAGGGAAAGAATTAACTTCCGATTCGAAAGAGAAAAAACGTAAACAAAAGAGAAAATATCAAAATGGTAAAAAAGTGAATCTAAGTCATGCTGTTAGAGAGGCGAAATGTGATCGCTCATTGTTACATTTGTGGTTCGTCAAGAGATTTAAAATGATTAACTTATTCAATCAACTTGTTCCAAATTACAATACAACCAAAAATCTACGAAAATTACATCGAATGTCAAAAAAAGGATGTATTCATTTCTATTTTCCTTATTACAAAAGTATCATCGTTCGGTATGTATTCGTAAAATTTTGATCCATTGAAATTTTCTCACTTTTGAATTCACTTTCGTTTCTTTCTTTGTTTACAGAATTGACGATATTGATCTGGTCTCTAAGAAATTGGGTCAATTCACAAAGTCCAATTTTGATTCATTCTTTTCCGGTCCTGTTGCCTTAGGATTCACCTCGAAATGGGTACAATTTTTCAAAGATTCCGATTCTCAGAGTCAAATCATGGGACCAGGATATCTAATTTTCGATAAGAAAAATAACATCCTCATCATTTGGTGTCACACTTTGATTCACAGCGAGATATCGAATAAGTTATTTTTCATTTGCGGTGGTAAAGTTTCTGACGATGAAAAGATTTACCAACTTTTCAGTTTGATTGGATCTGAGAGTTTACATCATTTGAAAAAAACTCTTGGTGATTGTGGATCATTTTTACCCGATAACTTTCAGGATGGAAACATTTTAACAATCGAAGGTGACAAAATTCTCAATGAACCGATCGGAGAAAAATCTTCACAGCCTCACAGAAGAATAGAAATTAGTCAAGATAACAATGAAAATTTAACTTCTTTAATCATTCATATGGTCAAAATGAATAATAGAGAATTGATCTTTCTATCAACACCATATCCAAAAGCCAAAGACTTTTGGTATAAATTAGTTAAGAATCGGACTCATCTAGTTGGTGGACTTCGTGATATCAAACTACTGACCAGTGAAATGAGATGTCTTAATTATCCATCAATTGGTTATCCTGATCTTGATTTTCCATCAAATCCACGCCGTGAAATCTGGAGACAAATAATGGGCTACAAAACGAATTATTTTTTACTTAGAAATCAGATGATCATAAGTAAACTAAAATATCCCAAATTTGATAATTGTCTAATTGAAAATGTACTCAAATCAAATGCTGACCTGAAAGATTCATTAGTCTACGTTGAACTAATTTGCATTAATCGAGGAACACCCGAGACTGGAGATATTATCTGTATTCCAACAGAAGATGATATGAAAAAATATTTAGGCCGTTCAAAGGTTGACATTAAAATAGACGAGATTGGATATGGTCCAGTTGAAAGTATAAAAATTTCGACAATAAAAAATGTCCAACAATCAAGTCGCCAAGTAATTGGAATAGTTGAATTTGGATATTTTTCACTTGATCTTGGAACTGGAAAAGGTTTTGGTTCAATAAGATTACAAAGTCTAGACGATTTAATCAAATTAAATAGCGAAAACAAGTTGATCGCACTGATCAGGTCAAGTAAATCGAATACATTTCGCTTCGTCCAGATTATTATCGATAATTTTAAACTTTTTTAAACTTTTTTCTTTTCGTCATATTTTCTCTCTCTCTCTTCTCTTTCTTCTCTCTTGTCTCTCTTTCTGTTTTCGCTAATAAAATGCTACAAATGCAATACAATTCCCATTCAAAGCTCCCTCACTTCGAAGTTGATCTCCCTCACCATTCAGTTGTTCTCGTCTCTCGTCAGACGCAAACCAATAAAAGAGAAAGGGGTGTGAACCAGTAGATGGCGCAAGAAAAGAAACAGTTCAATGTTATATGAATACGAAGGGGAGATGATAAAGTTTGAGAACCAAAGGCTTCCCCTTTTCAATTAAGCGGGTTTTCAACTTGGAGAAGGTCTGATTTTACTTTTCGAGTGAGAAAGATGAACATAGTCAACGATCAGTTTTCTTTCTGTGTCTCTAAGTCAATCGAACAACCTTATAAACAGTTCAAATGTTCAACTGTCCACACATTCAACTTGTACGATTTTCCAATAATTTTACATTTGTAATTTTCTTCGTATTTCCAATTGTGTAAAACAAATTTTCTTCTATTACTATTCTTTTCAAATTTCTAATTAATATCGTTTTCTCCTAATTAATTATCTGTGATTCACTTTGCAATTTGTACAATCACAACAACAAAAACAATATCTCTCTGTCTCTCTCTCTCAGTAAACTCTTTTTACCCTTTGACCCTTCTAGTTTCATCTTCATCCCATTCAACTAAACAAAAAGAAAATGATATTGAAAGTGATTCTTCAATTTCATCTCATCAATAATATCAACCAGTTCAACACCCAAAAGTAAATCAATAGGTAATGATAATAATAGAATATTAATATTAACCCATTTCCATTGAGAAAAAACAAATTCTTCCAAAATGTTTATCACCAATTATTCTGATTGATTTTGTTTTCTTTTTGAAAATTCAAATGAAGTCATTTAATTACATTACATTCTTATATTACTAATCTCTCTCTCTCTATATATATATACTCACATAGAAATTGTTGTTTTATTATCTTATTGAGAATCTGAATCTACCTATAAGAAGTTACCTCTTGAAAGAATAACATTTACAACATTTACTAGAATCTCGATGCGTAATAATTACTCAATTAACGTTGATGAAAATGTTGAAAGAATTAGAGAAAATGAAAGAGGTGAATTATTATTGACAAATTTTCGTAGTGAAAGTGAATTGAGGATAATTATTAATCGTCTGAAGGTAACGAGGTCACCAGACAGAGAGACCTATTTTTCGTGACTGTCTGGGTCAATTCTTCCCCAATTCGAATCACTTTTACCCCTTTATCTTTCTATACTTGTAGTGAGTGAGAGCAAGAGAAATAAAAAAGACAGAAAGGAAAGAGAAGATGAAATTGAGAGAGAGAAAGAGAAAAAGAAAGAGAAAGAGAGGGAGGAAGAGAGATAGAGAGAGAGAATGAGAATGAGAATGAAATAAAGGGAGAAACAGTGAGAGTGAGAAACAAAAGAAAAAAGAAAGAGAGTAAAAGGGGTAAAAGTGATTCGAATTGGGGAAGAATTGACCCAGACAGTCACGAAAAATAGGTCTCTCTGTCTGGTGACCTCGTTACCTTCAGACGATTAATAATTATCCTCAATTCACTTTCACTTTTTTTTATTCTTTTCTTTTTCCTCTCTCTCACTCTTTCTCTTTCTCTCACTCAATTGATATTCTCACGTATTGTTTTTCAACAGAAAAATATATTCATTCAAATTGTTTACAAATCAAATTCATTAACTAATCATCATGACCTAGACACTTTTTTTTTCTTAATGAAAAAAAAAGAGTTTAAATTTAAAGGTAAATATAAAAATCATAAAGGTCAAGTTTGATTGAAGAAAGAAACAAAAAAAAAGTGATTCATTAATCAGATATGAAAGATAATTAAAATACAATAAAAAATGTTTTGTGAATGATTGGTGAGTCATTTTGGTAGAAAATGAGTAAATTAATTTGTTTACTCTGATGGGTCAACTCAATTGATTGAATGTGAAAAGAAAAATGAATGAAAATTGATCTACTATTACTCTTTGAGAGTAAACAATATGTTGATTAAAAGGAAATGATTAGAATGCGGAAATAAAGGTGAATAAAATAGTTAAAGGGTTGGTAGAAAAAAAGAAAGAGAAAAAGAGTTGCCATCTATCGGTGAGAAAGTTCGTCAAACGAATCAAAGGTAAGAGATGATGAAGAAGAAGATGAAGATGAAGATGAAGAAAAGGAACAAGAGGAGATAGGGTTGAATGGACTTGTTGAACGTGTTTATTGGTGCCATTTAAATGGAAATGATTAGGAAGAAGAAGAAGAAGAAAAAAGAAAAGAAAAGAAAAGAGTAAAAAACAAGTAACAAGATTTTCTGGTTTATCTTTGGTATTTAAGAGAAAAGTTCATTAACCTTCACCCGTAGATCCGAATTTGTGTTTAAAGAGTTATCATTCATTGCAAGTTTGTTTCTACGGGTCCAGGTTGGTGTTAACTGAATCTTCATCATTCCACAACAACAAGAATCAATAGCAACAGTTACTACCACCACTCCTTTACCCTCTTTCCCCTCGACAATCAACTCTCTTCATCTTCTCTCTTTCTCTTTCTCTCTCAACCCTTTTTCTCTCACACATTAGTTACTCTCTATCTTTCCGTCTCCCTTGATTCTTTCTTCATCTTTCTGTCTTCTACTCTGTCTAATATTCTTTCTCATTTGTCTGTCTCTCACTCATTTTACGCATTTTAGTTACTTTTTTTTTCTTCTTTATCTCTTTTTCCATATCATCCGTTGCCTCCTTTTCTGATTCCTGCCTGAACCTTGTGTTCCTCTTATCCCCAACCAACTAACTCTCTCAGTGTCTCTCTCAATGCTTTCCAATTAAACCAAACTGTTCATTGAAACAACAATTTACTTGTTCGCTAATCGTCCCCAACAAACTACAGTCGACCAACAATTGAACAATCACCAGGTAAGTCATTTGGATTCTCTTTCTTTCTCTCTCAACCCTTTTCTCTCACACATTAGTTACTCTATCTTTCCGTCTCCTTGATTCTTTCTTCATCTTTCTGTCTTCTACTCTGTCTAATATTCTTTCTCATTTGTCTGTCTCTCACTCATTTTACGCATTTTAGTTACTTTTTTTTTCTTCTTTATCTCTTTTTCCATATCATCCGTTGCCTCCTTTTCTGATTCCTGCCTGAACCTTGTGTTCCTCTTATCCCCAACCAACTAACTCTCTCAGTGTCTCTCTCAATGCTTTCCAATTAAACCAAACTGTTCATTGAAACAACAATTTACTTGTTCGCTAATCGTCCCCAACAAACTACAGTCGACCAACAATTGAACAATCACCAGGTAAGTCATTTGGATTCTCTTTCTTTCTCTCTCTCTCTCTCTCTCTTACACCCCTTTCGTTTCTTTATTATATCAGCATTCATTTTCCTTTAGCCCCTCTTATATATTTTCTCTGTGTCTTTTTCCCCCTTTTTCCTCTTATTTTCTCTCTTCTTTTTTTCTCTATCCCATTTGTCCTACCCTGTTAATCTCTATCTCTCGGTTAATTACCCCTTCCAATTGAACGATTAATCCATGTGTCCAATGAACTAACCTTGCTATGAATTTTTCTTTTCTTTTTCCATGTGACCTCATTAAAGATAAAGTTCGTTCTTCATCATCATCATCATCCCATTTGAAAGTGTTGATCATCTCAAGGATATTAACCATCAAGCATTGGATTCCATTGATTGTTGTGAAATTTGTAGTTTTATTTACTTACTTTTCTCTCTCTCTCTCTAATTACGCCTTTCACTTGTGTGGTTGTGTGTTTTAACTAATCATTTTTTTCACTTCCTCATCAATTTCTTTTCTTTTCTTCTTCTTCCTTTCTTTCTCTTGGCTAAAGATCAAAGATGACGATGAGATTTCGATGATTATTTGGAATAATCCTTTTCCTCATTCAGTTGAATATTTATTTACGCCTTAAGCAGATACGAAAGAAACGAAAGGATTAATTTGTTTCATGTTATCATGAAATCGTGACAACAAATCGATTACATATACAAAACCAAGACGCTCTTTCATTTATATTGTTACAACTACTCATTATTGAGATTCGATCAGAGGTAGTAGGTTGTATTGTTGATGATTAATTAACCCCAATCGGAGGCCCTTAACTATACAACTTGCTAGCTTCCTTCGAGTCTCTTTACAATCTTCATGTGTCTCTCATCATCATGTCCACAATTCTCACATCGTTAATTCATATCCTGGATCTGGATAATTTACAAAGATGAGTTTCGCTCTATCATATTTTTCTCAGTATTATTATTATTATTTTTTTTTCTTCTCCTTTCTCTTGATTTATTCGGACTTTTTTTTACTTCTCCAAGATATTTCATTCTACATACACACAAATACACTATTACCCCAGATGCAAGGGAGAGAAAGAGATTAAGGAAATGGAAATGAGCTACAAACACACATCATCTCCATCGCTGGAAATGAGGAGCACCCAAATACCCCTTATTCTTTTGCTGTTAAATAAATAACGAGGAAAAAGAAATGAAGAGTAAAATGGCCTTCCAACTGTTTATCTTCTAAAAATTTGATAACTTGAAAAAAAGTATAGAAAAGAAAATAAGAAAAAAAAGGGGAAGATGAGAAGAAAAAGAGGAGGAAGAGGAAGAGAGCGAAAGAGAGAGAGAAAGAGAGGAAGGAGAAAAGTGATTGCGAAAAGTTATGCTAAAGAGCCTCGCGGGTTTGAGGTGAGGCAGCGATTCGAGTCGAGGAAAATGATCTTTTATAGTTTATCTTAAAGAGGAAGATGAACAAGGTGAGAGCTTCTTTCTCTCTTCCTCGATCTATAAGATCTTTTCAAATTTGATGGTTGATTCACTTCATTAAATTTTCTAACTGCTATTAATACATCGAACCATCTGTTTGTCACTCGAATTCGCAGATCACATTCTTTCCAATATGGTCCATGCGAATTGACTACTACTTTTGTCGATATCGATTTTGTCGATCATCTTTTTTTCTGCCGTTTCTCTCCATTGGCTCAGCCTTTCGATACTCTTTTCCATCTTTTCCTTGTTGTTTAAATATCGATCTCAAGTCTTTTTTATCCGAATGACCTAAAAACGAAAACTTCGAGCACCTTTACCATCTTTTTTTTCTCTTTCCCTTAAATACGATCATTTGTCTCCATCAAACTGTCGGTTTGTCTATTTCCAGTCAATAGTATTTCTTTTTATTCCTCATTCGGTGTCCTAGTTATTTTTATAAATTTAATTCGATTCGATATTTTTTTTCTTGTTGACCTTTTTCATCTTCTATTATCGCTCCAAGCTATTTCTCTCTAATCTTATAGATGCGCTTCGGTTGGATGTATTGGTCACTTTTTAAAGCGATTGGTCAAGTTTTCTTGCTAACTGGTAGCTCGTCTCAACCAATCAAAAGCCACGATGACCAATAAGTGACCACAACGCTTTTTATTGGCTATTTTATCATCGTTTAAGGTCACGGCTTACCTTTTATTCAGTTTAAAGGCCACAAAAGACCAGTGAGAGGTCAGCGATTTTTGGACCAATGGGCGAGTCGATATCTCTCTCGAACTCATTTAAATGATTAACATTTCCATAACTATAAATTTACAGTTAATGTTTCATTCATGACAATTAACTGATTCAAGAAAATGGAAATTTTTTCATCTGAATTTTATTGAACTTTATTTTCATCTCATCAGTTACAATTTGGAGATTGATTTGATTGTTTTTTTTAATGATTATCATCTAATTATAACTCGTTAGGTCAATCGAGTTCTGACTTCTTTTGCTGCTTCGACCATATTTTTCAAAGCTGCTACAGTTTCACCTTCATTTCGAGTCTTTAATCCACAATCCGGATTAACCCAGAAAAGTTTAGGATCGACAACTTTTAATCCTCGATTTAGAATATCGGACATCTCTTCCTTCGAGGGTATTCGAGGACTGTGAATATCGTAAACACCTAAACCGATTCCTTTAGAGTATCTGAACTTTTCGAAAACTGCAATCATTTCTCCATGACTTCGAGATGTTTCAATGGAAATAACATCAGCGTCAAGGTCAAGAATACTCTGGATAATGTCTTGGAATTCACAGTAACACATATGAGTGTGAATTTGAGTTTCTGGCTTCACTTTGCAAGTAGCCAAACGGAAAGATTTCACAGCCCAATCAAGGTAATCAGACCAATCGCTTTTCTTAAGCGGTAATCCCTCTCGAACTGCTGGTTCATCAACTTGAACCAATTTAATTCCAGCGGCTTCAAGAGCGAGAACCTCATCTCTCAATGCTAATGCGATCTGATAAGATACATTAGATCGAGGAATATCGTCTCGGACAAATGACCAATTGAGAATAGTAACTGGACCAGTTATCATACCTGATAAAGAAAATAGTCCAAAGTAAAATATTTAACTTCGATAGATCATCTAATTATATTTTCTTAACGGGAAATTGGCTTCAATTTGAAACTTAAAAATGATCGATTCGAAATCGTCAATTTTTTGTATTTTCAGTAGAAAACAAAACTATCAATCTAATGGTAAAACTCTAACCACTCAATTAATCAAGTGGAAATGTTATTGGTTGAATTGTTATCGGTATCGAATCAGTTAGGGAAGCAATTGTTCATTTTCTATGACAATAATTACAATTAAAATCTAAAATTAATCTCAACGAGATTCGTAGTACAAGTGGTTCCATCTAACGGTTTTTAATGGAATTTTTTTCTCGAAAGAAAATGAGGTTAAGTGGTGACCTCTATGGTCTACCCGTTTGACTAGAAGAACGAGAATGAATCTAATGGTAAAGTTCAATGAATGATCAAGTTAAATTGTTATGAGAACTTGAAATTAGAATTGAATTTAGACTTACCTTTTACTGGTTTTTTGGTTAATGACTGAGCATAAACTGTTTCCTTCACTGTCATTGGCTCCTTGAAACTCACATCGCCATAGATGATCGGAGGTTTAACACAACGAGATCCGTAAGATTGGACCCAACCGTTGGAAGTAAAAGCGAATCCAACAAGTTTCTCGCCGAAATATTCGACCATATCAGTTCTTTCGAATTCTCCGTGAACTAATACATCGATTCCAATTTCTTCTTGAATTCTGATCCATTTCTCGATTTGTTGACAGATGAATTTCTCATAGTCTTCATTGGAGAGAGTTCCTTTTTTCCATTTGTTTCGAGCTGAACGAACCTCAGTTGTTTGGGGAAAACTTCCAATAGTAGTTGTTGGAAGACGAGGTAACAAGAGATTAGCTGCCTGTTGATCGAATCGCGATTCGAAAGAATGACTTCTCTCGATTCCAATCGCAGTCAAGTTTTCCAAGTCAACATTCACTTTGATCTTTTGACGTTCACTTTCAAGATCCTTCAACGCGTTTGTCGATTCATTGAAAGCCGCCGAGACATGATCAGCACCTTCGTTAAAAGCTACAGCTAAATGTTTAAGTTCAGTCAATTTCTCGTCACTATAAGCGATGGCGTTTCGGAGGAATGGGGCAAGTTTGGTCTCTCCTTTTGCCGAAACCTAAGAAAATGAAAGAAACACATAACCAGAGAAGGTCAAATTGATGGACCTCAAAGAGAGAGGGATAAGTAAAAACTCACGGGAGTGAATTGCAATGAACAAGAAGGTTGAATCCAAATCTTATCCGCTGGTCTGAGTTGTAATATTTTTTGTAGGAATTTATATTTTTCCATGAGATCACATCGCCAAATATTACGACCATTAATCAGTCCAACACCAAGAACCTTCTCATCGGGTAAGTTGATTTTTTCAAGATTCTTAAGATTATTCTCATAACCATGAACAAAATCTAAACCAATTCCAGCAACAGGTAATTTGATTATCTCTTCATAATTTTCCAAAGAGTCGAAATAAGTTTGCAACATGATCTTCAAATTAGGAACTGAAACTTTCAATTCTTGGTAAACCAATTCAACTAATTTCATCTCCTCGGAAGTTATTCCAACAACGAGAAAAGGTTCATCCATTTGAACCCATTCACAAAGCTCTTTCTCGAGTCCTTTTAACATTTCGACATAAAGTGGCACAAGTTGATGGACATAGTTCGATATCGTTCCGTATTCACCTTTGGTAAATTTAGCGAAAGAAAATGGACCAATGATGACCGGTTTTCCAATTATATTGAGCTGCTCTTTGGCCTCAACAAAAGCTTCAAGAGGCCGATTTTGGGTCAACCTTAGCTGGACACCAGACTCATATTCGGGCACAATGTAGTGATAATTGGTGTTGAACCATTTTGTCATTTCACAAGCGATACTTTCCTGAGTTCCTAATGAAAGTAAACAAAGATTATCATGAAAAGAAATTGAATTAGATTTGATTGTTGAAGAGAAAACTTGTCAAGTTGAAATTCACCTCGAGCCATAGCAAAGTAAGTAGATAAATCAACAGGTCCCGATGGATCATGTTTATATCTTTTCGGAACAATATTGAACATTGTCGCCATGTCGAGAACTTGATCATAAAAGGTGAAATCATTAACGGGAATCAAATCAACACCTAAATCTTTTTGATTCTGTAAAATGGCCAAGCGAAGATTCTTCATCTCGGTGAGAAATTGTTCTTGACCCAAAGAACCGGACCAAAAAGACTCCAAACACTTTTTCCATTGTCGACTAAATCCAATTCTAGGATAACCTAAATTACTGATCAACAATTTAGCCATAATCACAGAGAACAATTTGAATGAGGAAATTGAAACAATTGAAAAAGAAAAACAATCAACACAAAGAAGAGAGAAAACAAAGTGAAAGGTTGAGGAGATTGATGGAAAATGGTTTCAGAGAGCAACATTAGAACCTTTTTCTCTGCTCTCTTATCTTCCTCTCTCTCTCTCACTCTCTCTCCCTTGGTTACTGCCCGACGGCCTTTTACTTGATAACCAATAGATTATAAATAGAAGATCAGACCACTTATAATCCGCCTTCTATGCTGCGATAATGACATGGTTCTAATCTAAATGTTAATTCGATGTTCCCAACCCAAAGAATATAAGAAAATTTATCTCTCATTTTCTAATAAATTTCACAATCGCCTTTTTCGGACTAATTGGATTAAAATGCCCCGCAAGTAGGTTGTAGTTAATTAACGAATTGGTAACCACAAATGAGTGGGAGTTTCTGCTTTTAAATGATTAGCAATCAGTTGATTAAAATTATATAATACAGAATTGACATTGATGATGCTGCCATTCCGGTTAGACAAGAGTTCTTATTGGAAAAGATTTGGTTAATCAGTCATTTTTTTGTGGTTTAACTTTTGATTGCACGTGAAAAGATTCAATTGTAACCGTGGTTAGTTTTTGCAGACGAATTCAATTAATTGATTAATTCCGCATCTAATTGTAAACAGATGCTCCACGAGTGAAAAGTTGTTGTTTTTACTATTACAATGAAACATTGTTACTAATTTTATCCGATTAGATGACAGCATTGAAGTGCAAAAATGTACTAATCAAATGCTGCTGATGAAAAGATGATAACAACTGACAGTTGATTTAATTGTCTTAACGAGTTTTGTTGACGATAAATGAGAATCATTGCAAGATTTTCTGTTCACTTTCTAGTTTCTCCTCTGAGTGTCAATGACCAACTAATTAAACATTTCCAAGAGCAATTTTAATACGAACTGACGATTAATCTAAAATCAGTGCAATAGTGACCACTTGAGACCAATTAGAAAATCACCATGTTCATTGAAGTAATTGATCAAATCGTTCTAGATAAATGAAATAAGAAAAAATCAATTTAAATGATGATCAAGATGGAGAGAGTAAGATAATTGATGACAAACCTTTTGCTTTTTGTTATGATATGAATACATAATATTGGACAAATTAAAATTTATATTTCTCGATATTTACTCCATTCGCAAGTCCATTTAAAGCGTTTCGCTTTTTTTAATGGACTTTTTTATTTGGTGCTTGATTTGTTTTCCCACAGGATGATCACATAAAGATGTGCTTTGGTTGATCTTATCAGTAATAGAAATATAATGAAGCCTAAAAGAAAATGAAAAATTAGAATTAGAATTAGAAATGTTCACAATTTGCAAGTTAATTACATGATTATTATACTAACCAAAACTAAGGATAACCAACTAGATGAGTCCGATTCCTAACTAATTTATACTAAAAGTCTTTGGCTTTTGGATATGGTATTGATAGAAAGATCAATTCTCTATTATTCATTTTGACCATATGAATGATTAAAGAAGTTAAATTTTCATTGTTATCTTGACTAATTTCTATTCTTCTGTGAGGCTGTGAAGATTTTTCTCCGATCGGTTCATTGAGAATTTTGTCACCTTCGATTGTTAAAATGTTTCCATCCTGAAAGTTATCGGGTAAAAATGATCCACAATCACCAAGAGTTTTTTTCAAATGATGTAAACTCTCAGATCCAATCAAACTGAAAAGTTGGTAAATCTTTTCACCGTCAGAAACTTTACCACCGCAAATGAAAAATAACTTATTCGATATCTCGCTGTGAATCAAAGTGTGACACCAAATGATGAGGATGTTATTTTTCTTATCGAAAATTAGATATCCTGGTCCCATGATTTGACTCTGAGAATCGGAATCTTTGAAAAATTGTACCCATTTCGAGGTGAATCCTAAGGCAACAGGGCCGGAAAAGAATGAATCAAAATTGGACTTTGTGAATTGATCCAATTTCTTAGAGACCAGATCAATATCGTCAATTCTGTAAACAAAGAAAGAAACGAAAGTAAATTCAAAAGATGAGAAAATTTCAATGGATCAAAATTTCACGAATACATACCGAATGATTATAGATTTGTAATAAGGAAAATAGAAATGGGTACATCCTTTTGAGAAGCCAATTTTGGAGAAGTCGTTTTAAACTCATTGATAATTTGTTTTATCTCAGAATATCGAGATTGAATTAAAGAGATTAAAGAAATTTCCTGGGGAAGTTTAGCTTGCTCCTTTTCTACACACGATTCCATAATAAAAAGAAAAGAATAACCAAAAAAAACTAATGAAAAAACAATAGAAAAACTCACACGAGGAGACAAAAAAAAATTCCAACTGAAGAAAAATAAACAAAAATCTAATCGATTGTTTACGAAAAAATCGATACATCGATATTTTTTCTTCGAACAGAAAAATTGGGTAAGACTCAAGCTACATAAGACCGAAGAAAGGCTCGGAGGGCCTGAGGCAATCAAACCGAACTTTAAGCCGAGAAAAAAATGAGCTGAAAATTGAAAATATCGAGCTGACGGACATATCTTGAGTCTTACCATTATTGTATTACAATAAGAATTGATCTGATAGCAAAACAAACAAAATCTTCAAATTGAACAACTTGAATATCTACGATTCCCATTGGTTGAAATCGAAAAGCGCCAAACTTGAATTACTTTTCTTTCTAAAAAATGATTAGAAATGTCGCTCAGAAATTAAATTACCAATAAATTAGATTTATTTTTTGATTTGACCAGTAAAAGTTCTCGATAATTTAAGTATATACTCTCGTTTAGCAATTTCTCTTATTTTCCAAGTTTATTTTGATCTATCATTGGGACAGAGTTCGAACTGGTGATTGTTATATGTAAAGTTTGTAGAAAAATTTATTTGAAAGTTGATTGAATCGGAATGTTTGAAACAATTAGCGTTAAATTGATTCACTTTCTCTAAGTGATAACAACTCCTTTGTGTACACAAGGTCCATTCGAAGCTTCTAATAGCGATGGCCAAAGATAACTCTTAATGTGATTCGACGATTGATCTGAAGTATGGAAACGAATGTGCAATCGATCATCAAAAGTCCGACATCCATATTCAATTGTAAACGGTGTTTTTTGAACGGTTAGTGCCCAAGCGAGAGTGACACAATCCTTTATGTACATCAATAAACCATCGCAGCTTCGTAAACATGGATAATCATAGAGTGTGGCACAAATTTGACTCAGAACTTCCTAATTGTTCAAAAAATAAATCGAAAAAAATAAATGAGATTTTATTTACCAAACAATTAACTCTATCGTGTTATCAATTACCTCGACATTATTTCTTGGATCAAATGTATCAATAGATAATCTCAGGTAAGATGTAATTGCGACATCGACCTCATCGATCGCTTCTCTCACAGGTTGACTTTTAATTGTTAAATCAGCGGGAATTTTCAACACTTTTCGTATTTGCTGCCTGATTCTGGTGACACTTTGTTCAACTGAACAAAACGAAAGCTAAACAAAATTCAGAATTGAATTAGACCATGATGATGATCGGTAATCGTCAAACTTACCACGACCAACGAGAATAACAATTTAGCCTTCAAATCATCAGCATTTTTAAGGGTCTTCAGGTCATCTAATGCATCGAGTGTATCGACTCTCGACTGAGCGTACAAGTTACCGTATCGACGGATTAAGGCCGTTGGTCGAGTTTCGTTAAAACAAAGATTTTCCAATTTCCATCCCTTGGATAGCATTTTCTGAGCTTGATCTATGGAATTAAATTGTAAACAATTAACTCTAATTTAATTTCTGAATTTCTTCATCAATCGAATTTCCTCTCACCTGATAATCTATCTTTTAATTGTTGTTCTCGCTCCTTCATCTCATTAATAACTTTATTTGCTCGATTCAGTTCATCTTTCAATGATTTAATTGTATCATCAGATGAATAAGTAGATTGATTAACTTTAACCAAACAATTTGAATCGTTTCCATTTACCTTGATTCCTGAAAGATGCAAAATAAAATCAACTGATTAACATTCAATCAACATTAACTATCAGCAAATACTCACCATCAGTTAATTGATTAGCGGTAATTAAATGGTCGTTTTTCAATTCCTTTAATAAACTTGGAATCATTTTACGATTTTTATGATAATCTTTACGAAAAGAGAAGATAATTAGTCGTATCTTTTGATATAATCTAATCACGAAACTGATAACAATTAAATTGAAATAAAATCTTGAAATAAGTTCACTTAATTGAAACAATTTCATCAGTCAAAAGATATAATCAAAGTAAATCAAGACTAATTTAGTAACCACCTAAATTGAATTAATCTAATATTCCCTAATCACAATCGTTTATATTGTTGATAAACTTGAGAAATCATGATTGATGGTTAACCTAATGTTAGAATTTAATCAATTAGGTTGATTGCTATCGAAAGTATTATTTAAATCGAGTTCAAAATTCAATGAATAATAATCGAATCATTTCTCAGTTTTAATGAAACAGAAAATTCAATCTAAAGGTTTATAAATTTTTCCCTGAAAACTCAAAATTGAAACTAATTCATTGGAATCAATAGTTCACCTGAATAACGGTTAATAATTCATTCACTGATTTTTAATTGTTTTCTGATCGAAAACATCTACTTTCATGATGATTATATTCCGTGACCCGGTAGTGCTACTATATCGCAATTAAACTTGATTGATAGTTGATTATAATTAACAATCTCCTCTTGAAAATGCAGACTTTTTAATCTGACCTTTTCTGCTTCTTGTTTTCATCTGATACAATCAACCAAATATTAACCCCTAAGGGCATCATTATCAAAAGAGTAACTTGAAAATGCAATTCTGACTTTTCATCCTCTCAGTTTGATACAGATTAATCAAGTAGATAAACTAACTCATTGTTATTTCAGCTAATCAGTTGATTGACTTTTAAATAATCTAATATTATTACACAATTTCATTTGATTGATTTGCCTCTGAGTCCACATTAATGATGATTGAAACATCTCAACATCTCCAAGTGTATTGTTAATTTGATTTAATTCCCTCCATCATTAGTTGATTAACTTACCTGAACGATGGATTATTGTATTATATTTATTTGGCATTTGACAATTTAGCTCGAAATCGTTATTTGGACTAGTCGATTCGAGACTCGAATTATTTTCACAGTTCTCATCATGATGATGAACCTTTTTCACCTCATCATCACCTTTGTGTCCACCATTTTGCTTGACCTTTGTATTGATCTCATCTTTGGCTATTGTTGGGTCAACTTTTATCGGCAATTTCTCATTCTCATCATCTGATTGATTTGCTTCATCTAATGTTGAAATCTCATTAATTAAATTGAGAACCTTGATTAGGGATGAAAATTAGAAATGAAGAAATGATTAAAATAAACTATCAAACTTAATGATCAACAGTTAATTGAATATCTCACTTTGATAATAACAGAATTAAGTTGTAATTATGTTTCACTAATTTAAATTATATTAATACTTTTACCTCATCTTTTCAATAACTATTAATTGTGCAATTACTAAATGATTATCTCATTATCCTTTGCCCCTAAAGGTAATTACGAAAAAGTAATTAATACACTAATTGTTGTGCTACCAAAAATAATTAATCGAAACAATTGACTTTAAGTTTTCATGATGAGATGAGATGAGATAATTGATCATCTTCGAGAATCAGAATCAGAAACTTACCTGATTATATCCGAAAGCAAATATACTGAGAACGGGGAAAATGGATGAAACTGAATCACTCGCTGATCCTGAGGTTCGAGGTCGTTTGGCATTAAACTCCTTTCGAAGTTGATTAAATTGTGAAAGAACTTGTTTATCGTAGTTGATTCGTTGTTGAAGGGTCAGTATTAATTCTTGAAGAGGTTGATTACAGATCGTAATTGGTTCAACTGCATTTAGAATAACTTGATTCGATATAAGTCGATCTTGTAACTCTTCCAACTTAAGGTTCGATTTTTTGTTCAATTGGTTCTTATTATTGTTATTAACCGATAACTCATTTGAATTGTTCATTGAATTTAATCGAGCTGTTGATGATCGCGAGGTCGCTCGAGAAATTGACCTCAAAATTGCTGTTCGTTTTGAATTGTTTGTCGATTCTTTCAAGTTTTCCAATCGAAGCAAAATATCCTTATAATTATCGATTACAGATGAAATTTCGAGACGCAAAGCCTCATGTAAACTGGTCAACGATTGATCAACAGCACCAACTAAACCATGATTACTTAATCCTTGAAGTGCTTCGTCCAATGAGGCCTTACGATTGGACATTTCCTTGCGGATGAACGGCTTGTAGATCAATATAATCTAAATCAGAGGGAAGAAATTGTCAGAAATTTAGTAAATCTTTAATCCATCACCATAGAAATACTAATCGTTTCTTACCTTGAGTATATTTTTCGAGGCGATGATCACCGGGTGATCTGAATCAAATTTTTCTCGAATCAAAGGAAGTGCGTTCTTGTGGAATCCATTTGAACCTTTGCCATTCGGTTGTATTGGCTTTTGAAGTGCGAAAAGTTTAACTAAATTAATCACTAATCTATCAGGTTGTAAAACCTCATTGAAACAAATTTCCGATTTCAATTGATCATCAAGACAATTAAATCTCGTATAAATGATTTCCAACAGTTTAACTGATCCTGGAAACGTAGCAATTAAAGATCCAATCGGAAGCTCTTTAATCACTTTGCTAAAGGTTAATTGTGACAGTTTATCGATGAACTTATTGGCCTCATCGAACTGTAGATTATCATGTAAAATCATAATTCGACGAACACAAAGTGAACTATTAGCTTCCTTTTGAACTATCGTCTGATCGCTCGAACCAATTAATCTAGTGGACGATTGATTGAAATTTACATTCGGTCCTATCAAAACTGTACTTCGTTTACTATCGTTCGGTGCTAATGGTTCACTATTAATAATCGGTAACAACTCGTCGTTATTTGTAGAGTAAAATGTTGTCGAACAATCGTTTTTATAACCATTCGAATTCTCAATGTTATTATTATTATTCACAAGTCGATTGCAGGTGACCTGAGCCGAGGGTCGATCGTTGTAAGAAACACTCATGTGAGTCTTCAATTTGTTCATCATAACAATTTTATCTTTAACACTAATCACTGAATTAAATCCGTTCATTGTCACATCACAAGAAGCATGAGTATTATTGTTACGATTTGATTCACTTGGAATCGTATTGCTATTTGATTGTCCATGATGGTGGTGATTGGGAAACACTGATTCTGATCCATTGATTTTATTATTCGGCAACAATTTAACTGATCTAAATTGATTATTGATACTCATTGATTTTATCGGTTAAATATTCACACACTATTTTTTACTCATTTAATTGTAAATTCAATGTTAACGGTTAGATGAGATTCAATGAAATGAATGTTTTGATAAACAAAATAGTATTCAAGTTGTTTGGTAAGTTAATGAAACTTGTTATTCAATTGATGATGAAAAGATGATGATGAGTGAAACTGATCTGATTCAGGAAATTTACCTGAAAAGTTGTTCCGTTGATAAAGTTGAACAGCTTCTCATGAAATTAAAGATTAACTTGAGGCGATTGATTTTCTAAGGCCATAATAAGCTGCTTCCTGATCGTCCAAATATTAGCATATTAATAAGGGTAAAATTATGGACCACAAAGTTTTGGCTCTTTGTCAGAACTTAGAAAGTTTATTTGTCAGTCGAACGAGATTAAGTTGTAAATGTATAAAGCGCGAAAATTATTTGTTTGTTATTCAATTTCCTTTGGAATCTCAATCACGGATAGATTAATATTCTTAATTTGATTGTTCTTTGGTTTCGATGGGCTAAATCGAGCATGGAAAATGTAACATATCGATAATATGGTCGCTATTGTAACGGAAAAGTATGATACAAGTACCAGAATATAGAATTGCGATAATTTTGATAGAATTGCTGTTAAAATGAACTTTGTCAATTCAGCTGAAGTATTCAGACTATTCTGTATTCCTCCAATAAGTACAGGGTTTGGTGTCGTTGTTTGAATCAACTGATTATTGGCTAAATCTGTAATCCATAAGCCGACTCTTGATAGTGTTATTCCCGTTAGAAATAAGATCATTGAAGGATCACTAGGAGATGAATTATTCCCATGAAAGGTGAATACCATAATTAAACATAATGATAAAGGAGCCAGGTCACTAATGTAGCCCATTGTCGCTATGTGGTTAAGGTTGAAATGTTTAACCATCCATTGGAAAACCAATGTACCAATGATTCCCGTCAAAGCGCCCAAAACACTGACCAGTCCAATTATCGTTTCACTTACTCCTTTTGATTTGACAAAACCAACGGTAATTGAATCAAATCCAAGGACCGAAAGGTACATGAGACTGAATGAAATACCTCGTGAACCATAATGTTTAATATAACTTGCGATTGATTGTTTGTAACCTATCATCTCAATAATATCACTCGACGAACTGTTCACTCGAGTGACCGGAGATTTTTTCTTTGAGAGATCAATAACTTTGGTGAATACAACTTTCATGATGAGATATTCAATTAAACCAGAAAAAAGATTGAAAAACATGAGAAATAAAGCCGAAGCTAAATCTGAATATTGGATTATCAGGCCAACCAAAAGCGGAGAGATCGTTTTAATGACCAAATCTATACGGCGTAGTGATGCATTTAGTACTAAATAGATGCAACGAAATTCCAGAATAATCAAAAAATTTACCGAAAATACCTGATTCGTACATTCTTAATTACCTGATAATTGTTGGTCATCTTTGGCAATCATAAGAATCCAATCCTTTTCAAGGCACAAAGTATATCCTGACGAAGCTACTTGAGCAAATGCCGAAAATATAACCAGAATATATGGAGAAAGCAGTTGAATTATCTGTTTAATTGTTGATTGAATATTGATTAGAATCGTCTAGATTAACTCCAACAAACTCTTACCTTGTTTATGGAACGACCAAGAAAACGATCGCCAAGAAAAAAGAGAGCGACAAACGAAGCTGCAATTAGAACACAGAAATTTTGAAAAAATAAAAAAACCGAAATTTCCGTTAAACGGTGAGCCTTTGAAATCCATCTTCCAAGAAAAGGAATTATAATAATCGATAAGCACGAAGCTAATATCCCTTGAAGAGCGGCTAAAATTAAAGAATCAGGATTAAGTTTGATTAGATATAATCCTATGGCGAATTCCCAACATCGATCACCCTGAAAAGATATACGAAAAATCAAATTAAACTGATATACTAAATTAAACTAATCTGATTCTCTAATTTTCCAATATTCTCAAAAAAAGATTATCAATGATTTAGTGAAACTTACCCAAGAATTAAGAGCTCGATCAAGGTAAAGTAACTGATTAACCGAAAATGAGTCTAATGAGAGCATAATAATCAAATAAACTGTTAGTTAACAATTGATGTTATGAGTTAATTGTGTTAATTTCAGGTTTAATTGGATGAGTTTCTAGACTTTAGGGCCGTGTGATCATATGAAAACAATGGTGCTTCGGATAGTTTGTCTTTATCAAGAATCTTTGTTAATGAATAATCTCTGAGTTTTTCATTAACATGATTCAACTGAATGATATTTTATTACCATTGCTAATCAGAGTAATCACTAGATTAGTTTGATTAGCACCAATAAACTGATACAAAAATCTTCAGATCGCATGATAAAACTTACATTAACATTTGATTAGAGTTATTACAGATTGAATGAAATTGAATCAGTAAAATTTTATCTTCTGGACAAGTTTATTGCCAGAACTTTGAATTTATCTTTGACTCGATCTTATCGATGCCGATCTATCCAGAGTGAGCTTTGGTTTCGATTTGAATAATTGTCTACAAATAAAGGGTAATAATAAGCAAGACAATGTTTGAATAACCGATAAAAAGCCAGTATAGTAGATGAAAACTACCGGCATTCTGTCCATGAATTTAGCGACAATCCAAGGATGGACAGCCTCTCCAACAGAGGCGAATATGAATATAAAAGAAGCGTATTTATTGGAGACATTGATGTACTTTTGCAAGAGTCCAAGAGACACTGAAAAGGTTGGTGAAAATCCAACTCCAAGCATCGCTAATGAGATCCAAGCAATCAGTTGATTGTAAGCCGCATGTGGAACCATTAATACAACACTAATGAGTATCAATGAGTAATTAAAATACATCAAGTATTTTTCCTTAATCACGTTGGTTAATGCGATAAAAATAAGCCGATAGAAGGTGAAAACTGACCAAAATAGTGTCACTAAATTAGCTCCATCCTGTTTGGTCATTTGCAGATCAGATTTAACAGCAAATGCTGGTGCCACAGAACCTTGAGTAACAGAAATGAGCAAATTCGTTGAATTTCTGGTATCATTTGATAATTTTAATGTTCAAACTTACCAATCATCGTCTCGACTCCAAAAGTGGTATGAGCTATAATCGCAACAGCCGATATCGCCGCAGCTATTTTCCAGTTTGGATGATCGTTAGAATCTGTGGTCTGGCTTGATTGATCATTTTTACGATTCGAATCGTCTTTGAAATAGAACATCAAAAAACCAAATGACGTAAAGATTAAGATTAACCCAACGACAACGAATGGATATTGAACTTTAACATCGTCGGGAGTATAAGTGCCAAGAACGTTATCTCCACTTTCCGAAGAGTTCGTTGAATTTTGGACTAAAGGCAGTAGAAAAGGTTTAACAAGAAGCGGTGTCAACAATGAACCCAAACCAAAAGATCCGTGCAGTATTTGGACATAGTTCGTAGCTTGATTTCCCCAAATAGCCAACGTGTAGGTGTTTGTATCTGTGATCGAAAAAATCAGACTACAACTTCATGTTTACTTTTAAAGCCGCAAACAATAAATTACTTACAGATATCGAATACTCCTTGAGAAACTCCTGACAACAGTAGACAAGCATAAACGGCATTGAATTGCTTGAACCAAGGAGCCAAAGCAACGAGTATACCAGCAGAAAAATTGGTCAAAAATAAGATCATATCAGGCCCGAAACAAGAGTCGATAAAACCGGCTAGTGAATAACGAATAATGAGTTAGAAAAAAAAGAGAATCGATTAATCGTAATGTGTACTTACAAAGAACTCCACCGATCAAATAGCCAATCGACCGACTTGGAACTAAACCCGAGACTTGAGAAAAGGTCAAACTCATTCGAATCTGTAAATCGAGTAACGATGAGCCCATTAAAGTACAACAACCTCCAAGGCCGAAAAAAGAAACGAAGCAAAAACATGATTTGATTAACTTAATTCGATTGATTCTTAAATAATCAGCTAATTTCATGTTGATTATTTATGCTTAATCAATGATTCAATCCAATATCAACAAGACAAATTGACTCATGAAATTTTCCAATAATAAAAATAGTTGTTAATTGTTTCGAGGCTCAACTAGACAATCTAAGCAAATTCACCAACTAATATTTGGTCTTGAAGAAAAATTCATTTAATCTACAACAATTTCATAGTTTAGATTTTAATTGCTGATTTTTTATGCATTAATTGTAGCTGATTAATTCTTAGAAAAACCATAACAATTAAGAAAACTGCATTAAACCAGATAAATTATCAAAGGTGTAAATCATGTTTATCCTCTCGATTACCAGTAACTCTTCATTTGGCACAATTAAAGATAATAAACATCTTAAGATTATCTTAATTAGATTAATAATTAACTCAAAATAGCTCAAGACTAACTTGGACTATTTTCAATTGTGATAATCAATTTTTCATCTAAGTTTTTGAACTGATCGTTATTCATACGATTGCAAACTCGATTAACTTTTCCTCGGAATTTATTACTTATGAACTTTGGAAAATTTGATTATAATGATGAATCAAATTGTCAACTCAAGAGATGGAGTTACAATCTATCAATTAATGTTTTTCTCCTTGATTGCCATCTAACGTTGAGAAAAAAAAAGGTTGACTTGATTGTTACAATTAACGTGAAATTTGATTGTTATTGTTTACAAGTGAATTTCAATCAAAATATGTTTTAGTTTCTGGTTAACATCATGAAATTTTTATACAAAGAAAAACATTTACAGTTAATAAATTAAAATCTAAGGTAAGTTGCACTTGTTTAGATCGATTTGTCGATTGGATTAGATTAATTGTTCATCTAGTAAATGATCTGAATGATTCAGTTCTACTGAAGTCTTTTCTTTCATCAGGTTTGAATATTTTATTACAAACTATTGGCAGGATGAAGCAAAGAGCAACCTGAATCGACGACATGATGGCCAAATAGTAAACGAAATAAACTTGGCTTGATTGCATCAATTTCGTTAAGATCCATGGATGAATCGATTCACCAGTAACTCCAACGATAAAGATATAAGAAGCATTTCGACCAGAGAGATAGAAGTATCTCTGTAAAGTGGATAATGCAACTGTGAACGTCGGTGAATATCCAGCCCCGAGAAGAACGAATGAAATCCAAATACATGGACGAGAATAAGCCGCGTGTGGAGCCATAACGAAAGCACTTATGATCACACAGGTATAAGAAAAGATCATGATTCGTCTTTCCTTGAACACGTTGAGTAAACCAAGGTGAACGTATCGGTAAAATGTGTACAAAAACCAGAAAACAGTGACCAACGAAGCTCCATCTTGTTTGGACATATGAAGATCAGATTTAACTGCGAATGGTGGTCCCAACGAACCTGTCGATCGAAAGGTTACAATTAGTGATCATTCGAAATGAAAAACTATGAAAAGTAACAACTTACCGACTAAAGTTTGTAATCCAAAGGAACAATTTGCAACTAGAGCGACAATCGCAATACAAAGAGCTCTTTTCCAAAGAGCGGAAACATTATTGATCACGATTTCTTTATTGACAAAATCGTCCGTTTTTCGATTGGCTCTGGCTCGTAAATAGAATAATAAAAATCCAAGCGATGAGCTGAAAAGAACTATGGAAATGACTAGAAATGCATATTGAACTTTAACATCTTCAGGTGAATATAATGCAAAAGTTTCGTCGTCGGTTAAAGTTTCATTGGTTGACGGTAATAGGAACCCTTTCGTCAACAAGGGTGTCAGTAATGAGCCAAGACCGAATGATGAATGTAAAACTTGAATGTAATTTGCTGCTTTTAGCCCCCAAATATTGTATGAGTAAGTATTTACAACTACAATTAACACAGAAAATAAAGATGAATCAGTTTTATCCAATTCAGAATTTGATCATTCGATTGTTTTATGGATTAGCTTACATATATCGAGAACTCCTTGTGCGATTCCAGAGATGAAAAAACAAGAGTATATCGGCCAATACGAAAAAAACCAAGGAGCCAAACCGATGAAAATGGCCCCAGTTGAATTAGCACAGAATAGAACCAAATTAGGTTCGAGCTTAGTTTCGATAAGAGCAGCTAAGGGAAACGCGAATACAATTACTTATTAAATGGAAGCATAAATTTGATGATAAACTTACCAATTACTCCGCCGATCATGTAACCGATCGCTCGACTTGGAATAAGGCCAGTAACCTTTTCATAAGGTTCTCGAACACGAATCTGAATATCAAGTAAAGATGAACCAAGCAAAGTGCTGCATCCACCGAGACTCATGAAGGTTAAGAAACAGAGACTCGTTTTGATCAGATGAATTTTATAAAGTTTAAGATACTCAGTCAAATTCATGGTTGATTGTGTTGTGTTTGTGAAGTTTCACAGAATCAAAATAATAATTAAATTCAACTGGTTAAAGTTTCGTTTCATCAAACCTTTTATACTAACATTACAACTACCTGATAATTTATCGGATTTGATCTGTTTCAGTGGATAAACAATAAGATAATCATAATTTACAGAACTTTTTTTGACTTAAATCAAAGAGAAAATCAAGTTATTAGATTTTGAAAGAAAATATAATGTTCACTATTGACAATTTAATTGCTGCGATTACGCAGATGCTGGTAATTATCAAAATCTTTATCTCTTTGAAGTTAAATCACAATTCTGATAATGATAACAAAAAAAGACGATGATCATTATGAAGAGCAGATTATCGAGTGAGTGACTTGTGAGAAATGATAAAAATCCTTTACAATTTAGTCTATCGAGTATCGATTCGAGATGGTTCAAGTTTGGTCGGATCATTTTGTTAATCCAAGACTAATTCATAAGGATCAGTGATTGATTTTCGGTGATAAAATGACCCATCACATGGCTTAGATAAAATTACGCTGATAAATCAAACGGTTGTACCTTGATATCCATCAATTGACTTTGAGAAACTTTCTATTGATTTCTTGCCAAAGATAAACAATTATTACTTATTGTTGGCAAATCGATTGTCTTTTTTTATATAATATTCACTAATAATTGACAATTTACTTGATTGTTTAAGATGATGAGTTAAATTCACCATTGATTTAAGTTCTGATTGCGTATCAAAAAAACGTGCCAGTGCAGGAAATTATTAATAGATTGGTATATAATTATTATTGAGCAATAAGATATCATGTTATCCCTTTCAAATTACATGTAATCTCACAACAATTAAAAGCTAATTAACACTGACATTTAAGCTTTTTCTGGATTAAACTGGATTAGGCACTAAAATAACATCTCGTTGGCTTGAAACTCGTGATAATAAATTTAATATTTTATTGTCAAATAGAAACAAAAATTATACAATTCTGGTTGATTATCTTTCACAACTGAATCCAATCATGTTATCATTAGTAAACTTATTAATATTTAAGCAGAAAATTAAGTATTTCCTGGAATTTTATCCACTTTACGATTAATCAATTCAATCGAAGGTAATGATTTATATTAGTAAATATAAAGGATTAAAGTTCGTCTCTTGAATTATTGATAAACACCTACATTAATTAATATCTCTAAGTGTTTTTAACTCCTGTAAACTCAAGGGTTTGAATCATGATTACCAGAATATCTCACGTGTTGGTTGTTGCAGCTAATTACAAGCATTAAATGATTCCAAAGCTTCTCCATCACACAAATAGTAAAATAATATAATTAATCTTAATTGAGATTCTCATAAAGATTTGCCATTTTCATGCAATTACTTTCATACCAAAAGCCACATGTATGGTTGAAATTGAGTAGATTAGAACTCGATTGGTTCAGTAGCTTGAATGAATTTTTATTATTTGAATATTTTTTTATTCAGAAGCTTAGATCTCAATTACGATTCTCTTTGAACAAAAAATATCGAAAAAAATTAAGATCCTCACATTCATCGAGACTAATGAAATTCAATTTTCTGAATCAATGAATAGCAAAGATTAGGTTTCAGCTCGAACTCAATATGATATGTTACTAGTACATTCTCATGAATATTAAATAAGAAATCAGCATTCGAATTGATAATGAACTTTTTTGTTCCAAAAAATCAAAACTAAATTTATCGAGTGTCAATTTGATCGGTTCCAGGTCAGTTTATCCGAGCGATCGATTCGATCAGATGACAATTGTATCTGCAACTTTCTCTCGGTTAGTTCGTTATGTCGATAGAAACACGAAACAAGTTACTTATTAACAACATATTCGAACAAGTTAATTAGAGTTGATTCGAGTTGAATCTTCATTATCTTCCTCCCTTAACCTCTCCCTCTTGTTTATGACCTTAATTCATCTTTCAACTATTTCAGATTCTCTTTATTAATGATCATTAAAACTTGATTCTTTTCCGAATTAACGTTCAACCAAACAACTGTTTCTTCGTTCGTGTTAAATTGCTACAATTTACTATTTCTTTTTGTTTCTCTTTTCGTTATTCAAATGCAACTAATTAACTAAACAAGTTAATTAACATTGGAAAATTATCATCGAATTCGTGAGAAATATTAATCTAGTCTCTCTTTCGTCCATTCGTTCAAAAGCAAAATGTCCTCACCTTCGTTTGTTTCAACGAAAAGTAAAAGTAAGTTGTCGTTTTCGTTATCAGCTTAATCATTTACTAATTGTAATTATCAAAACTCATTGGAATTCATTGATTCATTTCATCATTAGGCTCCAAACGGTCAAATTCAAACATTTATGGACTGAAATGGTTCATCTTTGCTCTGCTAACGACAACAGTTCTGGTCATGGGCTCGCTATTCTTGGACATTGCTCTTTATGCCACTTTACCTGGTGGTTTATTGTGTTTCGTTTTATTCTGCTGGTTAATTAGTTCACCAATCAAGCGATTCATTGTATTTATTTTCTGTAAATCAGTTGATCCAACCAACAAGTACATTTTGATAACTGGTAAGTTGCTTCATATTATTTTTCATGTCCATTTATTTTCAATTGTCGCTTACACAAAACTGACCTTTTCTGAACTTGATTGACCCTTAAAGGTAAAACTTTACTTTTATATTATTCACCTTTTTATAATTTTAAGCAGAAAAATTTTGCTCCAGGAAAAAAAAGCGTAAAAGTAGTTTCAAAGTTGTTCTTAATGAAAATCAGATGATAATGATTCTTGGGCTCAGTTTTAGGGGAAAGAATTACTATAAAAAAAGTGATTTAAATACTAATCGTTTAACCTGAAATTTACTGATTACTTTCAGGTTGTGACCAAGGATTAGGCCATGGAATTGCCCTGAAATTGAATTCGTTGGGATTCAAAGTATTCGCCTCATGTTATAATCCACTGAGTTCTGGTGCCATCTCTCTGAAAGAAAGTGCGAAACATTCAGATAGAATGATAATCTTTAAGTTAGATGTTACTAACGATCAGGATATAAGTGAATCGATTGAATTGATAAATTCTCATCTTAAGGATTCACCGAACGATGTATTTTGGGCGCTCATTAACAACGCTGGTTTGAGTCGAACAGGTAAATTGGAATGGGGGTCATTCGATCATCATTTTCGTTCTCTATTTGAAGTTAATACTTTCGGCGTTGTCAAGGTAACTCGAGCTTTCCTTCCACTATTACGATCTTCATCTGGTCGAGTGATTATAATGTCTTCTTTCGGGGGTCGAGTTACTTCAGCCTTCATGACCGCTTATGCCATGTCCAAAGCGGCGATCATTTGTTTCGCTGATGGTTTAAGGCTGGAAATGATGCCTTTCGGTGTTGCTGTTGTATCGATTGAACCTTCGTTCGCTCGAACTCCAATGATGGATCCAGTTGTATCTAATCAACGAATCGATGAGATGTGGATCAATACGGAGCCCGAAGTACAACAAGCCTATGGAAAAGAGCAAGTTGACCAGGTCAAAGAGACGATTGCGACTATTCATTCAGGTCCACTTGGTTTAGATGAGACTTATAAAGATGTGATCAGGTGTGTCACTCGATCGGTGACCAGTCCAGCTCCTGAATACGTTGAACAACCAGCATCTTTCATCCAAAAGCCGATCAACTTAATTGTCCAAACTATACCTCGAGAATGGGTTGATGTTTATCTACTAATTGTTCACAAACTATTAACTCTAATTGGATCAACTTCGAAAAGTGAAAATCAAGTTTAGAAAAACAAAACTTTTTTCTAATCCAATTGAGTTAATCAATCTAGTCCGTTTATATTAACACTAATTCTGGTCCATCTTGAATATTTCACTATTCCAAGTTAATTGTGAGTAATTAAATCTTCTAATTAAATCATATTAATTAAATTTCTTTTAATTACTTTGTACATTTAATTTCCTGATGTGATAGTAAAATTGTGATAATCTTGTTATCCTTGTGAAAAAAAGGATTAAAACTAAATTTCCAACCGTCAATTAGTTAAATCTAATTAGTCTCTCTATTGACACTGATCAACTAATCACGAAACTTTTTCCATCTAAATTGTAATTTGTGTTTCTCTTGATTAAGCAAAATGAATTCTCAACAATTAAAATGTAATAATATTGAAAAAGTGAAACTTAAATACGAATTGATTACAAATGAAACTGTTTATTTACCTGCGGTTTGTGGTACTTTTGACCCAATGGAACCTCCGAATTGGTTTGATCAGGATAAGTTCATTGAATCTCAACGAATTTGTAGAAAATATTTTTACAGGTAAGATAATTATTCATAAATTTTCCGTAATCAAAGATTATCTTTGCCAACAATTAACCAGCCATAGGTTAGAATTGAGCTAAAAATGGTCATCCAGAACACTTTCCAATAAGATTATCAGATATTAAGAATGAAGCTCAACTAACTAGTTACATTGAATCAGTAATTTCAATCAGCTAATTAATTGATATTCTTTTCCTCATTGATTTTACGACTTTTCGACTAATTTTAAATTCGTCTCAAGGAAGTAATAATATTTTTCCAGCCTTCTAAAGTAGCCATAAATAATTAACTCTCAACGAATTTGATTAAGCTCATTAATCTACATTTGTATCATGAATGAAGAGAAAAAGAAACTTTTTCTTTCACTTTAATTTCTCCCTCGATTTAATTTTCTCTCCATTTCTATTCAGCATTTTCGTATCACTATCAATAGGTAATCTATTAGCCTTCCAAGGGCCGTCCTTTGTTGATCCAGTTCTGACCACAGGTAATCATTCAAGTATCGCTAAAATGTATCGTCGTTACCTTGCAACAGCATTTCATATACTTAAATGGTTCCAATCTGATCCATTTACACCTAAAAGTCCCGCTTTCAGGTCATTCAGTCAAGTGCGATCAATGCACATGAGACTTTGCACCTCAATGAATGAGCAGAAAAATTTGAAAATCGGTAAAGATAAACTTCATTCCTCTTACATGATATTATCATGTCAATCTTTCCTTTTATCGGTCTTTTTACAAATTATCCAATCGCTTGTGGAGCTCATAAAGTTACCAAGGAAGAATTGGAAAAGGTGATCTACTCGTGGAGAGTATTTGTTTACGCTCTTGGAATCGACGATAAGTACAACATTTGCGATGGTTCAATCGAAGAATTCAATCAACTATACAGATTGTACGAAGAAAATTATCTAATTCCATTACTATCAAAGGTACCTCATAGTTCACCGGTGGGTTGGGAGGTATCACAAGGATATATCACAGCGATTAAGCAGATTAACTTTTCGCTCAACTTTAATTCATTGATCTGCTATTGGTTTAATGTTATCGGTGTTCCGGTTTCCATGAAATTGAATACATTTGAATGGTTACTCATGAAAATTACAAACATTTTCACGTTCTATTTACTACAATTTAGATATTTCTATTCTCTGATGAATAATTTTCTCATCTATCAACTCGAACAGCATAAAAAGAATCGCAATAGAATCGCAGATAACTTGGAAAGACGATATTCTGATATACAATATGAAAGTTCATGTCCAATGAATGAAGATTCAGATTATCGAGATGATTTAACTGATTAACTTTTCTTTTTTTCCCCTTCAATTAACTGTAACTCTTTCTAATATTGTTGTTTACAATTTAACTTAAAAACTAATACGTAACAACAATTTCTGAGTAATAATAATGAATTATATCAAAAGTAACTAGTTAATGATGATGAGTAATTACATTTATGGTGTAACTGATTTAGCTGATTTAATCAATTCTAGATAATCTAACTTTGTCTTTCGTTTGTTTTTATCACTTGATTGTCTTCAATTGTTTCTTTCATGAGTTTCAATTCATTCATCCAACTCACTCATTCACTTGTTATAATTTACTTTCCAATTGATTGTTATTGTTATTGTTCAATTGTGTTACCATGTATCATGTTTAATAAACAACATCACATGTTAATGTTTCATTCATGTTGACTGATTTTGTGCCTCAATAATATTCAGTTAATTCTGTGATAATCATGATAAGTTCAGTTGAAATGAAGGTAAAATCAGAAGGATCAATTACCCTGCAGAAAATATTGACCGAAAAAAAGTTCACTGATTTAATGATTAATCTTGGTGATAAACAGCTGATTGGACATCGTTGTATTATATTAACAGTTATGCCGATTCTCAATCAATTAATATCATCAGATGATCAGATTAATTTAGTTGATCAATTTGATTCCAATCTATTTGAAATGACTTTTAATCATTTCTATGGGCACCCATTGGATTTAAATCGCCAGTCAATCAGTAAATTGTTGGAGATTGGAAAGTTCATCCAATCAACTGAGATAATTAGCCAATGTGAAAATTATCTAATTGAAAATCTATTCTTTCCATCAAACAATTTATTCCAAGATCAACAATTAGCTGGTAAGTTTAATTTGAAAAGATTGGAGGAGAAATTAATTCAATCAATGTGTAGTAATTACGGTAAGATTATTAGAGAATCTGATTTTTTCGAGCTATCAGTTGATCAGTTGGGAAGATTAATTTCGAGAGACGATTTAATTATTGATTGTGAGCACTCAATTTTCGTGTCAATTGTTAATTGGGTTTCCCATGATTCTAACAATAGAAAATCTCATCTCTTTGATCTTCTATCTAATCTACGTTTCCATTTGATTGCAAACAATGAAATCACTGATCACATGTTAACTAATCAGCTGATACGAAATTGTGATCAATCAATTTCATCAGTGACAATCAGTGAATCGATTTGTAAAACCAGTGACCAGTTCTGGTTAAATAATCCGAGCTGGTCAATCACCATTTTTGGTGGTAAAGGGCCAGTTAATCCAGCTTATTCGTATAGATTAAATTTGTCGACTAATTGTTGGAATAAATTATCATTTAAAACTCTGGGTTCCATGAACTCAGCAGTTTTTATCCCACCTCATGATTATTATTATTTTCAATGTGATTCCAATGGAAACGATCAATTGACCGAGAAATTTTATCACCACAATTTAAGTAATGGTCTGAAAATCTCACTGGACCCTACTAATTGGGAGAAATATGGTCAATCGCTGGTCAATCGTGATGATTATCTTTATGTATTAGGGGGGAAAAATTGGCTTGGACTATTCGATAAATTAGTTCTATCGTTTAATTTGACCTCAACCACTTGGATCTCATTTAAGTCAATGAATAGTAAACGAGCCTTTCTTTCAACCGTTAATCTGAAAGGTCGTTTATTTGCTCTCGGTGGACAAACTGAGGCCGGTTCAGTATTAAACTCGGTTGAAGTTAATGATTCAATTCAATCGGGTTGGAATTTTGTATCTCCCATGCGATCTAAACGCTATGGACACTCCGCAATCGTTTACAAGGAAAACATTTATGTCGTCGGTGGTTTCGATGGTCAGTTTATACTTGATTCCGTTGAAGTTTACGATTCAAAGCTTGATAAGTGGTCATTTCTAGAGCCGATGAAATGTTCACGTTATCAGCCGTTCTTGTCGGTTGTTGGAAATAAATTGTATGTCATTGGTGGGACAATCGAAATGACAGAAACAATAATTGCAAGAACAAACTTTTTCTCACCCAATGTTGAAATCTACGATTTCGATACGAACTCATGGAGTATCGGTCCATCATTACCTGATGTTAGGTCAAACGGATTCGCTGTAAATGGCTCAATTAAATAAAAAAACTCAATTCATTTCATTTCATTTCCATTGATTAGAAATTCAATTTTCCAAATTTAAATCTCGCGCTTCTCGAATTTGGTTTCTTTTTGTTCAGATAGATGACAAAATGTATCATTCTAATGATTTCATGATGATGAAGAATAATAAATCAATTTGATACAAAAGGATAATCTTGTAGATTCCCATTAAGTCACATCTAAATCCCTAGATATTAACAGTAACCAAATTGGAGGATAGAGATTGAATTACTAAGCCATAGATTAATTGTAATTGGAGATTGGGTTTTAATTGTTTTTCATTGTAATCACAATTAATGCTCGTAATGAAAATGTTCAAAGGTTCAATTCAATTACCTGTTGCAATTGTTTTCTAATCGAAACTGGAAAAAGTTCAACAATAGTTGACCTAATCCTTTTGGTCGAGCTCAGGTTTTAATCGATCTCCTTGTTTCTGGTTGTTAATATTTGAAGATTTTGCAATGAAAAAGTTGATTAAACGACATTATTGGGATATTAATTAATGAACATTTACTGACAATCAATAATTAACAGTATACCGAGAGTGTTACAAATTACAAGTAATAATTAATGAATTATTTGAATGGAGAAAACAATTAATACTTGATGATGATTGTTGAGAATGAGTTTAACTTGATGATGAATTAATGACAGTTAACTGACTTTTAAATGGCTGTGAGTGATTCTTTGTCCATTCAAGATCGCGATCTGACCACGAATTGTCACCAACTAAGTGCACTTTCTTTAGATTTGTTTTGATTTTTCAATCCAATTCTCAATTGAACAATAATCTTTATCCTTCTGATGCGATTTCAGGTAATGAATCTTTAGCTGTAGTCCCGTCAACGATATCAGGAACTGCGTTTCTCCTTCCAGTTCTGCCCGATTGGATAAAATCATCGAAACCAACAGTCTCATTAGCACCTTGTTCTGAATGAGCAGAGTTCGAGGAACAACTTGCTGGAATATTTTGACCTGAAGCGACTTCCATTTTCTAATATCGAACTGTAAAAACTGTAAAAACAATACGATTTCAGATCAATCAATCATTCAAACGTAATCAACAAACTGATTCATTCCAATTCTCTGAGTAAATCATCGTATTCACTTGATACAATTGATGATCTGGAAACTTGGAAAAAAAGAGTAAACTAATTAGTTGTAAAATCCTTCACATGCTAACCCTAATTGAAGCTAATTAGAGTAATTCAATTATTCCATCTCAATCTATTAACACTCATAAGCCATGATCGATATTTGCAATTTAAGATAACCTTAATTGCTAAACTTGATATCAATTGGATTTCAAGATATTCCAGCCAATCGAATGATAAATTAATTGGAAGCTTAATTTCTATGATTTAATTGGTGTGGCTTCTTGAAATATACGCTCACGTTGATTTAATCAATTGGTCTTTTTAATTATGATTAGTTTTTTTGGTTTACAAACAACAATGTAGATTCAATGATTAATTGAATGGATCATTTGATTCTCATCAACATTAATAGTTGTACATTCTCATGGTGATATTGAACATTTTAAGGTTCATCTCATGGGAAATCATTGTAAAAGTATAATATCAATAGAAAGCGATAGTAATAATAATAATCTAGAAATTTTCGTGAGTACCAATATAATCAACAGGCTTCTTGCTTGATTGTAAAACTTTCTGTTCCTAAATATTATCAAATCATCATGATAAAAGTGCAACAACTCAAAATCTGAAAGCTCAACTGATGACCAAAATCACAGATCCTGAAAATCATATTCAGGATTCAGAGTTTTCCACTTGAACCATCACTTGAAACTTTTAGAAAATCTCAATTTCGATTTCATCGTTGGTGTAAATTTTTCTTTCTCTAATTTGTGTCTAACGAACTGTCAACTTGAGAAATATAATTGGACAATCAGGTGACACATTCGAAAGAAATTGACTTTGTTTTTTGTTCCTTCTCCTGTCAATCGAAAAGTGTTTTAATTTTGACATCTATTTCTCATTTCGAGCCATTTGAATACATGTAATATATTCATTTTCCTTTGGAAAATGTTGAATAATAACCTTGTTCTAATATTAATCATGGTCAGGGAAAAAGATAACGAACTTATAACAATAATAATGATGATGATAATCTCGTCGAGATGATTAATTTCAAATTGTAATCAATTCTGAATGATAATATTGTGTGAATATAAGATTTGATTTATTAACATTTTCATACCCAAAGTTCAAATACGCCCAACATTTGAAATTAAGTACAACTAATAATTTAGTTATCAAGGTTAATCATTTAGTTGATTACATTTTCTCAGTCTAAATTATTATTATTACTTTAATACTCTAATAAAATGATTAGATGACTAATAAAAAAGTAGCCTAATATTAATGGATATTGTGGTTTGTAAATACAATTAGATTATAATCTCAATTGTGGTTCCATTTACAATATATATTCAACTAATATTATATTATCATGATGATCTGAACTGAAAATAAAAACTATTGATAAACTTTTGGGAAGATTAAAAAAAATAAACTAAATCAACTGTTTAATATTTACCACCAGAGAATCAAAATTATCAATAGATTATTATAATTTGCTATTAACAATAAAATAATTCTTGATTTAGATGAGTGAAATTTAATTATCCAAGGTAAATTTTCAACATTACCATGAATATATTTTGATTCAATTAGGTTGATTCAAGGTTATTGTATAATATTTGATGACAGACTGTCAAAGGCTAAATGATTATGTTATTATTATATTGATATTATTATTAGAATTCCCAAATCGTTTCATCATCAAATATACAATTTGAAATTTGGAATCGAATCCGAAAGGATAAAAACTATTAAATGTTCAGAAAAGTTCTGATTCACAAATTGTCATGATTGTTTTTCTATTCTCATCAGTTACCTGGTTGAATTTGTAAACTTTTCATTCGGATACTGAACAAGAATTAAAAGCTTAACGTAATCTAATCTGGAATCTATTTTATTATTCCCTGGATTGGAACCATTTGATATTATTATTATTAGAATTTCCAACTTAATCTCTATTGTCAACAATTATTATTCTATTATTCAGAAAATCGTTCAATTCAATCGTTGAGTTCTGTTTACAGTAGACATCATGTTCGCATCGATAATATCACCATGAACAATTTAGATTAATTTTATTTTCTTCTCAACTTTTTTTTTCTCTCTTTTTTTTAATATTAAATTTGCATTCGCTTAATCAAATTCTCTGAAATTTGAGAGATTTTTTATTCTTTTTTCTCTTTCATCCTGAAATCAATATTCAGAAGATTCGAGTTTTTTTTCTCTCTCTCTTCCATGTCAATTCACTTTACACTCTCGTCTCTCGACTTACATAATTTATATAAATTCGAGATTCTAATTGACGAAAGTTATCACGAATATGAATTGGGCAGAAAAAGAATAAATAAAATTCAATTAACTGGAATACTAATACAATTGATTATCATCAATCTTCAGGGTATTAAATCACCACAGAGAATCAGTAAAATTCAATGAGATCAGATGAGATAATTAGATAATGTTATAAATGGATAATCGAGAACGCAAATTAATTCCACTTTTCCGATAGGAATAAGAGAAAAAAAAAATTCCATTATTATCATGAAAACGATAATTTTCCATGATATGATTCTAATAAATTATATTTCCAGTTGTAATTAATTAGTAAGCAAAAAATGATCGATTAACTAGCCAATTAGTTAATTAAACTGTTCTGCTCGTTTTTCAATTGTTGATTGAAGTTTTTTTTTTGTTCCAATTCACTTTCAACTTTATATTGATCATCAGTATGGTCGTTGAAAGTATAATTAGAATTGCTAATCAAGTTAAATCATCTGGAGAGCACTTTAATTATCAAATTAAAGAATATTAAAATAACGATTAATCTTGATCATATTAATTTCTATTGCTCAGAGATTTAGAATTTTGAAAATTTGAAATTTTCTCGAGATTCGGTGACAGTTTCATGGTTATCATCATACTCACTCTATATTAGTTAATTGTTGTCTACTTGTTGATTGGTCATTTCTGATCAATTAATTTGTCACTTTTAAAAGTGTGTTGACATTTACTATCATCTAAAATTAGGAATCATTGAACTTGATAACAATAATAAGAGAATATCATAAATTTAAGTTGAGTCAAGTAAAAGATTATTTGAAACGAATTAGGATCAACTATACAAATAAATGAATTTCTTTACTCAGCTCAGTTGAACCATGAAATCGATTTTGATTTACTTTTCTTTTCTTATCACATTTAATTCACTGTCAACTAATGTTGTTATCAAAAGGATAACACATCTCATCTTATTCAACTCAATCTCCTTGAATCACATGAAAACCCATCATAAACCACCATTTATCTCAATATTTCAGTCTACTGAATAGTTTCATGAGTAACTATATAATTCCTATCATCTCATGAATCAACTTTGCGCACTTTAAATTAACTTGGAATTTTTTTTATCATAAAAAAAGAAGAAAATAAACTGGACAATTAACCACTGAGAATCTCCTGAATCACATTGGAAATCTTATTATTGATTAGTAACTTTTTCACTAAATTGTTGCAATTTTACTTTGAACATTTTTCGTAATGTTCAATAGCGAAGTCTAAAGTAATAATCAATGAATCATCTTTGAACAGAATTTCATTCAAGGATTGAACATTGCGATTAGTTTGAAAAAGAAACAATATTTTCAATAGTTGATGAATTAATTGAGTTTCAGAATTCTGATCAGATTAATTCGAGGTTTTATCATAACGAAAATGGAATATGTACAATTTGAAGATCGAAAATACGATTTAGAACAGAAAATTTTCGACAATTTTGATCGTTACTAGTTGGAAAAAGAAAAAGGTTATTAATAACTCACCTTGAATGATAATGATACGAGCGAATTGTCTTATTAAATTATCACAATTGATTTAGGAATTAGTTGAATTTGTTGGGGGGAAAATTTGATTGATAATCGACACAAGTTTGAAAGATTGTAAAGCGAAAACAAAAAACCTGAAACATTTGGAAAATCATATTCAGTTAGATGATTAAAGTTGTGAGTTGATTAGTTGATGATTGTTTTTAGGTGACAAATTCAACTGTTAATGTCCAATGAGACAAAATAAATGGTAGTGTTGATAACTATCAATAATTGGGTAAGTAGATTAATCCAATGGATTTACAGTTAATAGAAAACCAGTGTTTCCAAGACAACTTGATAGAGATGAATGTTATCAAGTAAAAAGTGAGCAAACATGATAATGGATTCAATGGATTCTATGGATTCATCCACGCAGATTCACAGGGATCGTGAATATTGAACAGCATGAAAAAAGACAGAGAGATGGCGAAAGAGACAAACTATTATCATTATTTTCTAATACGATCAACGATCAACGTTCATCATCAATGTTCATTTGACTGAGAAAATTTCATCATCATTGGATAATATATATTTCGCTGAGTATGTTATTAGTATTTCGATAATCCTCAGAAATAATAACATTCTTATATTGTAATTAAACTGAACAGAATTATGAATACTCGTTAATCTTTTATTTGAACTAGAAATGAAATTTTTTTTTCGAATATTGAAAAAAAAAGTTAACAATATGTTCAGAAAAGTTCAAGTTACTCTTTCAGCTGGTTAATCTCTTGGATTAGGATTAGTTTTTCAATTGTGATTGAGATTAAGTATCATCAAAGAACTGAACTGTTCTAGAATTTAAATAATATTTACTTTTGTCTTGGATTCTTGTCTCTCTTTCTTTCAGCTGATAGAAAATGTCACTTTGAACAAAACCAATTTAAATTTGATTAACTTGATACCCTGAGGGTAAAGTCGTTGGAAAACATTTCAAAAGTCAAATATTAGCTCGAATTATAATAGTTGTTGGAGTCCGTTTTTCTTTTTATTATTTCTCATCTTGAGGAGAATTCATTTATTCATGAAAGAAAACCAAGTTAATGAATCAATTCGGTTGCTCTGAAATTTTCCTTTCCAAAGCATCAGTGTGATATAAACATGATAGAAACAGAAAAGATATTCAGAGTTTTGGAAATTCTGGTGATTTCAATGAAACAGAGAGAAAACACTCCCAAGGACAAAACTTTCAAATGGAAAACTGTATCATGATAACAACTTTATTCATGAACCTTTTTCTATTCTTTTTACTTGAATGTTATTGTTTTCACTTTTTTCTGGAGGAAAAAATAATAGAAGAAAAATTCAAACAAAATCTGATTACTTTTCGTTTCTCAGAAAAGGTATTACAACTTTTCCAAGTTCATCATGATCATGATTTCAGAAGAAAATATTAATACTTTCCTCACGATAGAGTTTTGCTGATCGATAAAATTTCATTTCGATGAATATTCTTGGTTTTAGATCTCAATGGTGAATAATTGACATATTATATTTATAATAAATTGTGTTCTTTATGTTGAGAGGGAGAGAAAAAAGATTCTCATGGAAATTTAAGATCAACTGGTTAATAGAATTTAGAAAAATACAATTTAAATGTTTCTCTTTTGATTGTTATTACCAAATTGTCAATACTTTTTGTTGTGAAGTCTAAGATGTAAATTGATTGATTTGGAAATAAAAAACTAGTTAATGTAACCAGGATTTCATTTTATTGTTACAAAATTTAATTAGTATTAATAGATTACGTGTATTTAGTTACTGTGTGAACAGGTAAGTAATAAACTGAGGACAGAATATTTTTTTTTGTTTCAATTAGATGGCTTTGTAAGGTTTTGTTGGGTAAATGGGAAAACGATGCTTTTAGTTGATTGAACAAAAACAATTAAATCATTTTTATCTTCGTTTCCTTGAATCAAGAGAGAGAGAGAGAAAAATAGAAAGGAGAGAGAGAGAGAGAGAGAGAGAGAGAGAGAGAGAGAGAGAGAGATAGCTCAGCATGATAACATCAAATAAGCTGAGATAAAAAAAGAAGATCCAACAAGAAAATTGATGAACAAGGAGTGGTGATTATGATGAGAATTGTTACAAATGTGGAAAACGATGGCAATGAGATAAGATAATGTTTTAGTGGATAAATGGACATGAGGAGGTTAATCAATGTCGACTTATTTTTTGTAATATACTTTGCTCATTTTCTGTTAGGTGAGATACAAACTGATTAGCAAATGGTGTTGATGTAAACGATCTGACAAAGCTGGTTAGATGCTGTCCCAGGTTAATCTTTGAGATTGGATCATTCAATATGTCTTCATCTTCTTCTTCCTCTTCATCATCTTCAAAATCGGATTCAATAGCGTCAATAATTTCATGGAATTGAGTTGACGGTAAATGTACTGAATCACCTCCATGGCCACACATATTATTAGCAGCACGATTTTCATCAATTGAATGATCCTCTTCTTCCTCTTCATCTTCGTCGTAATCATTTTCACTAAGATCGTCGATAGATTCAATACAATAAATCTCGTTTAGTAAAAGTTTCAATATTTTCACTGAACAAGGAATGAGTGTCCACTTTTCGTTTTTCCCTTGAGTTTTAGAGCGCGTTTTAACACCAGGGGAAACATCGCCGCCAACTGGTTCACCAGGTACTCGAATCAGATTCAAGTTTAATCTTTGATCTTGATCAGAGTTGATTAAAGAGTTTTCTAAAAGTTTACAAAGCGCAATTATGCTAACTTTACTTTCGTAGGCTCCATAAAACATGTGCTGTCGACCTAACCATTGGTTAAGAACGAACTCCAAAGCTGATTGAGAACCAGAGGGTCCGGGTAGGCTTGATAAAAAGTCCAAGACTGTTGGCAAATCATGATTAATCAAATGTGCAAACACCATGATTAAACTCTGGGTAACGGATAGAGTTTCACTAGTTTGCAATTTACTGAGAACTGAACGTAACAAGAGATGAACATTATCATTTCCCAAGAATTGTGATCCTTTGATAATTGTAATGAAAATCAATTTACCAACAAAAGCAGCACATGATTCATTTACTCTTGGGTCGAGAAGATGAAGGCAAACTTGCATAACAATGGACATTCCATCTTTTCCTGATTCAGGCTCTCGATATGAGGCAATTTGATCAACAGATCTTGAAACATAAGCTCTGATACATTCACCTCCATTTTGCATAGTAGAATTATCATCAACAGTTGAAAGGATGCAAGTTGATGCTGCAGGAAAACATTGATTAATTAAAGGTTCAGATAAAGGAATTAAACTGTTTCTTATTATCGTAGTCAAAATATCCATAGCAACAGGTTGTAAGGTTTGAACAGATTGACTTGATTGTGTTGGATTAAGAATAGAGACAAGAGTTGGAATGAGTCTCTGTTGAAGTGGTCCAATACATTCTGGATTTTTGGACAATTCTTTAAAAATATCTTGCGTTGAAGATATAAGAACAGGATCAGCTGAATGTCGTAAGAAAGTGGCAATAGCCAAGGCTGACACTTTATTCTCAACACTAGAAGCGAAAGATTTATCCACAGAAACTAATATTTTGATAGTTTGAAGAACTAGAGCAAGCACTTCGGTTGAATGTTGTGTTCCTATTGCAACTACTGCGTCAAGTATTTGAGGCAAATATGGTTTGATAAAGTTGACATGATTTGATTCATTTAAATAAATGCAAAGGCTGTAAGTTGCTCGAATCGAAGAGATCTTGATAATTGGTGACATGTTGAGAAGACCGGATAAAGTTGTTTGCAAAAATCTATCGATAACTGGTGCATTCATAATTGGAGCATAAATCGCTGCAGTCCATAGAGATCTACCCGAAAAGAAGGGTGAAACATCATCGACAATATTTGAACAGGCATCAAGAATTGATCGAATCTCATCAGCTAAAGGTCCATTTGCTTTAATAGTATCCATTAAGGAAGTTGAAATTGATCCAAATGCAAGGAGACAAGATTCTTGAATTTTCCACCACCAATAGTTACTTGGATTCATTTTGGCTTGGTTTGATTCTAGGAAGTGTTTTTTGATTGCATTTAATAAAGATGATTGGAAGGCCAAATTTTCTTCTTTACTTTCATTTTCTTCGTATTCTCGTGTTAATGACATCAAAACATCCAAAGCAGAAATCCGAACGGAATAACTATAACTGTCATCATCTTCATCTTCGACAAATCGATCTGGACTTGATGTCCATATTTGCATTTGTTCATCTGTGATTTGCATGTAGATAAGAATATAATAAAGAAGATCTGAAAGACCCTGTTTGATGAGTTTTCTAGATTTAGCTGTTTCAATAACAACTGAAACAAAATCGAAAATGGCAAAAATAAATTCCTCAACAGATTGACCTTCACCATCTGAGTCAAGTGTTGACTGAAAATCCGAGCATTGGGCATCCTCTGATTCACTATTAACAACAGTTTTTACGTAAAGAGAGGCCGAAGCAGTTAAATTGTACCAAACGGGTGTTAAAATGGCAGGCATATATTTCCACATTCTTTTACGACAATTTTTTATCAACAAGGTAAGTGTGGTGAGTGCTTTTTTCTTTAAATGAACATCAACTTCGGGAGCACTGTCTGGAGCTTCAAGAACTTTTATCATAGCATCAGTGAATTGAGGTAGAACAGGATCAAGATATTGTCTTATGGCAATTTTGTCATACTCTCCCATTACGGTTATTGTTTCTGCCAATTCGGAGTAAACTTGAATAGCTCTTCCTCTGGTGCCATTGGAGAAATCACGAGTATTTGTGAAAATTTCATACATTTTTGGCAACAATATTGGCGCTAAGGTTGGTATTTGAGAATCACTAATTTCATGGCACATTTCAGTGAATACTTTCATCGTTCCATATATAGCTAAATTATTTCTCGAATTAAGATAACTAATCAAGACTTGAAACAATTCAGGCCATTCTTCGGGCCAGTCGTGATGAGCAATACCCGATATTACAAAAGCAAGTGATCCTCTGATCTTTTTTTCTGAAGATCCTTCATCAGTTAGAAACAAGCTTGGTTGTCCAAGGGCTAAAATACAAAGATAATATGATCAAAATTAGTGTATAAAGTAAGTAAACATGTTGTAGTAAATGTGAAAATAAAACTGTGAGTAACAATTTTCTCTTTCTCTTCTAAACATAAAAGTGACACATTCATTCAACAATATTAATGTTATGAATAAACCCAATGGATCAAATTGGTTTACCTACCATTTAAAAGGAAAGCTCGAATACGCATTTTAGCTTCTCTACTAATTTCTGGTTCCTGAAATTTTTCATTCTTTGGGCTCCAGTGAATATCAATAAAATGTTTCAAAATAACGGATGCCAATCGTCGGATAGGACCATTGATTGATCCATCAAGTGACATCTCTGTAAGGTGAACACCATAATCTAAAAGAAGATAAAGAATATAACAAAAAAAGTACAAACAATTATCAACCGATAACAACAGAGACAACAAAGAGAAAAACTCTTAAACAATATAAGCTAATAAAATAATAATAATTGGAATAATAACTATTTTAAAATGCGAATTAAACTTGATGGCCTTGTGGAAATGATAAAAAGGATTCTCACCATTGGTAACTTCAAAGACTTTCAATTGTTCTTCGGCATTTCTTCTGGTCGAGGTGTCATTGGATAACAAAGCAATCAGATTTTCATAAAGAGCTTCTTTAAGAGTTTTTTGGGTTGACATGATTGTTTAATTAACTATAACAAAAACGACAACAATTAACAACGAGAATTTTAAAACGAAATTGTATACAAAACCAAACAGAAAGAAAATTGTTAATCAAACAAAAAGGTAAATCTTACTTTTCGTCTCCCCAGTTTACTTTCCCTCTACCGGCTCGTCCAATCGAATCAGTTTCATTTGTCGAATTTTCTTTCTGCGCATGCGCACCAAACCGATCGCATCTTCCATGGTAATGGTTTCCCTCTATGGGACATTGATGGGGATTCAATTTTCTTGTTAATTACAATTAACTTTTTTCACATCATTTTTTGTACTCATTAACTTTATGGATTAAACAATTTGGTGAGACTGTTAATTTCAACAGTTTGTGGATCAACATTTAAATGATTTTCGTTGTTAATTAATCAGATTGATTAACGAATTAAAAGTAAACAATCAACTAGAATTTATGAAAATTGCTGCAAATCGATTGTCTTCAATTCATCTCAATAGATGGTGTTGTTAACTGTGATTTAATTGGAATGGAGAAAAAATTTTTCGTAATTATGATTGACTTTTTTTCGTTTCCCAGAGGTTCAATTATAATTTGATAATTTAATTGCTCTTAATTGTGTCTGAAATCGTTGGGATTAATCAATTTTTAGTCTGCTGATTGTTGGAAATTAACTGTGGATCATTAATGTTTTGTCTTTACCGCTTAGAGTGAAGAAGGTGCGTTTCCATGGTTACCAAGTGAAACATTAAACTTGTTTCCTTATCCGGGTTTGGAATAAAAAACATTTGGCTTAATTGTGCTGTTCTCTCTCGTACAATTATCATTGTATATTGTTAATTTTATTTGTACTTTTTATTCTTCGTGTTAATTAGAGTTAATTGTGTGAAAAAAAAATCAATCAAAATGTTGATGCCCAAGAATAACAAGATCGCTATCTATGAATATTTATTCAAAGAAGGTGTCATGGTGGCCAAAAAGGATCCAACTATTCCTAGACATCCATGTTTAAATAGTGTTACCAATCTTCAAATTATTGTTACCATGAGATCACTTGCCTCTAGAGGACTAGTAAAAGAACAATTCGCATGGAGACATTATTATTGGTATTTAACAAATGAAGGTATCGCCTTTTTACGTAATTTCCTATGTTTACCTGCTGAAATTGTTCCGGCTACTCTTAAGAGGAAAGGAAATGAATCAAGAGGAGGAGCCGCTGGTGCCGGTACTGGTGGACCTGGTGCAGGAACTGGAGCTGGTGGTCCTGGTGGAGTTGGTGGCGGTGCCCCTGATCCAAAGTTCAAGGGTTATGGTAGAGGAAAACCTATTTCTGAATAAGAAGAGTGTTTGTTTTTTTTTGGGCTGGATAAAATGAGACAATATGATTTTGAACAAAAATACTTTGGTGTCAAGCTTTAAATTGTCAAAAAGTATTCACACTAAATTAAAACTGTTTGATTACAAAGCTTACAAAAACAAACTTTGTTTTTCCCTTTGTTTTTAATCATTTGATAGTCAATAACTTTTCAAAACAACATCGGTACCTAAAATTATATCATAACTCAAACTCGTGATGATGATATGAATTTGAAGTGAAAATTGTTACCCGTTACCACGGGAGCTTTCAAAGTCTCTTCAAGACTTAATTGTTACTATTTGCAGGTCAAGAAATTTCGGACGATCAAGATGAAGGAAGATGAATGAGAGAGAGAGAGAGAAAGATGGAGAGGGAGCAAGGTGATGGTAAAGGGTCTGCCCGTTGATCTGAGTAGGAGGAATTATCAACATGAATAGTTAGTTACTTGTTTTCTTATCGTCATTCCTGAAACATGAAATGATGAGACTCGATGTTCATTAAGAAACTGGATTAGCTTGATTGTTATTAACAGACACATTAATTTGTAACTCGCCTAACCAGTCAAACTAATTGAAGTTTATTGATAATTTTTGTTAACCTCTTGTTAATCAACATTTGACCGTCATAAGAATTAATCATGAGGAGTTTAAATTTAATTATCGTCGTGTTTTTATTCACTTGTGTCCACTCATGTTCGTCAATTAAACGTCAATACAAAATAAATCGAAGTAAGTTGTGTTGATCGAATTGAATTAAATTCCAATTAAATTGATTGTGTTTCTTTATTTTTTTCTTTCGTTAATTACAGAGTTTGAGGATTCGTCTTACAAGGGAACATTATTTTCGTCCTCCAGTCGAATCAACGGATTAAAGTTCTATCCACCTAAGTATTCATCGAATGTCCCGAACAACGGAGCTTCGAATGCTTCGTTGGAAGAATCTTTCGAAGAGCATCTTTACAATTCTCTTGGTGATCAATTAAAAGCTAATCTTCGAACTGGATTAAGTGATCTTAATATTCCTTCAGTTGATCCTCATCGAATTGATAAAATTCAATTCGAACCTTTAATCAGTGGTGATCCTTTTGTGATTTATTTGAAGAATTTCCGTTTAACTGGATTATCCAATTTCATGGTGAGAGAATTAAGTTCGAAATTAAGTGAACTTCGATTTCAAATTGGCCTTTTGTTCCCAAAATTGGAAGCCGAATGTCAATATGCTGTTAACGGAACTTTGTACAGTGTGTTAGATGTCCACGGATCGGGAATCGGGTCTATCGAGTATACGGATGTTTTTGTCCGTACAACGGTTAATCTTGATCTAATCAATTCGACGTTAAATTTTTCTTCAGCTGATCCACCTTATGTTGATTTCTCTCGATCAACAATATCATTAAAATCGGTTGATGGAAGGATGAATTTACCTTCAAATTCAATCTCAGGTGAAGTTGGTCCAGTTCTGTTCTGGATGTTGGCCGATGAATTAGTTCAATCACTCGAACCTCATGCATCTAATTACATCAATTCCGTTGTAAAGAAGTTCAATGTTCCAAGTAACTTTAAACCAGCGGTCACTTGGCTGGTTAAACGAAATTCACCTTCATCCAATTTCCTTTTCCGTCGCTTCTCCCCAATCTCCTTATTGTCCAATGTTTTCCATGTATTTTCAAGTGTCAAACACGGAATTAACTTACCAGTGGTTATTGAGAATATTCGAAACATCCGATCCAATTTTAGAACAAATTTACGAAGGTTTCTCTAATTCGAAACTCGAAATGTCTCAAATTCGCTAAAAAAATTTAAACAATTATTTATTTAATTATTTCCATTTCTAACTTGTCAATATCAAAATCTCTCTCCATCTAAATATTTATTCAATCAATAAATGAAACTCACACCAATGTAAATTAAAAGGCTGTTTAATTAATCAAGAGAAGAAGAAGAAAAAAGTTCTAATAATTATCCAAACTCTGCAATCAAATTAACTTTCAAATGCATAGTGATAATTGATGACTCTAAATGAACTGTAATTCTGACTGTTGATTAACTGAATGACCTGAAAATGTAAGCGATTGACATTGATAGCCTGTTAACCTAATCTGAAAAGAGCTGAGAAAAAGAAATGGATTAAGACTCTGGATTGATAATCTTCAATGAGTCCTCATCCTGATCCTCCCACCCAAATGCTGATGATAATCCCCACTGATTATCTATGAAACCATAAAGGGAACGCAATTAAAATTGTAACATTTTCCAAACTAAATTAGTTTTATTTAAATTATTGTCTATTCACCTTGTTACCGGAAAAAGTTCACATAAACTTGACCTAGAAACTGAAACACAAGATGAAATCTGATGAATGATGATGAAGATAACTGTTTTTTTCTTATCTTCATCTTAATTTCCATAATCTCTTTTCATCTTATCTCATCTTCTCATCATCATCATCATCATCTCTCTCTCTCAACATGAGATTCTGTGGATTCTAACGGTAAAAATATCAGGTAATCAAGTGATCTACAAACTATGATAACGGAAGTTAACAAACTCTCAATATAATTAATCTTAACCAGATGTAAATAACAGTAACAAAAACAATTAAGGGTAAACTATTATTTCAAAACAATTAGTTAATTGTTGGTGGACAAGTTTCCGGTTATATTTTTATTCATTATCATGTTAAAGTAAATAAAGTTGATTACATGTGATGGAAAACTTTTTTTCACTAAATTATCATTGTCATGAAAATAGGTTATTATGAAAACTTGAATTACTCTGAATCTCTCATTCCCATAAGACTGTTATTAGATGAAGAGTGACCAATGGCCATTTGAATGGTCAAGTGAATAGATTGAGATTAAAAATGATAACATGAAATTAAAATGATCACAGGAAGCCAATTATAATAACTGTTAACCTGGAAACCTCAGTATATTCATGAGAGATAATATTTCTCATTAAATCATGTTAGTTAAAATTAACCAATATTATTATACAAAAGGAAACCTTTTCCACTCCAATTGATTTAAATAATTCTGAGAAATTGATTAAAGATAATTATCTTTCAATCAAATCAATTTGTTTCATAGAAAATCATCAAATTGTTAATATACAATCAAAACAACAATTAGATAGAAAATCAAATTTGTATGTGAATTTTTCAACCTTAATAATTTATTAATACTCGCTGATTGTTGTTATTATTATCATGGAATCGTAATCATTTAACTTTCAATATAATAGTTAATCAATTACCTATCTAAATAGTATTATGATGATCATATGAATCCAGTAATCACTGATTAGGCTTAAATCTAATTAATACTTGGTAATTATTATCATGATATCTTTAAAGATTAAGACAGAATCAGATTGATAATGATCATCATTATTATTTGATGATCATCACAATCGCTTACAGGTAAAAGGTATTAATGTTTAATACGATGAATTAGATAACAGGAGCATCATTGATAAATTGTTGTAACATCTTATCATGTATTCATCATGTTATGGTTGTCTGAAGATGAAGATGATCATCTGATCATCTGATAAGATGATAAGATGATATAATGTGTGTCAAGGTTGATTGTGGTCAATCATCATCATCACCATTTAATAGTGTCCATCAAAATAGAGATGATTGTCCAGTTTGACATAAGAAAAAGTTATTATTATATTGAGATACTTTGGATTAACATGGAAATGACCACGATACTGATGACCAGATCTGAAGATGAAAATAATGATGATGATGATGATGAGAAAAGATAATTACTTGACCAGATGAGAAAAGATAATTTCATCAGAATTTTCAACGAAAAAAAAATGATGATGAGATGATGAAGATGAAGAAAAAAATTATTACATCAACAAGAAGTGGAATCAAAATTTACCGTTAGTTTTTCATATTTATCCTCATCCTCTTTTCTTAGCACTTTAAAAACCATCAAGTTGATCAACAAAGAATCAACAAAATTCAATTAAAATAATCAAAGTGTAGTTGGTTTAATCTATCAAATCAAAATTGATTTGATTCGGTATTTGATTAAATCAGGTCAAAAAATGATAACTGTTGAAATGAGAAAATGCTCAAATAATCAGATTCAATGAGAATTTATGAAAAAAAAATCAACAACAATCAAAATAAACAATCAATTTAAAAGGTAACTTGAAGTAATCAACAAATTTTTTTTCTCATTTATTTCAATAATCATCAAGTGTCAAATTTTTTCAATATTAATTATAATCCAATTTGACCTTGAATTTGAGAGGATTAAACAATTGGATAGTTAATCCGTTAAAGTGACAACAATTATCCTCAATATTTTTGTATCTAATTAATTATTTTTATCACAACAACAGCAAAATCGAGTGGAAATGATTAGTTAATTATGGATCAAGGTCAAAAGCAAAGGTTAATAAAGGACATTAATAGTGAATTCCCGTCATTGGCACTTTTGAATGGGAATCGTGAGCGTTACATTTTTAGTCTAATAGTTGGAAACAATAATGTACATTGGGATGGCGATTACAATTTAGTTAATCAACAATAATCATGATTATCATGGTAATCATTGCAATTTATAGTTAAAATCGTGATTTACTTTATATATAAACTCTTGTTGTTGTTGTTGTTGTTTTCATTATCATCAAGAGTTAAACATTATGATAATATTATTAATTATGATAATTAAGCTGATTGAGAAAAAAAAGTTTTCCAAATGATTTTGATAATTATAATTATAATTTTCTAATGTAATTATTAATACATGTAGATGATAATGAGAATTACTTTCTTAATTAATCTGTTTGCTGATTGAATTTGTCGTAATTAATTTCATGGTGACAAATTATTCTGATAATGAGATTGTCTCGATTGGGGTCATTTAATTGATTAAATTGATTAGTTGATTTTTAGAAAAACAAAAATCAAGTTAATTTAATTTTCTCTCATTTTGACTTTTTCAATGACCAATGGACTTGATGGTCAGTTGGTTAGTAGATTAAGATGATACTTTCAAGAGTGACAAGATTAGGAAGAGAGAGATTAATATTAAACATTGACAACAATTTAATCATTTGTTCAATTTGACAGATAAGTGATCAATTTAATAGAAATTGTCTTAATTAAAAGTGTTTTCAACAACCTAAATTGTTCAATTAGACCAATCAAATATAATCAACTACTCATTCGTGATTAGTTTCTGTTAAAAGATTTCAGTTTTTTTTATATTAAATTGAAGCTCAGAATTGATTCGTGATCATTTTCAATAGAATCAGTTAATTGTTCAATCACATCAATTAAGATTAATCAAGTTACCTTTTCCTCTTTGATTGTAATTCAAAAAAATACTTTTCTAGAATGAGAATCAACTTGATGATGAGTTTAAGTCCACAATTAACCTTGGGCTGATATCTACATGAATCGATTGAAACTGAATCAGTGTTAATGTTGAAATTAAATTAAATTGTTGAAACTTTTTCCAATTCAGTTAGTATTTATCAACACCACCAAGTGAATGGTTTAAACATTACCAGGCACCAAAGTGACCAACACAGGCACTGAACTAATCGTTCAGTTTTTTTAAACAATTTGACAGTTTTTGTGAGTTTATTGGTGATTAGTGTTAATTGAGAGTAATCATGTTGACCGATCGAGCATCGAGCGACGATTGAGCAAAATTACAGGATGATTAAGTCGATTTGTCCTCGAATCTTACAAGAAGATACAATTTGAGGCCACTATCATCAACGATTCATGTTTGATTGTTGAGAAATATTCAATAGATTGTCCACCCAAAGACTTTGAGTTTGCGACCATTTTTAAATCATTCACGCAGTTGATTATAATCAATTAGAGATAAAGTTAACCCAGAGATATAGTATTTATCAATTTATATAAAGTAAACACAACTTTATCGAGTTTAATTAACAAAAATTGAAGAACTCAATCAAATTGTTTTGATTGAACTAAAGATTTATCAAAATTGGTATGACCTTTGCTCACCAGATGACAGCTCGTGTCGAACCAAATTCTGTTAAATCAACTTGATCATCTTAATTGTAAATCATGTTAATGACAAGATGTGATAAAAATCCATTGATAAGATCAAAATCAATCAAAGGTTGACTTGAATTATTGCCTCAAGTATAATTAGTAAATAAAATCCAAACTCTAAAATTGAGCTGAAAATTAAATTTCGGTGGCTCTCCCTTCGAGCGGCCATTACGCGACGAAAGGACAGAAAAATGCTCAGTGGATGAAGTTGATCTATTTAGAGTCTTAAGGAAGTATAATAAACTTTAAATCGTCAAATTATCACTTATCGGGCTATCGAGATATTCATTTTCAAACTTTTTCCTTCTAATTAGTTAATTAATAGTTTCGTCCTCAATCTTTTTACATGGGAAATTAAATTATTTTAAATTTTGCGCATTTTTCATTCTTATTTTGACCAATCACATTAATTGTTTACGGACCAATTTTGTTCAAATATAACAGGTCTCACTGTATTCAGTCATTATATTAGTACTATTGATTTCATCATCATGAACTTCTCAACAAAAAATTTCACTTCATGTAAACTCTGTGTGGACCACCCATTGAGTAGAGTAAGTATTCAAAGTCTTTATTATCAAAATACCCTAAATAACCTTCTCGAAATCTCCTTTTCTTTTAGTGGCTCAAAAGGATACGCTTTTTAAGAATGAAAGGAAAGTTTCCAAGTGAAAACGTGGAAAAGGATAGTAAAATGATTTCTATGGGATTGAAGCTGACCAAGGAGTACAAAGTGCCACCTTGCTCTTGTCATTTTAAAGTGCCTATTCCTGTAGATTACGATAAGTCGATGAGAGTTGCTGACCTTGTTTTTGGCGCTAACAAGTCATCATCTCGTCCACCCATCGTCTCCGAAATTGAGATATTAAAATAATTATGATTTCTTTTTACTCATCGATTCCAGGATTGATTGATATTATTAATAAGTGAACTTGGAAAACGTTTGATTTTTGAATGATTTCGAGTCCATTCAGTTTATTGATAACAAATGGTCATCAAATTAACAACTATTAAAGGTTATCACTATTAAATAATCAAATTATATTTGATGATTGGAAGATGATTATAATAAATGACCTTTCAAGAATCGATTTCGTTTCTCTTTCAGTCTTTTTATTTGAAACAATGAGATTAGATGAAGATGATTAAGATTAAGGTGATGTTGAGTATGACGATCAATGTTTGCATTTGTTGTACTCTGGTTTTCATCCGAATAGGAAGTCAAAAACATTTAGTGGAAGCGGAAATGAGTTAAAATAAATAACATTTTCTTTTTCTTGGTTCTCATTAAAAGCATGCAACTGGATTAAAATAACATTTTCGAAACATTTTCTTTGATCCTGTTCGTCTTGTTAGATCCATTTGTTGGCTTGACGATAATGAAGATTGATAGGAATCCACATAGACTCGGTTGGAACGAGAATTCTTATTATTATTATCCATCGCTTTGTGTAAGGCGCTGACAATTTTGTTCAATAACATTGCCGATCTTTTTAACCTCGAAGGTGCTTTTCTGTTGTTCATCATGTTCTCATGACATTCTGGACATTTCTTCATATTTAACAGAGAAGGAAAAAGAAAAAACAATTATTATTATCAATATTAATTAATAGAAATAAAAGAATCTTTGAATAATTGAAAATTCTTTCATATTAATCATGTGAATATAGAATTTTTCAGTAAATTGAATCTTTGGAATTACTATTGAATTGAAATTTGATTCAAAGAAGAAAATCTGAGATAATTAGCGGAAATAATTTCGATTCGAATTACAAAATTGTTCAGAATTCATTGGATCTACTGAATATTCTTGAGAAAATTTTTTTATCGTAATTCTAAAGGATAAAAAGTTTTTCTTTTTCTCTCTCCCATGAAAGAAAAGAAATTGATTAATATTCTAATTAACGAATATTTGACAATATTCTATTTACAATTGATTAGTTTATGTACAATAATAAGATTTCTGTTAAATTGATTGTTGAAAATTAATCAAATTACAATCAAATCAAACAATGAATTCTGGGTGTGAATGAAATAAGAAAAAGTTTATCATGAAAAAGGTAAAATCTATTTGATAATATCCATTATCGCCGTGAGTATATTAACAGTTAATAATAAAGGATTTGATTCTACCGAATCTTGATTGCTTCAAGCAACAATTAACTAATTACTTGCATTTAAATAATAATAATAATATGCTACAGATTAATCATGGAGAAATCAAATAATCAATAATAAAGATCAATATATAGTTGAGTACAAGTTAGATGATCAAGTTGATTAGTATTCACCGATTTGTTAATCAAATATTAATGAATTTCATTCAAATCAAATTGGTTAATAAACAATAATAAGTAACAATCAATCAATCAGTTTCCCTTTACACATTCAGATGATTAACAGAATTGGATTAACTTGTCGATAGTACAAGATAAATGTTCAAATCCTAGTACTAAGGATGAAGGTCATTGATATTAACGGTAAATTATTGATTCAATCAATTCTCATGAAAATAGTAATAATTAATTGAGATGATAATCATAATTATCCAACCAAATGATATAAATTATTAACCTTTAAGATTAAACTTATTGGTTGATTTGGTAACAAATAAGGTGAAAGTGTTAACATTAACACTAATTAACTTGACACTCACAATTAAGCCAATAATTTAATTATTATCGGAAATGAAAATTGAAGTGATTAAAGTTAATCATGACAATTAGGATTAAATTTGATGAGAAATTACCAATTTACAGTAACAATATATCAAAATAATGAATTTAACAACAAAATTAATCTAATTGTAAACAATTAGCCAGCTAATTAAGGATAATTAATCATTCACATGTTTTATATAATTGAACAAGTGTAATTTAATTTTCTCACTTTCATTTATAATCAAATTTTCAATGATTTAGATAAAGATACTTATTATTAACCTGATCAAGTTAAAATCATTACAATCAAATCAAAGCTGATTTTATAACAATCGTCATTATAAGTTTTAATTAAGATTAACCAATAAACAATTAAGCAAGTTTCTTCCCTGTTTTATAATCATTACCATCAATAACAAAATTCATCAACTGATTAACTTAATCAGTTGATTGTGGATTGAATTTCATAACGATTACAATATAATAATAGATTATCAATGAAAATTTCCAGGCTTCGAATGATAAACTTCCGTATCTTTTTTGGCTCCAAAATTATTAATAGTTAATTAAATAAGAGAAAATAAGATAATCTAATCGTTGGAGAATAATCAACAATTAATATATCATATATATATACGATGTTGATTAAAATTATCAATCAAATTGTACATTTGACTTTCTAATTTATATGCTACTTAGTTACTCAGATTTTCAATCTAATAATTACTGGAGTTGATCATGAATTATGATTATCCGGATAACTTAATAACCTTAACTAATTTTACCTACGATACTGAGTCTTAATCTGACAGATTATATTCAACAATTAAGCTGATAATTATTACCGCGAAAATAATAATGATAATAATTAATGATAATAGCATCTGATGATTGAATTGTGAACATTAAATCTTACTGATTATCCTTTCATGATGATTATTAATATTAATGGTAAATTAGTGATCTGATTGTGATAATTTAACTAACGAAACAATGTTCAAAGGCTATTACCATGGTACATGAATAAGATAATATCTTAATCTTAATTGTAATTGTAATAATAACGAGGATTATAAATGAGTTAATTATGATTTTGGTGTCAAGTATCTGGAAACAATTGTTACCATTTGACAATATTAACTTAACCTAAATTAATTGAGCTGTTAATCTAATCAATTTGTTAACATACATGACAAAACTGATCAACCAAAATTAAATCAGAAAATTGTTCATCTCAATCAATCAATTGTAATAACTATCGTTTAACTTTTCAAACCAATTATCGGACAATTAACTTGCAATTAAAATAGGATTAACTGTAATTATATTCAATTCAATATGTATATTCATGATTACAATTAAATTGTTGGGATCGTTGACTTTTAACAATTAAACTGTGGACAATAACGATGACAATTAATTAGATTAACTCACCTGATGGTTTGATGATGATGATGAGAGATCAATTTGATTTGATTGTTTGATAATCAACGATTTACTTTGTTGATTAGTTATTGGATTGATTAGTGATTTGTGATAATAATTATCGCCAGTTTTGAGTTGATTTAATTGGCCAAAATTTGACACTAAATTGAAATTACTCCGAGGCACCAATGGATTAGCCATTGTCACAAGGCCAAAGGTCAGGGTTAACCATGATGCCACAATATAATATAATGGAAAAGGCTTCATCAATAATTAAGCGTTAATTAATTATGAATGGATGAAAATGGTTGTAGTGTTTTTTTGGCTTTGTTTTAATTGGTAAAATAATATCAATTGGAACAATTTGAAAATCGAAAAATATTTTAACAATGGAAAAACTTTACGATTTTAAATTGATTGATCATCGATGAGGATCAACTGGTTAAATTGGGATTGGAAAATGTTAAGGGAGAAGTGCTATTAAGTGTAATTGTCACAATTAAATGGATTCAAAGACAATTGTCAAGTTAATATAAGATGTTGACGATGAGAAGATGATGATGAAAACGAAGGTAAAATAAGAAAAAGAATTAAAAGAAAGAGAAAGAGGAGGATGAGGTTTGGATGAGAGAATTTGTTTCTTTGAGTCAACGCAACAAGTGAGATCGATGATTAGGAAGATGAGAGAGAAGAGAGAGAGAGAGAGAGAGAGAGAGAACGAAGGAGAAATGAGGAGCTACGAACGAAACGTAACGATGGCGCGTTTACAATTAGTTATGGAAGCGAAAAATATTCGTGATTGATTTAGATGAATCGAAGAGATTAATCATATGATTAAGTGAAATTGATTGTTATTGTTTACATAGAATAACAATCTGAATGAGTAACATGACGATGATTAAATTGTTGACTTGTTGAGAAGTCGACGAAAGAATCAAGGTAAATTGGGAATTTATCATAATCGACAATTCTTTTGGCCTTTCCACTTCTTATATTCAGTATATTAAGAAATTCTCACAATTATATTGACAATTTTTTCATTCTCTTAATGATGAAACTCACCTATGACCTTGAAAATTGATTAGAATCAGACATTTTTTTTCTCCGTTCTTTTCTTCACAAATGAACATTTAATTGTTCGAGTTATTTTCGATAACGATGCCCTCGAGCAATGAAGACTTTCCTAATTTCTCATGGTCATTATCTCTATGATGATAATCATTACATCTGAAAGTTGTTATTAAACTAAATCAAATTGATAAACAATTAAAAGTGAAACTCTCAATCAAGATAATCAATTACACTCAACTAATTGTAAGTAAGTAATGAAAACAAATAAAAGATTTACACCTGATTAAAGAAATGCTTTTATTTACATTACATTAAATTGTTCAATTTGATTGCAATCCAATTGTAATTAATAGTTGATTATCACTAACCAATAACCTATGAAATACAAATAAATTATTAAAGTTAATGTATTCAAACAATTTAATAATAATAATTAACCATTAAATGATCAACCAATTAGCCTGAGGATATTTGCCATTTAACTTGAATTAATATTAACCATTACAATGAAGGAATGACATTAAGATTTGTGTTGATTTGACAGCACAATTAACTAATGATGATATTAAAATAATCAATTCTGTTTACTTACTAACTCACTTTAGCTCAATCCTTTTGTTTCTGTAAATTTTTTTCTCAATTCCAGTTGATTGTTACTATTTAACTCTAACAATTAACTAAACCCTTTTCTTTTGTATCGAGGTAATCATTATGTAGCCATTATCGAGCCTGTGGTGTTTTCATATTATATTGTTGTTATTTTCAACGAAATGGATGACGTTTGAATGATTTAAATGAATTGACTGGAAAAACAAGAAACACAAAGAAATTAATCTGATTGTTTATTGGGTAAATCAACTAATCATGATGATGATGATGATGATGATGATGCTTTTATAAATCAACCTACATCTTATTACAATTATCCATTAATCTCCCATTGACCCAACTCTCAACACGAATCAATTTCCTCTTATTGTATTTATTTAATTCACAATAGGACATGATTACAAATATAGATTCTAATTGTGATCAATGAGAAACTTTCATTTCAATAATTCATCACAATTTCGTATTCATATTTATAGTATTATTATTAAATTCTTGGAAAATTTATTCACCCATTTCAATAACTAATCAATTGTTTCATTTATAACAATTATAACAAATACAACTTTGTGTAATCATATTGATCAATAATCAAATTAAATTGTATCAAATGTATTGTGTCACATTGAAATAATTTGATGTTATTATTATTGATTTAGAATAGATTGTGATTCTCAGTTAATTTACAGACTCAATTAGAATAATTTAGTTAATTGTAACAGTCAATACATTTCACTTTCTGAGTTTCTTATGTATGAAACTGATCGGTCGTTCTTCAGGTCAGATTTTTTCGAGTTCAAGTTCGCCAAAGAAAATGTTTACGTTTCGTTTATAAGATTTTCCTTGGAACTTTTTTTTCCATAACATTTGACCGCTAAGTTGACCTTCTATTAGATAATCAATCGAAGCTGATTTGAGGTGAATACCGTTTTCAGAATCGGGAACTTATCAAGAACTTGATTTCAAGGAAATTGTTGATATTAGTTTTATCCTAATCTCGTTAATCTGAGTGTTTGATTGATTTGATTGCTTGTACATATTGACAGTTACGATCTTAATGATTATATAATGTTAACTGTTAAATGATAATCAACTGTAGGCATTATCATTGTGATTGTCATTTTTGTTATGGTTAAACAATCAAGTAAATCACCAAAATTGAATAGTTAATCACTAATGTTGAATGATAAGAAAAATAAACAATCAACCTTTACCTGAACAATTAGCTAACAAACAAAAAGTGAAAAAGTAAATGTTTCATTCCTGTGACCCTTTGATTAACTTTACAATTAATTAATCTGTTAATTATTGAGTGAACAAGTTGATTTAATCACTTGCAACTCACAAAAGATGTTAATCAATTTAACACTCACGTAAATTTAATTAATTATTCAAAGTATTTTTCACATACAGATTAAGATTATCTTAAAGTAAATAATTAATTATCTCTCACCTACAACTAAATTAAGTTGTATTTAAGAGGATCAATTGTATTTTCAACAATAACAATTAGTAACAATTAGTTTAATCAACAAACGAAATCAATTCTTAACTTGACCTTAACTGACCCTTGTCATTAATTACCTTTTGTCAATGAGAAAACAAATACAATTAGTATATCAATTATTTAGTATCTATGCAACAATTAAGCTCTTCTCTAATTAGTAATTAGCAATTAAAGTATTGATTTTATTGAATGTTGATTAAAATGAAAGGGAAAACTAATCAAATATGTAAATTATCAATCTTGTCAATTGTTTTAATTTTGATTTACAATCAAATCATAATTGGCTTTTATAGTTTAATGGTTGGACAAAATGAAATGAATCACTGATTAGTTAGTTAATTGTAAAGGTGAGTATAATTAATCTAGTATAAAAATGGGCAACACGGAAATTAAATTTTGTTAATTATGAAATTAGTTTATTAATCAATGGTAATAGTAATTTAGTTGTAATCATTTCCTTTTTCATGCTGATTAAAACTCGTTGTTTGATTGTTTAAAATACGGTTGATTGTTTTAAGTTTTGTTTTGCTTAATTAAAGTTAATCAAGTGAATCGATAACATCATCATAATCATAAGCAAAATGATCAAAAGTGTTTCTCGGTCAACTGGATTGTCTTCCGTTTGTTTAATTATTCTAATTGTTCCATTGATTCAATGTTCATCGATTGGAAATGAAGAAAGTTCAGTTGGACGATTTAAACGTAGCACCTTCACTGACATCGGTTCACAAGCTTCGGCGGAAGCGAAAGCTACTGCAGGTTCGTTTGTAGTCCCTCTTGAATATTTAGAAAAAGGGGGTAAACCCGGTGGTTGGCCTGGTGCTGGAGGTCCTGGTGGTTGGCCTGGTGCTGATGGTAAACCTGGTGGCTGGCCTGGAGCTGGGGGAAAACCAGGAGGTTGGCCTGGTGCTGGTGGTAAGCCCGGTGGTTGGGGTGGTGCTGGAGGTCCTGGTGGCTGGCCTGGTGCCGGTGGCTGGCCTGGTGCTGGTAGTTGGCCTGGTGGCCAGGGAGGCTGGGGTGGTAAAACCGGTGGATGGGAAGGTTGGGGTGCTGGTGGTTGGGACTCAAAAAGGAGGGCTCATTTGGTAAAATCATAAGTGACCTTGTCCCAAAGCTTGATAAGACTTTCGTACCAATTGAAAAACTCCTAACCTACGATGCCCTTAAGCCAGTCGCTGGTATTGTCGATGGAGCCACTTCTTCACTGTTTGGAGGGCTCCAGAAAGGTTTCGGTGGTAAAGGAGGCTTTGAAAAATCATTCGCTCCCGGAAACGATTATTCAAAATTCTTCACAACTTATTTAGCGACTGGTAGAGCTGAAAATCAACCGGACGGCGCTGCTATCAGCGTTGAATAAATCCTATTCTTCAATAAATTAAAATCTTTCTCCTTTATTTGCAATTAAAAATGTCAACCAAGAGATAATCAAATGATCACTTGTATTACAGTTAAGTGATATTCATTTTTAATTCATCATCAATTGATCAATGATCACTGAAATAAAATAGAAAATTTTTCCTTCCAATTTTAATTGACTCGAAATTATTTCGTTAAGATTAACTATAAGTTAATCATCATTTATTATATTTTATCACAAATGAATATCAATCCCAAAATTTAAATATTTTACACTTGGAAATACATCAAAGATTATTAAATAATAGATTCAATTAGAGATAATTTTCATAATCGCAGTAAATTTAATCATCTTCATGTAAATTGAAACAATCAGCAAGATAGAAACTTAATTTAGACAATTGCTTAATAGTATAATAGATTTAGACTAATAATTGATAACAGCATAAAAATTGATTGGATACTTTTCTAACTGTGTAAAGAAATTACTTGATATCGTTGACATTGTGCTTTTGATTAAGTTGATTAACAAGATTACGATTTTATGAAAATATTGTTTTAATGTTGTAATTCAATTTACGAAACAAATACAATCAGTTAATCATTGATTCTTTTCAGGTGGTTCGGTGCTTGGATTAGTTAACTCTTTCATTCCCTCGACAGTAGAATCACCTGCATTATCAAGCGTTTCACCAACGAAAGTTTTGGTCATTTTTAAAATCGCTCTATCATAATCCGCTGCTTGGTTCATAGTTTTGTTAACTGCTGGAGCATATTTATCGGCCATACTTTTCATCGCTGCTTTAGATTTTTCAATATTATCATTTTTCGCTTTTCTAGCTTCGGCTGATTGTTGAGGCGATTGTTTAGTCGATTGTTGAGATGTTTGTTGAGGTGTTTGTTGGAGTCGTGAGGATTGCGGGGTTCTGGACGATTGTGGAGACTGTGGTGATTGCGGGATTTCGAGGATTGTGTGGACTGTGAGGGTTGCGGAGATTTCAGAGGCTGATCTGGTGGGGTTCTTGAAGGTTGTGGTAACTGTGATGGTCGTGTTTTTGGTGGTTCCGATGGTTCCGATGGTTCAACTGGAACAGGAACAGGAACTGGAACTCGAACTGGTACGAAGTATTGCATAGGCATAGGCATTGGATTGGCGGGCGGTGGCGGAGGCGAAACTGTCAAATGGATCGTATGAGGGCGGCATCCATTGAGGAGCGGGCCTTGTAGTCCTTGCCAGAATCGGGGGAAACCGTAAAATCCGTAATCTGCCTTATTAGAATCCAATTTAATTGAGATGATAAGACAAACAATAAGCACAATATAAGTTGATTTCATGATTTTATTGTTTAAAACCAATTCAGATATAAATTCATCAACAAACTTTTGAAGTAATTAATTACAACTCTAAGCAACTAATAAGCTACGATTGATATTAACAATCGGTTCCGAAATGATTGAAACTTCAATTAGTCGATTTGATTTATCTAAAAAAACCGTTCAACAATAATCAATAGTTTTTGATGTAATTTGAGTGACAGTTAGTAAATTTAGTAAATATTATCCTTGTTAAACTTTTAATTTGATTGATTATCGCAACTTTGAAATAACCAATAGTTGATTAAAGATAATTATAATAAGCGCAATTAAATCAGTTGATAGATTACCAGGTAATTAACAAAACAGAAAGACTAATTGAATCAACTGATTACATTGTTATCAACTTTTCGTGAGTAAATATAATTAATACCAAAGAATCAGAATCAGTTTTAAGATAGATAATTTTCTCCAATTTCAACAATTAACAGATTAAAATGATTTACTCCAATAGAGAAAATCAATCTCATCCGAATCGATGAATGAATTAAATATCAATAATAATAATTTTGTTTTCTATTAGAAGAAAGAAAGAAAATTAAATTCAATTGTCTTCATAAGCATAATTAGTTGATTCTTTTGAATTGAATGATCACCATGATCACCATGATGGAAATAGATTGTGAGTAAAACAATAACAAGTTTATTTCTGTTTTGTTGATTGGTTGAGAAATTAAATGAACACGATATTCAATGATTAATTGATTACCATTGTTAATGGATAATTGTTTCAACAAGTTTCACAGAATAATGAATTTGTGAAGATTAAGATTATACCCTGAACATTAAAAGGTAAACATGATGATCAGGGTAAATGATAAAAGGTAAAAGAAAAGGTGTATTCATGTTAGCATATATTTAGAAAAGGTAAGATGATAATGAAGATAAACTTTAAATACGGAAGGAAATTGTTTTTTCCGGGCTGATTGTAGATTCTCAATGTTTCAACTGTATCCAAATTGTATCGCTAATTAAGTCACGGGCCAAAGGATAAGACCAAATAATTATCAATCGTTTGTAACATGACAATCATTGAATCTATTATTATTTACTCAAGGTCAACATTAGTGACAACTTTTCATTCCTAAACAATTAACTTTAATCATAAAAAAACAAACAAACAATAACAACTAAAGAGACTAATAAATAATAATATTGGTTGTAAATGCAACTCCCAACATCATCATTAGGAGACTTTAGGTTAACATTAACATTTGATCATTTGGATGACCCTTGATTGTTAATCATCACCATGATCATGATGACGATCATCATCATCATCATCTTATATGATACTCATTAGAACACAATGGAAGATAAATAATCCCAATGAATTGTTTTCGATTGAGATATTATCAACTCTAATAGAAGAAGAAAAAAAGTGAAAAAAAAGTTTGTTACGTCTCAACGATTTTACTATTACTTTTGTGTTCTAATCACAATTAACTTGTCAATGGAGTTTTTTTTTTCTTTCGCTTCTCCGAAAGTTCATCATCTACAATTTATCCACAATTCAGTCAACTGAGAATCTATTCTGATTAGGTTTTCTCTCTCTCTCTCTCTCTCTTTGTTTAAGTAATCAACTCTTTCTCTCTGTTTACTATTATACGTTATTACTATTATATTGCTGTGTTGGAACATTTTAAAGCCTAATTGTCGTGGAAATTTACGATTAATACTACTCAATTGGCGGAATTAATTGCAATTGATTCAATAAAGTTAAAGAAAATTTTTATTATTATCAACTCACGAATTGTTTTTTCTTTCTTTGGCCACTTTCATGTTGAGATAAATCAATAGAGAGATTTTATCACGATTAGTGTTGAACTAATTTCTTCTCCTTTTTTTAATCAATCAAAATCAATTTGATTCACAGAATCTTTAGAAAAATATATTAGTATTTATATGGTGTTGTTGTTATTATTATTATTATCACAATGGTATATTATTAGTTGATTGTTTGGGAGCGATTAATTAGCGGTAACTCCTAAGATTATTCCTGAAATAACACCGATTGTAACGACGGTGAGTATTATCCATAAGACGATTAAATGTCCTTTACAACAAACTGAATCATCGTAAATTAATGAATCAACTTGATTGGCAGAAGCAAGATGACTTTTAATGGCTTCAATTGGAGCTGATCCATGACCGGGAATCATAATCTGAGCTCCTGAGGGCACAAATGAAGTTGATCCATTATTATTATGGAACATGGTTCCAACGTAAGTTGGCATTGGAAGTTTGTTTGTCAACGATTTGCTAAAGCATTCATATTGGGCGATATTTGAAGCTCCTTGAGTCGCTAGTGCTCCTGGTTGGGGGACTGGTGGCCCTAAGCCGATTGCACTTGAGTTTCCAGGGTAAGCAATTAAGGGTGGTAATGAAGGGCGACGTAAATCAGAAAGTGAATTGAAACGTTTGACTGTGAGCATTTGCTGATTATGTACAGGGTGAGCTAGAAGAGATGCTGAGGTTGGATGATGAGGATGAGGGTGGTGATGGTGATGATGATCATATGGATGAGCAAGTTGATGATGAGATGCAATTGAAAGGTGACGAGGGTTGAGAGGAAGTGGGGGTAAAGGAGGTGGTAGGGGAGGACCAGGGATAATAGGTGATTGGTGATGATGAACAGGATGATTTGATCCATGAACGGGACAAGGTTCACCATCAAAGGTTCCCACTTGAGCCATTACTAGACCGGGATAACTTCGTGTTGACCTTAAAGTTGCCGTTCTTTGATAATTTCGTATGGGTCCTGGTCCATAACTGACAATTGATCCTCGATTAGTTGACAATTGGGGTATTAAATTTGATTGGGAATAATGTTTTGATCGTCGACGGTCAATTGTTGTACTATAAATGGATCTAATTAATGGTCAATGAAACGAGAGAAGAAGCAATAAAAAAAAAAGTTAAATTGATTAAACAGATTCCCGATTTCTCACAATTAAACTCTAATGATAAGACTCAATTTTTAGAAAACTTTTGCTTTTTTTTGGCTACTATTAAATTGATCTTTGATGATTATCCGGTTTGGGAAAAGTCTGAGAGCAGATTAAAAGATTTGCCTCAAGATATTATCATGCTGTTAATGAGATAAAGTTCTTATACTCTGAAAATGATGAGAGAATTCACATGAAAAATTGTGAATGAAAAGTTATGATAAAAGAGAGAGAGAGAGATTAAAGAAATGAAATGATGAATGATGAAGAGATGATGAGGGTTTCATGATAAAATATTAATTCATCTGAATAGGAATAATAGTTGATATGAATAATCGAGTAAAAAAAATGTAGGTAAATAAGGAAATGCGACTGAATGTAAATAAAGGTGAACATGAAAATTGGTCAAGTAGTTTGAATGTTATAATAATAACTCGTTAAGGTCAATGAGATCAATGTATTTAATTATATTTCGTTTACAATTAAATACAATGTAGGCCACTTTTTCCGTCTCACTTAACAACTATTATGAATGTTAATGGTCATCAAGTAGAAACAGCTAAGGGTCAGAACATTTAAAGAGCTTTTTTCAAGTTTATAATGAACAAGAAGAGAAAGAAAAAGAGGAAGATGAAGATGATGAAAAGAAGAGAGAGAGAGAGACTTGATAAGAGAATAGAAATAAAAGATTCTCTTTTTAATGAAAGAAAACAATGTAAAGAAAAGATGAATAATATGATGATGATGATGATTCGAAATAAGATGAATGGAGATAAATCTTACCCGTTGTGTCTTCGAGATGAAGAATGATGATGATGACGAACCATTGGGATTTCTTCACGATCATCAGAAGATGTGGTCAATACTGATGGGGATGAAGTTCGATGATTTAATGATGAGGGATGATGATGATTGTGATGATTAGATGGTTGTGTTGTCGGCGGTGTTGATGAATGATAACTGTGTGAATTTGAATGATAATGTTGTTGTTGTTGGTGTGGTTGTTGATGGTGGTGGTGATTGTGATGATTGGTTGAGATGACCGATGGTAATGGCTGGGGAATTGGTTGATAATAAGTTTGTGACATTAAATTTGTTTGTTGTGGTAAATGAAGTTCCCGGTGACGCCAAGCAACTGGAGTGCGAGGTAAACCAGTATCACTATCGACCAGGGGATCATTTGTTTTGGGTCTCATTTTGTTATATTATTAATTATCTGTTACGTTAAATAATCGATATCAATATAAACCAATCGGTTCAACAAACGGTACAATAAACACACACATACATACACAATTATCGCCACGTTGGAACGGTTTCACGTAGATTGTTATTATGATTAGAACAAGATGATTATCAACAAGATGAAGGAAGAACTTTAAGTTACAGGGTAATCAAAATGGAAGGAAAAACGCGTAAGTTACTTGAACAAGTCTTTCGTTCAACTGAAACAGGTAAAAGGTGGAATGAGAATGGGAACATACCCTTTGTGAGAGAGTAAAAAAGGAAACCAGTCTTAAGAATGAGAGAAAAGAGAGAGAGAGAGAGGTTAAGTCGTTAACCTTGGAGAGAACAAGTTGATGTTGAAATTAAATGAATTCTGAGAGAGTGAGAATGTAAATTGCAAAGGAGAACTTTATTGTTATTATCATTTATCAGTGGAAATTGATTCGACAAAATGAGATTTAATTTGGAGAGATCCATCATCTTCGCTAGTGATTATGGTCAGAACGAAAATATCATCAGCATTCAGCTTTGGTAGTTCTTTGATAACTTCCGATTTCATATGAAGTCGAATTGGAATATCTTCATCGGTGAGTTTCGATAGTTTGAGAAACTTTGCTAATGAACTTTTCAGATCAACTTCAGGTTCTGATTTTAATTGTAACTGAATTGACTTTGGGTTCATTATGATTGGTTTAACTGGTTTAGTTGAATAGTTGGAATTTCTTTGGATCAATGTTAACATGAGAATATCATGTTCGTCGAATTGAAGTTCACAGGTTTCATCCTTTTCTTTTTTCATTATTTTCTCGGGTTTTGGTTTGTATTCAGGTACCGGTGGAATTGTTGACACTTCGAGTCCAGTTTCCAAGACTAAACGACCTTTTTTCTCTTCATGTTTATCAACTGCCGTCTCTTTCGATTTAGTATAACTACTTCCTAAAGACGAATACCAACCTAATTGAACATTAAATCAAATAGAAAAAAATTGTTAATCGAATGAACGAAAAATGAGATTTGGACAAAAAGAACTTCGAAAAATACTTACTTTTCAAAACATTCGCTGAGATGACATTAACTAGAAGAAAGAGAGTAAATAGAACCGATTGGAAATTCATATTGAGCTGAGGAAAATTCGAAGAATAGAACAGAACAAAAAAAGAACTTGAATTCAAAGTTGTTCGAAGAAAACTTTAGATACTAATGAACATCTTCGAGGAAAATACCTAGACTTTTATACGAAAAGGATAAACTTTTTACACTCCCAAATTGAACTTAATTCGCTAAGGCCAATAGAAAGAAAGAAAAAGTTCAAATGGACAATAATAATAACCTAAGGGTCAATCGAATTGACCCTCAGAAGAAAAAGAAAAAGAAAATTAATCTTCAAGAAAAGTTAGAAAGTCGATCAGTTTAATTGATCGTTTAAACTATTTACTAAATAGAAACAAAATCCTCCACAGATTAACCTTAACTACCAATTGGTAGCCAACTATTAAACGGCACCAAATCAACCAATCAATCAGTCGAATCAGAAAATTAAAGAGAATAATTTAAATTTCAATTGTTAATTAAATTGCAAAAAAAGGTTAATCGAAACGCTACCTGGTCAATAGATGGCGTTGTTTTCTCATCAACTGTTGGCTGAATATTGTTAAGTCATTTTGATGAATTTAAATTTAAATTCATTACATTTTCTTAATTGTTACTGTTTGTTAGTTGATTGTTTTTAAATCGTTTTTGGTTTAATTGAAATTTTATTTTATTTATTGGTGAAAAATGTTGGAACCTTGTGATGGGTACGTGGATTTATTGGATAACCGGCAGATTTTGAAGAAAACTCTAGTTGAAGGTAGGAAGGATCGAGCCAGGCCCGAGAAAGGTTGTCGTGTTAAACTTAATGTGACAACCAAATTGAAAGATTCTGGTGTTAAAATTGATTCTGAATGTTATGAAAATATTGAGATATTTGTCGGTGATTGTGATATAAATCATGCCTTGGATTTGGTTGTGCCTCATATGAATGAGGGTGAAATCGCCAATGTTTTTGTCTCTGCTCAGTTTGCTTATGGTGAGAAAGGTCGAGATCCTGATGTCCCATCTGATGCTCTTCTAGATTTGACCATTGAAGTTGTTTCAATTGAACGGTTTAAAGAATTAACTGAACTCGATTCCATGGAGAGAATTAAAATAGGTCAGTAAATCGAATAAGTCACTTTCATTTGTATACAAAAAACACAAAATCCATTTTGAGTAATTCTCTTTTTCTTTTCTTTAGCTGAAGGTAAAAAGGAAAAAGGTAATTTCTACTTCTCCCGAAGTGAATATTCAAATTCTATTGCCCTCTATAAACGAGCTATTGAATTTCTTGACATCGATCCATCAGAAATAAAGGATAATGGAGAGAAGGAAAAAGTATTGAAAAAACTATCCGATCTACAGGCGAGTTGTTACAATAATTTGGCTCAAGCTCATATGAAAAAAAATTCTTACGATGCTGCATTAGATTCTGTTAATGCTTCGTTAGCAATAAATGATAATAATGTTAAAGCCCTGTTTCGAAAAGGTAAAATTTTATCTGCACAAGGTAATTTCCAGGAAGCACTGGAAGTATTTAAAGAGGCAGTAGCTTTAGATCCTGATTCTAGTTCTCTCAAAGCTGAATATGAGACAATATCTTGGGCTTATCAGAGACAATTGGAAGAAGAGAAAAACAAGTTGGAACCTTATGAAGGGTATTTGGATATATTGGATAACCGGCAGATATTGAAGAAAACTCTAGCTGAAGGTAGGAAGGAACGAGCCAGGCCTGAGAAAGGCTGTCGTGTTAAACTTAATTTGACAACCAAATTAAAAAGTTCTGGTGCTAAAATTGATTCTGAATGTTATGAAAATATCAAGATATTTGTCGGTGATTGTGATATACACCATGCCGTGGATTTGGTTGTGCCTCTTATGGACGATGGTGAAATCGCCAATGTTATTGTTTCTCCTCGGTTTGCTTATGGTGACAAAGGTCGAGATCCTGATATCCCACCTAATGCTGCTTTAGATTTGACGATTGAAGTTGTTTCAATTGATTGGGTCGAAGAATTAAATGAAATCGATGCCATGGAGAGAATCAAAATAGGTCAGTTAATCAAATATATTTTCATTTGTATACAACAAAAAAAAACATCCAACACAAAAATCCATTCTGAATAATTCTCCTTTTCTTTTCTTTTCTTTTCTTTAGCTGAAGGTAAAAAAGAAAAAGGTAATTTCCACTTCTCTCGAAGTGAATATTCAAATTCTATTACCCTTTATAAACGAGCTATTGAATTTCTTGACATCGATCCATCGGAAATAAAGGATGATGACGAGAAGGAAAAAGTATTGAAAAAAATATCCGATCTGAAGTCCAGTTGTTACAATAATTTGGCTCAAGCTCACATGAAAATGGATGCTTATGATGCTGCATTAGATTCTGTTAATGCTTCGTTGGCAATTGATGAGAAAAACGTTAAAGCCTTGTTTCGAAAAGGTAAAATTTTATGTTCACGAGGTTATCTTGATGAAGCACTGGAAGTATTTAAAGCGGCGACAAGTTTAGAGCCCGATAATCGTCTCATCAAAGCTGAATACATGCAAACATCTAAGGCTTGTCTCAGACAATTGGAAGAGGAGAGAAAAATGTTTAAAAAGATGCTCCAATTAGACAATAACAAATCAACTGCCGTTAAACCAGATAGTAAATGGTACACACCTAAAACTTTAATTATTCTAACATCGATTGGTGTTGCAGCGATTGGAGCTGCAATTTACCAAATTTATGCTTTTTGATGAGATTGTATTATTAACCAACACCTACACTAATTCATTTATCATTCCATATTCACTTTTACTTTACTTTACTTTTGCTAATTAGTCATTGAATAAACGTCACTTGTTGATATTCGTTATTAATGATGCGTTTCTTTTCAATTTTTTCAGATTCATGAGTGAGATTAAACAAACAAGGAATAATCAGAAGATTAGTTGGTATGATGGAGATAATTAAAAAGTGAATATTCGGGCTGAAACATCGTCAATTAACCAATCAATGCCTTGCAATAAATTCTCACCCGAATAGCCTGAACATCCGATTATTTTGTAATGACGATTCTTGAGAGATCCTAATTCTAGAATTTGCTCAATTTGTTGTGAAGATAATGAGCCAGGAATGTCTTGTTTGTTTGCGAAAATCAAAAGCGTTGAACCAAGTAGCCTTTCCTCTTGTAGTAACGCATGAAGTGACTTCTTACAATCCGATAAACGCAAAGAATCAGCACTATCAACAACCCAAATTAATCCATCAGTTGACTCGAAGTAATTTCGCCAATAAGCTCGTAAAGAACTTTGTCCACCAATATCCCAAACATTCAATTTAAATCTAAATTGGTAAACAAAAGAAAAAGGTAATTTTAACCAGACCAAAACAATTAACAATTAACACTGAGAATTATTATTTTTTTTATATTACCCTTTGTGGTCCAAAGCATAAATATTGAATCCCAAAGTTGGAGATATACTTTGAATATCATCATTGTTGAATTTTTTGACAATTGTTGTTTTTCCAGCATTATCCAAGCCTCTATTTTGATAGAAAAACAAAACGAAAAATGTTAATTAACTAATCATCTTTTTTATTTCAATCAATTCAAAATACTAACAAAAAAAAATACTCACAATACCAATAGACGAACTTCACGTTCCTTTTGTTTTAATTTCTTCAATATATTCAACAAAACCATTGTAACAGCATAATCAACAATCCAAATTAAATCAATTAACAATCACTGACAATTAACACCAATTAATTGATCAAACAAAAATGATCAATCAAAATTAAATTGAAAATCATTTTTATTTATGTTTACAAATCTCGTAGCTAAGCAACGAAAAGCGCCAAATTTAAATTTCTTTTCTAATTTCAACTTATCAAATTTTTTTTTCATTCTCAGAGTTGTTATGAGATTATTTTTACTTTATAATGGAAGATTTTTTAAGAATAAAATATCAGTTAAATGATACTTGAACTAATATTTTTGGTAAAGTGAAATGATTCTAATTACAACAAGTGATTTAAAAGCTGAAATTGGAAAAGATGAAGTTAATTGTTAAATGAAATGGGAAATAACAATTGAATTTATTGTTACAAGTTCCTTATTTATATTGGTAAAAATCACTGCAAATGTTAATCTACTCAAACGAGTTTTTTTCCCATTCTGGTTTCCTTAAAGAAAAACATTCAACCAGAATTCAGGTCATTAAGTTTCCTCAATTAATGTCGTCATTATCATCATCATCATCATCGTCATTGTTTAGACAGATTTATTGATAGTGTTGATTCAGATACGATTCTGTTTTTGCAAAGTGAATAGTTATTGATGACGAATTAGAAATTGGTGATTTTTACCATTGAAATTTAACCGAAATTCATGATGAGTTCAAGTGCCGTTAAAATGGTTCTGGATACAAGTTCATTGGATGATATTCTGTGTCTACCTCGTGACTGTCCACTCGATAAGTATCGTTCTAAAGCCTCATTTGATTGGAAGAAGATGAAATTATTATTGGAAGGTGAATCGGCGATCAAATTGAAGTATAAAATTTGGTCAACAATGGAATCAGATGAGATATTTCAACAGAAACCATGGACTGAAAGATCTCGTCATGAGGAAAGACGGATAACATTCATGAGAATGAAGAAATTGAATGAATATCAATTTCTAAAAGATGAAGATATGATCGATGATCCATTTCTGGTGCCCGCTTTTATCGCTTCACTAATGCAATATGACGCAAGTTTATGTGGTAAAAAGGTGATGGCTCAAGATAATTTTATCCAAGGCTTAAAGATCAGTGGATCAGCTCATCACCGACGATTAATCAATGAGATTGATTCTTTCAATGCTTTAGGTGCATTGACAATAACCGAGATGAGCCATGGATCCAATATAAGAGCAATTAGAACTCAAGCAATTTATGAACCATCGAGTAAACAATTTATCCTTCATACACCAGATATTGAAGCTACCAAAGTCTATTCGGGAATTCTTGGTCAAACAGCGACTCATGCAATCGTTTACGCTCAGTTAATTACTCCTGATGGTCAATCTCATGGTCCTCATTCATTTCTTGTACCAATTCGTGATAAGAATACACTTTTACCTTATCCTGGCCTGAGAGTTGGTGACATGGGACCGAAAGTGGGCATGGAGGGAATGGATAATGGTTGGATTATCTTTAATCGATACAAAATTCCGAAAGATTCATTGATGAACAAACATGCAGATATTTCTGAGGATGGAAAATATATCCTTCGAACTCAAGATTCGAGGAAAGATTTGGTTCATCATTGGAATATTATCGCTTGGAAGGATCTTCATGACTTACACTTGTACACTTGATCTTCAACAGGCAATTACGATTGCAATCAGATATGCTGCCGTTCGTAAGCAATTTGGTCCTCCAAGTGAGTTAATCAACAAGAAACAATCAAAGAGTTTTACTAATTGTTTACTCTTCTCTTAAAACTTTCCTCAGGTTCAAATGATTCGGAGTTGGAGATAATTGAATATCCAGTTCACCAATGGCGTTTATTTCCGTATTTGGCCTCGTGTTTCGTTTATCAAGTTTTTTTCAATTCGTTTTATGAAGATTTCATTAATCTCTATGCAGCTTCAACCTATGGTTTATCCTCTGATCTTGATTTGGCTTCATCAGGTTCAGAGATTCACGCGATAAGTTGTGCCTCGAAAGCAGTTACATCATGGATTGGACGGGATGGAATTCAAGAATCACGAGAAGCATGTGGAGGCCATGGTTACCTTAAATCGTCCCGATTAAATCAGTTACGTGTCGATCATGATGCTAACAATACACACGAAGGTGATTGTAATGTTATCCTTCAGCAAACATCAAACTTTTTACTTCGACTTTACGATCAAAAGAAAAGTTCAACTTCGTTCAAAATCTCATCACCATCGGGATCGGTTAATTTTATCGATAACATTGAAACCATTTTATCTTCATCATCATTTCCACCTGATAACTTATCCTCACTTTCTTCAATAATCTCAATCTATCATTTTCTTGTTTGCTATTTACTGAAAACATCAAAAGATCGTATCAATGAGAGTATTAAATCACGAGGAGGACAATTAACTAATCCAAGTGCTGACGATTTATGGTTCGCTAAAGCAGAGAATCAAATTTACCTACGAAACTTGTCAATCTCTTATTTTGAATGTAATTCATTGGAAAGATTTAACTCCTTTGTATCTCAAGATTTTCTACCTGACAATTTATCATCGATTCTAAAAAGATTAGGATTAATTTATGGCCTCTGGTCATTGGAAAAACATTGGGCTAACCTTTGTATCTCTGGTTACATTGAAGCGAAAAGTAATTCAATTGATTCAGCTCGATCTTTATTACAACAATTATGTTCATCAATCAAAGACGAAGCAGTTTCTCTGGTCGATTCATTTGCACCAACTGATTTCGTTCTTAATTCAGTTCTAGGAAATTCCGATGGGCGAATCTATCAACACTTATTTGATTCCATCACGAAAGCCGATAAATCAGAAGAAAGGCCCGATTGGTATCAAGAATTTACCATAAACAAACCGAAATCACCAATTCGATCGAACCTCTAATCTAAAATCAATTTGATTCCAATAAAGATTTTATAATTAAACTAATGATCGTAATCAAGTGAATTGTTGTCATCAGATTGGAAGATAAAATGAATGAGAGAGAAAGGAAGAAAATTCTTCTGGCAATTTGAATAAATAGGAAGATAATTGTTCGATGGAGCGTAAATATCCTTGGTATTGTTTCTAAATATTCGCATGACCAGAGGAAAAGAGAAAAAAAGTTATCGAGAGAAAATGAGAATTTTTTTCCCTTTGTAAGAAAAAACTTCTATTAAAGAAAAAAGGAGAAACTGGTTAATTTACAATGTTTACTTTTCGCTTTAACAACAAGAGAATTTAATAAATCACGAATTTCATCTAACTCGATAAGATCTACTAAAAGGATAATCATCAAAGATAAATGATAGAAAATCACAAGTTTAAGATAACCTTTGATTTCCATTGGAAAAAAAATATAGCCGATTAACGAGTAGAATTGGTTGTAAGTGATTAGTTGATTAAAGAAAAACATTAATCTTTATCTCGATTCTCACTAATTAATTGTTAGCTGATGATCAGATGAAGAGAAACAAAGGAAAGAGAGCAATGGAGAGAGTAAACAAGAGAGAGAGAGAGAGAGAGAGAGAGAGAGAGAGAGATGAAAAGTGCGAATCGGAGAAAAGCTCAACTTCAGCCAAGGTTATTTTTCCGTTTGGATGATAGAAAATAAAAAAGAGAGATAGAAAGAGAGAGAAGATGAAGATAGACAGAGAGAAGGAGTAAGAGAGTGAGTCAACGAGTGAGCCGAGAGAGAGAGAGAGAGAGAGAGAGAGAGGAGAGAGAGAGTCTGTGAATCTGTGAGAAAAACAATCTAAAGTTTAGATTCAAACAATGTTTAGATTTTGAAATTTTCTCTTTTCAGATTTTCTGAAAAGTTCGTTCATGAGTGTTCACTATTCCATTTCCTCATGTTCTTCTTTTAATCTTGGCTTTAGGCCAATTTCTTTTTTCTTTAAGTGAAATGTCACTAATCTTAATCAACTTTACAGTTTCGAAAAAGTAAAAACTGATCACTGGTTATCCATAAAACTCTTAACAATTTCAACTCATTTTTTTTTCTCACTTTTTCTCTCACATCCTCAATACGCTACAAAGAAAAAAAAGTCAATATGGTTTCTTTGAAAATCTTATCATCGATTCATCTTAATCTGGTTCACATCTTATTTCATGTTTTCTTCATGTTAAATTGCCTTCTCACTGAATCATCTTCATCCTCGGTCAGAACTTTATCCTTACTCTCATCATTATCATCACCATCATCTTCATCATCTTCATTGAATATTAGTGAAAATTGTTTCCAATCATTGAAAAGTTACTTGGATTACAATTCAAACCAATCAACAGTATTTTCGTCACCAGGTAAGTTAATCAAATCAAATGGTTTCTCTTGATTGTTGTCACGAAATCAATGATTGTATTATATGTGATTTGAATCATTGATTATCAATGATAATCAATTCTCCCTCTCTTATATTTATTGTTCAATTAGAATCAAGTTTTCATGGACAATTTTCACCGATTCTGTTGATTAATAATCTTCGTTTAATTGGTTCATATGATGAATGTCTCGGAATCAATTTCAATTCTGTTGATCAGAATATCTCCTTCTTTGGAGTCTATTGCAGATCGAAACTTAAAATTTCAAATGTAAGTAATTAAAACGGAATCAATTGATTGTAGCTGATTAAATAATTTCTCTTAATCACTTAGATTAACCCTTTGATTGCCAATGAATCTCAGCAAATATCAATGGAGTTGTGTGCACCTTCAACATGTTCATCTTTGGATATTAAAAGTTTATTATCAAATCAGAATGAAGGTAAGAATCAGTTGATTCAATTGTTACAATTTAATTGTTATTCTCATCATTAATGCTTACAATGTGTCTGTTCACACTTTTGATTCACAAATTTAAGTTAACTATAACTAATGAGACAATTGATTGTCACCTAAATTAATCAGTTGAGGCAAAACCAATGCAAAGGTAAACATAATTAGCGATAAATTCAATTCCAAGGCAATTGAATGACTTAACAATCATTACGATTGACAATTAAATCAGAGCTCGAAAAGTGCGACAATTTAATCAGCTATTTATACAATTTACTCTTCACTTTACAAACAATTAAATCTTATTATCAACGGTAATCAAAGTAACCATGGTACTAATTTTAAATTCAGTTCAATTAATTAAAAACGTTTTTTATTTTCTTCACCGCAAAACTCATAAGTAAATAATTAATTGTTATGATTAATTAACCTAATTAGGGATCAGTTATTGTTTCATTTAAACATTTTAACAATTGATTAATTATCCACAATGAAAATGATCTCATGATATATCATGATTATTATCAGATTAATCAATTTGCTAATTAGATTTGATTAAATCTAATCCCATTTAATTGTTGACAAGTTCATTGATCTATTGGGATAATTATAAATAACAATGAAATTATATGTATATCAATGGGTAATCAACGTGTTTAATTATAATATAACAATTAAATTAATCGTAATTTGAACATTTACTAATCTTAATTTACTAATTGTTTGTCTAATTTGTAGTTATTGAAGTTGAGACAATTTCTTGTCATGGTCAATCAGTTCAAGTACTCGATGCCTCAGATATAATCGTTATGTAAGTGTGTTAATCAACAACAATTAAGAGTAAATTACCATCTCCTAATCAATGGTATTCTTTTAATCACAATCTTAATCTAGTTGTATCTTAATTATTCTTGGATTACTTACCGCACTTGGAACTTGTTTGTCCACTTATTTCCGGTTATGTGGACATAAACCTTTCAGAAAACGAGCTAAAATATTGATTGCATTTTCTGTTTATGAAAATTCATTGAAACTCATGGACACCAAAGTTTCCGAGAAAACGATCCGCTGTTTATTTGGACTAAGATTTTTGGCCCTTTGCTTTATCGTTCTAGGTCACACTTATTCCTATCATAGTCGCATATCCATAGGTGAGAATTGAAGAGAGAAAACGAAAAATTTTCTATCGAAAAAAAAACAAACCAATATGATTGATAAAATCGATAAACAATCATCCATATATATTATGTATACAATTACTCTTATTATCATCAGTTTGATTCTTTCAGTTGATCCAGAATCGGTTCGAAGTGGAATCAAGAAACTCTGGTTCCAAGTATTTCTCAATTTTACTCCGTGGGTTGATACCTTCTTCCTGATTAGTGGATTATTGGTTTGTTATGGAGGATTAAATAGCTTTGAGAAAATACATACACGAATAACTGATGATCAATCAATGATTCAATCCATTGGAAACTTTGTCAAAACAATTTCCTCATCAATAGCTCATAGATATTGGAGGTAAATATATATAATTGTTATCATCTCTTTTTCCCTCTCAATCTTTTTTTTCTCATCTCGTTTTATAATTAACTCGTTTTTCTTAATCATGATTCAGATTAACTCCAACCTTGGGATTCATCATTTGCATCTACATAGTTTCAGGTAAAATCGGATCTGGACCCGAATGGAGTCTCATGACGAGCATAAGTGATCCGTGCAAACAAACCTGGTGGAAGAATCTTATTTATATCAACAACTTTTTCTCTTCCAATGTGGTAATCAGATCATTTTAATCTTCGTAACGAAGCAACGAAACAAAAAAACAAACGTTTCGTTACAAGAAAAGAAGAAGAATAAACTTTTCTCCTTTTCTCTTTCTTTCTTTTCGCTTAAATTAATGAGTTAATTAACACAAATTAATTAATTACCTTTCTCTCTCTTTTCACCCACTCAATAAATTCCAGTGCATGGGACATACTTGGTATTTGGCGGATGATTTTCAATTTTATATCTTCTCCACGATAATACTTGTCTTTTTATCTTCAAGGTAACTGTTTATCCCTTTTTCGTTTTATTATATATTGTGAGGAGATAAATTTGATTATGATGATTTCCTTTGCTCTTCGTTCGGTGTAGAAAGATTCAAAACAATATCTCGACTGGTTGAAGGTGTATCGACATGTAGAATAGGGTTTTCTCCTGTATCTAAACGCTCATGGGTGATGATATACAAATTTATCAATTCGTTGAAAGTCAAACCTGAAAATATAAGTTGTTGCATAAACTCTATTTGTTGATTACTAAATCTCATCACTAAGTTCCAGATCAGCCAATTCGTCGTCCAGTATTAGTTCCAGAAACCAGTCTTCCGGTCCAGTTATCGATAGGTGATGCAAGATCAGTAGATCAATTATTTCTTGTATGGCTCCTTGAATCTGGATTACTACCGCTGTTAACTCTCTTAAGTGTTTTCCTATGGACATTCGAGTTTTGAAAACTTAGATCAATTTGATATCGTTGGTTTCGCCTGGAACCTAAAACTGTCGGTAGTTGCGGTGGTACTTACGTTGACCTTAGCAAAAGATTTCGATAGTTCTAGTAGCGATAATGATTCGTAAACTCTTGACCTTCGATGAAAAGCTTTATTATGTCTATGAATAATAATAGTATAGTGATGGGTCAATACAGGGTTATAATCGGTGCAGTTAATTGGCGAGCAATAATAGTTACTACAGATGGTAAAGTACCGTGAAAAGAAAATACTCTCAAGATAAATGTTGTCTCGTTGAAACGGTTATCCTTGAGGCGGAAGCTTAGCGTAATAAAGGTTACGACTGGTGATGGGAAGTACAATATTTAAGTTCGAATGCGATTCTTATGGCGAAGGATCGTAGGTTAAGGTTACTGGTTATGATGAGGTTTGATTATGATTACAAATATAAGATAAAAGGTATGCTAATATGGTTAAGGACCAAACAAATTTCCAATGACGGTGTCAATAATGGTAAAGGTTCGGAAGGTAATTGATAAGGAGTTGATAGATGGTTATGGTCAAGGTGAATGATCAAAGGTGATAATCTATAACTAAGTCTACTAGGTTAACTTGGGGTAATGGATCAATGGTACAAGTATAAGCATGCGAGGATTATGGATAAGGTGAAGGATCAATGGGTACGAAAAGAAAAATAAAAGGTAATACTCAAAAAGCCTAAGGCTTACCTTGTTGATGCTTTCCGCTGCGGGACAGTCTGAGAGGGGGTCGTGTGGTGGCTTAATAGGCCCAACTGGAGCAACGGCTCGAACACAAAAGGCGGTTCGGGGGAAAACACAAGGATGGCGGTGATGGCGGAGTTGGGGAGACACAGGGTTGGCGGAAACGGCGAAACCGGGGAACACAATTTATTTTAAAAATACACAAATAAACTTCTTAAAAATAAACTTCTTAAAAAGAAATGTAGCACAGAGAGAGAGAGAGAAAGATGAAAACAACAAATTGTTGATGTTGATGTTGACGCTGTTGAGCTTAAACTAACTTCGCAACCCTCTTTCTTTCTCTCTTTCTCTTATAATAATTCGGCCCATTGCGAAAGAGAAAAGACAGAGCAAAAGAAAGAGATTTGGCTCCCAAACAAAGAGAAAGAAAGAGCCTCTTTCTTAGGACCCCAAAGTTAATTGGATGCGATCTTAAACTTTTCCTGCTTTTCCTAGAGATGGTCATTTATAATGTCCACCTTTCTAATGCTTTCTCTCCTTCTAAAAGTAATTTAGTTTTCCTGCTTAATGTAGAAATGGAAAGTCATAAAGTTAATTTCCTGGAGAGGAGGAGTAAAGATGCAAACATATACTTCTCCTCTCTTGTCAATGTAAATCAAAATAAATGGGTTTTTAGGAGGAAAAACTCCCAGTAAAGTAAAAGTAATAAAAATAATAGCATTGGGGTGAGGAGGAAGGTTATGCTACCTTTGACCATTTAGATTTTTATCCCCTCACATCGGCTCCCCTCTTCAAAGGCTGATGTCCGCAGCAGCGTTTCATCTCCAAGGTTTACAAGTCACATTATAGCTTGGTACATTTCCAAAGGTTTGGAAAAGTATTGTCTTGGCGTACAATCCGAAAGAAAAATTCCGATTGAAAGTATCCTGATAGATAATTGGATTACAAGAATAGGTTAAGGTTAGATTAAATTGTAATATATATAAGGAAGGATTACAAATTTCCTTCTTTAATAAGAAGGGGGTACAATTTATTAAGGACGAATAGCTGATATCATGAGAGAGATGATCGAGTAAACGATTGCCAAGTAGATACCAATTGAGACCGTAACACATCCATACTTCAGGACTTTACGAGTAACGGCCAAGCATCGATTCGTTGGAACGTTGGCTGGATTTTCTTCGCCCACTTCAATATCTTCCATTATTCGATGGCTGTAGATATAAAAACAAAAAAACACATTTGGTTAAAGTTAAAAAGGGAATACAAAAATTTAATTTGTGAAATAGTGTAGGTGGAAGGGGGGAAGGTTGACAAATAGGGGAAAGAAAGGATCATTTGGAATTTGTTCATTCATTGTCAGAATCGTCCAACGCCATTTCTTCGTCTTCACTGAGCTCGAAGTCGTAGTCACGCTGCCAATACCCTAACTGGTTCCGAATTCCCACACCTTCAGGAATTTCTATGACGAATTCGTCTACACAAATCGGGTCTGGTAACTCGGTTCGGCTGCTATTTTTACCTATACCTGGCCAGAGTACAAATTCACCTTTACTCTTAGCCTCTTCCAAATATTTGGCTTTGGTAACCTCTGCAGCATAATGGTCTATCATTAGCAGTACGTGAAGACGAGGTAGTCTAGCTGGTCTTGTCTCGTACTTCCATAGAACATTAGTTCTCACATCGATGATACGATATCGTTTGAAAAGATACCAGGATGGATTGGCGACAAAGTGATAGAGATACACTTTATTGCCCTCTAATGTCGACCATAAGGAGTGATTTTCCTGTTCCTCTGTGTCTTGGAACAGTTTTGCCTCAACTTGATTGTAGAGTCTAACAGGAAATAGCAGCTCTTTGATTCTTGGAATTATCTCGCAAATCTGCTCAATTTCCTCGTAATATTTGGCCAACTTCTGGAAGGTTTTACGTGATTGTTTAGCTTCCTTGAGCTTTACCAAACAGGATCTAACTGCGATGGCTGAAAGGTACTTTAACGATAGAACTTCCTTTCTAGGGACCAAAGAAGCTGTATTGTTTTCACCATACTTCATTACCAGGACTCGTGCTTTGTGCATATAAGTTTGCAGCTCTATCTTATTGTTCCCTGTTTTCCACCATGGCCGGTTATCAGCAAACCACATATAATGAGTGTGCCACGTGGTTAAATTGTTTTTCTCGAAGATCAACGATAAATGATCTGTTTCGAACACGGGAACTATCGGGAGGCCTTGATCGTCACTCCATTTACGTGCAATACGAACTGGGTTCATGCTACCTAATGAGGGAAATTCAAAATAAGGACTAATTAACTACGCAAAAAAAAAACAAAAATTATCTAAACTTTGGTAACATGCGGAAATAAATAATTTATAATGTGTGTAAAGAGTTGAACATGCATAAGTGTTAAGTTTTGGATATATTTTGTTTTCGTAAATAAATGTTGGTGATAATAATAGTGTTTAAGATAAAATTGTAAAAGAGATTAGACAATATTTTTATGAGCTTGCTCAATCATATAGTGGTATCGATTTCTTTGTTTTGACAAACATCGCTCCAAAACTTGATTTCGCAATTGTAGATCCTCAATGTCACGCTGGTTTTTCTCTGCGATGTTATGAGCGCACGTTACCAGTTCAGTTAGGTATTTAACTGTGTCTGGCCTAACTGAGTCTGAAGTATAAGGTAGCGAGGATCGATAGCTACTTAGTTTATGTTGTTGTTCCAACAAGATGACGATTAGTTTAATCATAACGTGGATAATTAACTTTATCTCCTGATCACGATGAGTCCCTTTTCGAAGTGTAGGCCGTGAATCTATCTCTATTAGATTCTCGTAGATGTGTGGTGACGGCGCTCGACTCTCGGGATCAGGCGTTGGTTGTCATATCATCTCAAAGTTAGGTGGTGGCATCTTCTGTCGAACATAATAATTTGCTCTGTGATGCCTTGTGGATACCAGAGTAATTATCTTAGCTATCAGGGTGATGATAATAAAAGCGACCAGCGCGATTATGGTGATTATCATGAGTTGAACTTCCTTTATCTTCAGTATCGGTCGGTATAACTCCAGGCGAAGCTGTCGACACTTTTGATCCAAAGTACACGATCTAGGTGCGAGATCCTCATACCCGCATGTCTCTATGGCCGTTGATGTGTAATTTAGCGCTTTAAATATAGAGGAGGTTACTCTGCCCTCATCCCATTCGGCAATGGCTTCATTGATCAGCTTATGGTATTCCTCGGCCTTGGTTGTAAGTGATGAGACGGCAGACTGAATTTCTATTGTTGAATTTGCAAGAGAGAGACTTATAAGACGATATCTTTCGGAGCTGTATTTACTCCTGCGTCTTCTTGCCGGTTTTATTTTATATTGCATTATCTCAAAATGCTTAAATTTTGCTGAACCATCCCTTCCGTTACATTTATTAATCAGGGGCATCAGAAAGACGTCTTGAAGGCGCTGGCGACAAAGACTCAGGACGTAATCGTTTAGATCTTCCAGTTTCTCGCATGGATCTCCGTAATTTATCACTAAACTCAGGTCATTTGGTTTTGACGAGCATTCCTCCGCATCAACAACCAGTATTAGTGTGGCGGTGACCAGCAGGACTTTCTGGAGTTTCCTGCTCTTTCTAGGTGCTCTTTGACTGTTTATCGAACTCTCATCATCTGCTGAAATATCAGATAGCCCGGTGGAGAACACGGGGCGGGGTCTCTGTTGTCGTAGTTGTTTAGTTATGCGTTGATAAACGAAATAGCCTATCACCATTAGATTGATGACGACTATAATGGTTGTCATTAAAGAACTGGTGGTCACAATTTCCTTTGACC